TTTTGTTGTTGCCTGTTGTTGTTGTTGTTGTCTTTTCCTGTTGTTGTCGGTTGTTCTTGGAACTGAAAGTAGTACATTGACGCTTATCCACCTTTTTACGGTTGCTGTTGTTTTCATTGTCGCTATTGTGAAAAAATATTGTAAAAAAATCGTTACAAAATTCTATCAACATATCCAATAAGGCAATTCAATATATTTAATCATCACAGTGATATCTGATATCAAACTCAATTCTTATATATTATTTACAATTTCGGGATATAACTATATGTCTTATATCATACACGCGGAAGAATGTTTGTTAAAACATTCAGTTTTGCTGAAACATTATAATTTTACGAGATATATCTTGTAGTTTATCAAGACACGATGGCATTTTTTAAAAAAACTTGTAATGGTATAGGAAGATAAATAGAGGCATTCCTCCTGTTAGTCAACATGCAGAATATCCCTAATCTTGTCAATCTGATGACCAAAATTTCACAACAACAGCAAAGGAACTGAACCAAGTCAAAAACTCAAACACACATTGCAACTCGTTCAATTGCTACTCTATTCAACACTAGTATATTGCAACATGCACCATTTTCCAACAATGCCATACAACTAAATCCAATCTTCGTCCGGATATCAATGCAAAAACCGTCAAAACAAACAATGCACATTCGTCGCTTTAAATTATTTCCACGCATCTTAAAACGGATACACGCATCTTAAAACACAGCTTCCCTCAGCGATGTCCTTTCCCTCTATTCCATATTCAGCGCATTCAACACAATTTAGCATAATCAACGCTACAAAAAGTTGCACGCATGCATGCATATGTAGCTAGGTTAAATATATATAACTTTCTAAAATAAGTTAACGTTGTATAAAGTAATAGGTTAGTGTTACATAAAGTTTGAGATTACATTTCAAAGAGAGTTTTTAAGATTTCACAAGTTCACATCCAGTGAGCTCTATACTGTATGTCTGGAGCAAGAACTTCACTCATTCGGACTACGAGAAAAGCGACGGAAACTGACGCCCAAAATCAACGAGGGTTATAAACAGTTTTCACACCATTCTCCCCAGCTGATTCAAGGTTTTTTCTAACCGATCTCGTAACGCTAATCAAGTTATCAATTCATAAATCCATAGTCTTCTCAATCGAGATCAAAACACGAAATTCCGGCATATTCCTAGTGGACGTTTCGTGTTGACCACGCAGACCAATAGAAAAATACTAGTAGCACTGGACGTCAATTTCTGCCATCTTTGGCTTCATTTTTTTCACTTGAGTTCCCACTCCAGTTTTATACGAAGCTCACTGTTTAGATTATAGCCATAAAAATGCTTTAAGCTATATCTTACGCTCAGACTGTTCAAAAATGGTTTAAAACTAGGACGTTTTACACGGCTTTGAGCCTACGTTTACAATATTTACACGACAACAAAAGCGTTTTTGTTTTCTGTCACCTTACGCACGCATTCCACTCTTCACGATTTTCCATCATCCTATCCGACACTCGAGTTCGCGCCGTTTAAATCCGACGCGATTCCGATCAGTAATGGCGTATATAACAACAACTCTAGATCATCAGAGACATCTATACACAATTCTCTTAATTTTGCATGTCTTACATTTGACCGAACAGCACCAATGAAAGACGCAATCACACGACGTTTCCGATTGTTCTTCCCTGGGTTTGGCATCTCTTCCGCAACACATAATACCACACCCACCAGTCCCCGACGACCTCCCATTGCACTGTCGTCCTTTGGTGCCAAAAGAGCCGACCCTTGGGTCAGGATCACAAAACTTATTAACTGATGTATAAACTAAATCCTCCTCTGTCGGAGGCTTCACTGATTCGTTGTGTATTTGAAACGTCGTGCCTTTATTATCGAACGACACTTTTGAAGCGGAGTCGAAGCGATGTTTAAGATGTAAGCCGACGCGATTGAACGAAGGAAGAACCAGCCAGCACGCTTTTTGCGTGCACGTTCCACTGTACCCAAAACATTTGCATGTTTTTTTCATCAGCTTTCGTAAAGCCTAAAAGAGAACGAAACAAATTTGTTTTGGTACGTTCCTTGTATGTTTACATGATGTAAATGAATCTGATAGACCTAGCATGTCAGGGGCAGATAAAGATTATTATTTCCATGTTTTCCTGGACGAATTTGTTTCTTGCTGTTCTTAGGCCCAATATTACAAAGTAATTTTCAACCCTACTAAGCACAAAACATGAGTAAGTATTTGACATGAAAACGAGGCCATTGGGTGAAAAGTGAATAAATGGTAAGGTCTGTTGTTTTGGTTTGGTTGAACACTACGAGTCGTGCATTAATTAGGGTTTGCCCCGGAATTATAGGTAGGATCTTTGCAAGTCAAAACAATGAAGAACTGGATGACATGGAGAACAGTGGGATTTTCTAAACGATAAAAAAACAATGGAACATTGCGATTACTGGCTGGTCGTGCGAGCACTATTGTTAGACTAATAAATTCTTCACATTTTACAAATAATGAGAAGTGTCTTTGTTTCTCGTCAGCACATTGTGATTTGGACATCACATGTGCATTTCAGATTAATGTTGTCGGTCTGGAAAATCGTTTATAATTTTGAATGGGTTATTAACCTTGACTGCCACGCCTGACGTGAAAATGACCTTGCAATATCTTGCCTTATCCATACTGGATAGCTCTATCAGTTCTAAACTGTTCTCCCTAGAGGTCCTGTAAGGGCCTTCATCTATTGACCCAATATTACTACAGGAGGAAACCTATACACCAAACTAACGTTATTCATACTAGATAGCACTGTCAGTTCTAAACTGTTCACCCTAAAGGTCCAGTAAAGGCCTTTCCATATTAATCCAGTATTAATTGAAGGCTGAGTCAAACTGGAAGCACTCTTCTCACATGTGACCGAGGTGAAATTATAATCAGATGTCTAAATCTTAATAACCTTGCACATGGCATATTGAAAGTGGATTAAAATATGAGCAGGAAATTATAAAGAGTTTTATGTGTTTATTTAAAGGACATTTTTTAAGGACTCTGGCTACTACAGGAAAGATGTCTAGTCCAATTGTTTTGAATTGAAATAACACGAGAAAATGATAAAAACAGATGGAGTTTATAAATAAGTAAGTAAGTGGGGGTGTGCTAATCACCCTTACTTACAGCTGAGAGCTAAGCTGAATTACGAAGGACGAAGCTCAACCTGATCACAGTTAATACAAGGCTTCTTCTATTCACTGTGACCTGATCGAGTCGAAGGCTTTCTGAGGGCGTCTTTGGCAGCCACCTTATCACTCGTGACCGATCACGGAACACGTACAGCTACGAGTACCCGGAGAAAACCCACGACTTCCGTTAGAGGTCTTAGAGCGTTGACTGACTCGTTTCACATAAGTGTAGTGAGTCCGTAGCGTGAATCGAACTCACGATCTTAGAAAGGTGGTTGCTTTAACGATTGCGCCACCAGAGACAAGGTCATAGGCGTACCGGGCGGGGGGGGGGGCGGGGGGGGGCGGTAGTCCCCCCAGTTTTTTGGGCAGTCGAGCAATATTCGATCAACAGTCGGGCAATTTATTGGTTTGCAATAAAAAGAGGTCGCCAAAATAATTTTTCCGGAAAAATTTTTTTTGTAGTAGTCGGGCAGAATCCCGAAAAGTCGGGAAATTTTCTTTCCGCCCCCCTAATTTTTTCATTCCGGTACGCCCATGGACAAGGTGATAAGGAAACAAGGTCAACTGGACTCTGTAGCAATGGACTCTGTAGCTCAGTCATCAGAGCACTGCACCGGAATCGCAGGCCATATTCACGAAAAATCTTTATAAGAATCGTCCATTATAGAACGCACTAAGATGATCATTTTTCGACAAATTCTATTTAGTCTGCCTGGTTAAATATTAAATGTTTTATTATATACACAAGGTCTGAATTCACAGACTTTGCTTTTTGGATATTTTGTAGCTCAGTCATCAGAGCACTGCACCGGAATCGCAGGCCATATTCACGAAAAATCTTTATAAGAATCGTCCATTATAGAACGCACTAAGATGATCATTTTTCGACAAATTCTATTTAGTCTGCCTGGTTAAATATTAAATGTTTTATTATATACACAAGGTCTGAATTCACAGACTTTGCTTTTTGGATATTTTCAATATTTTTCTATTTTGTTTTAATGTAGGCCTATGTATGTTTTTATCTTCGTTCTTTCGGCCGATTGTTTTTTCAAAAATATACATTTTAAATTTTAAAAATTCATTTGCCAACGTGTAAACAATTTGTAGGAGTTTTTTCATTGTGTTTTTAATCCTGTAAAGGCTATATAAAAAAGCGACCAACTTGCCATTTTCTTGTTAGCAAAAGGTCGGAGGAAATTCAGTTTGAGGCGCCATTTTGTTTTTCTCTACTAGCAGGATATGAGCTAATATCCTGTTGGAAGAGAACCAATCGGATTACAGAATACCTCATATCCAGACCTTGTGTATATAATAATTTTTGCTATTTCTGTACATTGAAGTAAAAATAGAATTATTATTCAATAATTTAATAGCCATTCATGTTGACGCATGTATGCTAGAAGATAAATATGTCAATAAAGTTCAGTCTAGATTCATGGTCGTCATTGGGTCAAGATGTGAGGACTCCAGAAATTCAACTGAGCAACCTACTTTTAAAAAGTTGAATTTCTTCTTATGTATAGACCCTGAGACCCATGCATTGCACTGACGTCACAAATCTTTAGAGTGTCCTCCAGATGCTCCCTAACAATTTCTGTTCTGGTACAACCACATACAGCGCAAAAATTAACCATTTTAATACAAAATTATCACAAACTTTTACAAAATTTGGTTTGTTTACAAAAGTTATATTGTGCATAGATTGCTAATTTGTCCTCCAGATGCATGCTCACCAGCGCTGTGACGTCACGTGCAGTGGGTCTATAGACTATTCCTTATGGATCTTTTATAATCCCCAATTATACTTTCAACGAAACGCACATACGAAAGACAAACGACCATGTTATTTCAAGAATTTACGTGAAATCACGGAAAAGATTAATGATTCCGAAGTTCAATGTCATTAGTTGATTAGTACTATATCAAAGTCATGCACGCCCCTAGATGTTTATGGAATTACTCAGCGAAAAATTCAGTGATTACCTCAAGAGGGTGTGAAAAGATGCCCAACAAATCGTCAATGTTTTCTCAAAGATTATTTACAATGTAATTCGATCGAACTCGAAGATTATTATAGAATTCAACTTTGCAATTCGAAAATTACTCACGGTCAGCATTTTTTTAACAATATAGATTTGCACTTTTTATGCCACCAGTCCTGAATATGGACATTTGTATTTGATGGATTTTTGGTACATACGCAAATTTATAGGTATTCATTTAATTCTTGTGTTTCAATGGATGCTTATATTGACAAGAAATCCAAGCAGGCAAGCACTTATTTCGAGAGGAATTACATAGAAATGACAAAATTATAATTGAAAAATTGAGTTGTTTTCGAAACCTTAGCTTCGCTATTTCCAAATTTCTTCCGCAAACAAGTCCAAATGTTGACAAATGGGGACAATAATGATTTTACTAAAAAATATATCCGGTAGGAACATTGTTGAGAATCACAGCCTATTTGTCTCTACTGAGGGAAGATTAAATTTCCCAATTACATTCTTTCCCAATTAGAACTGATAGAGCTATCCAGTATAAAAAAGGTAATTAGTTTAGTTCCTGAAGGTTTCTTCCTGTAGTAACACTGGATGAATAAGAGATGACTCTTACTGGACTGACCTCTAGACAGAACAGGACAATAATGATTTTACTAAAAAATATATCCGGTAGGAACATTGTTGAGAATCACAGCCTATTTGTCTCTACTGAGGGAAGATTAAATTTCCCAATTACATTCTTTCCCAAATTAGAACTGATAGAGCTATCCAGTATAAAAAAGGTAATTAGTTTAGTTCCTGAAGGTTTCTTCCTGTAGTAACACTGGATGAATAAGAGATGACTCTTACTGGACTGACCTCTAGACAGAACAGTTTAGAACTGATAGAGCTATCCAGTATAAATAAAGTTAGTTTAAGTTTAGTTCAGGTTTCCTCCTGTACAGGCTGAGCAAGGCCGCCGAGAAGTTGCGCGGGGCCCGGGGCAAAACTCTCCCAGGAGCCCCTATTACGTCATGATTGTAAAATAGGAGAAGCGATGTTTTAAAATATATTGCACTTTATTGCAATATATGTACTTTATTGCAATATATGCTGGGATTTATATTCTCAGTTTAAGAAATCTTGTATTAAAAAAAGTTAAGAGACTCCGTCATTTTGGGGGATCCGTTGAGCTGGGCTCCGGGACAAAATGCCCCCACCCCCTCTGGGCGAGCCTGCATTGCGCATACGGTAAATTCCTTACCTTTCGGCCAGCCTCGTAATTCCATCGTATGAGGTTCGTCCTTGCATCCAGGACTCCACTTTTAACTGGAAACACGGCTCGTGAAATTTCTTCTCCGAAATCAATATTTCTGTCGCACACGCCATTGTCAGCAGAGCGCTCTGCTACCTGTCTGTTTGCTATGCGTTGAGACGCTGTCGTCATTCCTTCTCGATATTCGAATGCATTGCACTGGCACAGGTCCAGATCACCCAATGAACATGCGCGAGTCACGACATGGGTAACCCCTGCAGCATTAATGGCCGACAAGAATGCCGATTCTCGGAAATCTGAAAAATAGAATCCATTAAGTATAAGTAATCATGCGATGGCGAGTACAATTAGGATGAATAGTATACGAGCCGCCGAGGCGAGTCCAACTTGGCAAAATTTCCAAACATCACAAGTTTGGAAAACATCACAGTTTGGAACTGGCATATGGCTGTCCAGTATAAATGAAATTAGTTTCGTTAAGGTTTCCTCCTGTAGTATAACACTGGATCAATAAAGAATGGCTCTTACTGGACCTCTGGGGAGAACAGTTTACAACTGACAGAGCTATCCAGCACGATCTAGTTTAGTTCCTGTTTTTGCAGATCAATGCTGAGTTTTCAACTTGAATCACAGGAAAACATTTACATATCGCCTCGCCTATCAAATATGTGTCTGCGCAATTGTTATGTTAGCTCAAGAGCGTACCCACGCTCAAAACACGACTAAATATACAAACTTTGGAACATAAGTGAATATGTTTTTGAACGATAATCGATCAAGATGACACGAAAATAAACACAAGTGTTTTTGCTTGTGTGCTTATGATTTAAAGATAGAGACGATGTTTACTCTTCGTCTTAAATGGCGCAAGCAAAAGTTGACACAAGAACGGAATCTGACGGCTACTCCAGCATGTCATGTGCTATTGACAATTACAAATTTGTCGTATCCCACCTACGTTTCTCGCTAGTTTACGCTTAAACGGGCTTTATTTATACAAGATTGCTCTATGAAATCGGTCTAAATTGTTCTTTTCATCAATGGATCATTCCCCAATTAACCAAAATTTTGATCTCAACAAGTCTAGACAAAATTCCATCATAGCATGAAAGAGCATCACAAAATTAGTAATATTCCAAAGTTTCGTTGCAAAATGTTGTAAAATGCGGATAATATAGCCTTGCGAAGTTTGTAATTTTCAGTCATTTTGTATTACGCACAGAAGTGGTAACCATTTCCCGTTTGTAATCTAAAACGACTGAAAATTGCAAACTTCGCAAGGCTATATGTTCCGCATTTTACAACATTTTGCAACGAAACTTTGGAATATTACTAATTTTGTGATGCTCTTTCAAACCGTGATGAAATTTTTGTCTAGACTTGTTGAGTTCAAAATTTTGGTTAATTGGGGATTGGTCCATTCAGAAAGGAATATCGCTTATTGGTTTAGTATTACTACAGGAGGAAACAGGAGCACCCGGACAGAATCTGCGGTGTTTGGTAGAGTCAAACTGGAAGTACTCTTCTCACATGTGACTGAGGTGAAATTATAATCAGACAACTGTATATTGCAGGAATCAAAGCCAGGTCACAGAGATGAAAGACACGCGACACATGGGAAATGAAATGAAGTCTACAGGCATCTTTACCAAAATCATAAACCCATGTCCTTTGAAGAAGCTGGAGTCTATAATTTCCTTAGGTGGTAGCATGCTGTTATTTAATGATAAACAATCTGCAAATAAATGTGGAAGATTACAGCGATTGTTTTTGCTTGCAGGGTTACTTCGTGATCAATGATTCGCTTGTGTTGAAATTGATTATATCATGCTGTTTTAATACAGGACCGCCTGGCTACCAATGTCAGTTCACTCTGTCAGAAAATTGCTGGAATTTTCCATTCTTCTCGAAGGAAGCTGTGCGTTTATGTAATATAGGTCAAGGGAAAACATTATATTTTGTGCCACTGTGAAGGGCTGCCTTTAGAACAGTTGTAAATTGAATACCCTCTCTGTATGTGTATATATACTTTCTCTCAATTATCCCACGAATTCTATGCAACCTCGTTCTCAGGTATGAAAGCGAAGAGCTGGCAGCGCGGTTGGAATTTTGGTAAATGGTATAACGTCTTTCTTTAATTATTAATTAGATCACTAATTGTAATTTGTAACATTCGTGTGTTCAAAGCTCTAATGAACTTAACAGCTTATGTTCAAATCTCATTTCCTATATGTGCAGAATGCGCGCGCGAGCCATTAGTTTTTAATTAGAACACCGATATTATAAATTAGCAACATTCGCTTGCTCTTGGCCCTAATTTACTTCGCAGTTCATATGTATTCTTACAGTAATATTTTGTGACAAAGGCTACTATATATTTAATGAAAAGAAGTAACTTTTATTTTCTCACTCCGATTGACCTGACGATCTGCCGCACGAAAGCTTCCTTTGCGCAGAGTCTAAAGGACCTAAAGCTATCCGCGTTCTTGATCGGAACACTTAATATAATTACACGCATTAATCGAGAACTGCCATCGTCACTTTCAGAACAAAGGCGTCAAAATATGATCGGATTAAGGCAAACAGATAATGTACTTTATTGTACACCAAGCCGATAATGCATGGGCTAAAGTTATGCCTTCGGTAAACTATTCCTATAAAGTGGCAGTATTTCTATAAAGTGAAATATTTGGCGTCGTAGCGTTTACGAAATCCTGGACTCACATACGGACTCAGGATCGAATTAGTTGGGTTTAATACAATGGACTAGTTTCGTAATAGTCCACATAAATACCACAATTCACACGCATTCATTTTATCAGTGCAATTTTGCAAAAATCTAATTCAGTTCAAACATCTTTCAATCTTTGAAGTGGATTTGAAGAACACTGGATACTGATACGTTAGGATAACGGAAAATATGCAAAATATCCTATGTATATATAGGAAATACCCCTTATCAGTTTTTATTATCGGATCAAAATTTTATCCTAAGTTTTCGGATGTAATTTCTTTCTCGAATGCTTGCTACCACTTGACCAAACATCAGAATTTGACAGTAAGGATTGAAAGTTCGAGGGTGCCGGAATTTTCGGATAGATCTGCATGGGAATTTTTCAATAAAGAGAAATCTTCAAAATGGGGATGTATTTCGCTCGAAAAGGTATATATAAGTTATGTCTGAACCATCACCGCGCGTAGTTATTGAAATGATGCAAAATATTTACAATTTTACGTGTGAATAAACAGATTTGATTTGGAAGATGTTGTTTAACTTTAAGTGTCAATATTGACATCTGTATCGCCTGTGAATCCACGACCAAACATTCTTCTACAATTTGCATTACCCTAGGCGGGCCTATCTAGTATAGTCGGTTCTCAAAAACTTTCAAGACTTTATATATGTTTGGCGGTTTCATTGAGTCATAGTGATTGAGTCCAAGTCTGAATTCTGGTTTTCACCAATCTTTAACTTAGGGCGCGCATGATACAACAACTCCAATGGGCCGGGCTAGATTGCGGTTAGATAAATAATTATCATGTAAGGCAGATTGAAATCACGAGAAAATAAATAAACACGAAGCAAACCGGTTGCCTGCATGCTTTTCAAAACCCCAATATAGCTACTTCCCTATTTATGCCTAACATCCGTTGTCTTAACGCGCAAAGCCGATATAATTCCACTTCAAATTCAAGGCGTTTTTCCGTTCGTTCGAAGTAAATAGGCCAATAGGCTCTTAAGCCATCACAAGCTGGTTTAGCGAGTATTAAATAGAACTGAAATAGGAAGTAAATTTTGTTTTAAAATGTTTTTCGGTACGTACACATTGCCAAAAAGCGGCTAACTTAATTCCGCCTTTCGGCATTTCGTGATTTTCGCTTCGGAAGGCGACATTATATCAAAAGGAAACTTTCGTTTTGCTGCGATAAAGGGTGTCAAGCCGACACAAGCCAAGGTGAATTAATCCGTTGAAAGAAATGTTGTAAATTTCACCGAGTGTTCACAACTAAACAAAAACTTAATGCGATTAAACGTTGTAGTTCGAGATAATTGATACATATATATACATATATATATATAGCTTATTAAACGAGTGTTTCAAAATCACGGTGATCTGTTCAGCTTTTAAAATAGGCAGAAATTTGGGTTATAAACTTAAGAAGTGCTTTATAGTCTGTAATTTGGTACACACACTATAGCTGGTTTTAAAAGCCAAAGCAAAGAGAAAAGGCAAAATCATTTACTTTGAAAATTTTTAAAGTGTATACTGCTTATATTTGACGTTGAAATTTTGTCGATGTTCTTTGTTTTGAATTAAACAAGAGTAATAATATAAAAATATGACAATTAAAAAGTAGAATATAGTCAGTACCAGTTACGGGCATTAATTATTCAGTTATATGATATGTCGACAAGAAAGACACATTTAGTAAATCATAGTTACAAACGAAAATCTATGTGAGTATGTAAAAATTATTCATCGACTACTAGTAATGGACCTATCATTTTGAACGAGCTGATCGATAACCCCATAGAAGAAATTTAGTATTGATTAGTAAATGTACCATTAAAACGAACTACCTAGTTGAGACTCGGCTGACTCGCGAAATAGGTGTATTTTCGTAGAAAAAAGTGGCTATAGGATAATGGCCAGACACACTTGAAAGCCGACAAAGTTTCAGCCGTTAAGTACATGAACATAACACTTTAAATCGATATTCAACAGTCTGGCTAGAAGCTACAATGTGAAGTATTATGTATACTTGTATAGTACCAATTTGTTATCCTAATCTAAGTTAAGTCCAAGTATACAAACCAATTGATTTCAGGGGTGCATATATTATATAGGCTTATATATAGCAAGCTACGTCTGAAAGATCTACTGTTTTAGATTTGAAATGCATGCTAAGATATTTATTACTATACTCAAAATCAAAAAGATCGCACCACTTTGATGTTTGAAGCATAAAAAATTAAAGTCTAATAAAGAGTTCATTACTCATTAGCGGAAAAAAATAAAGGCCAAATTAGAACAAATAAATCCCATAGGAGCTGTTCTTAGTGTTCTAATTAGTTCTGGAATATCTAACATAGCGATAAAATGATATAGAAAACGTACCGTTTCGCATGATCTTTTCAATTGAGCCATTCTTCTCCGTGCAATTCCATTTTCTGTTTTTAAATTGATTCTGGCATTCTCGCAGCGCGAGTATCAAGCCATCCATAACATAAGGTATGACTTGCGGTTTGGTTCGACATATATCGTTCCTGCAAATGCTGTTTCTACTAAATTGCAGAAAACTACAAGGAAAATGGACACAAATTTCACACATCAGACAGCCAGACAACACAGAGGGCGGCCGACTGTTTAAGTAAACCAAAATGTAACATTTCATTCATCTGTGAGTATCACATCAAATGATTTATAACCTGATAGAGGAGGCATACTGTGGCTGACACGATATATACAATTATACAAGAATACAATGGGCTGAACCACACATACCTTCTAAACGAATAGCCATCGTTATCCGTGAACAGCAGCGAGTAAATAAACGCGACAAGTAGTTGTCTTATCTTCATAGTCGTACAACACAAATGTTTGTAAAAGGTCTTAATCACGAGCTGTTCAGTTGGTGAACGTCTTTAGTGTTATTACAGCCACAAGTCACGTTCGAGTGGCTGCGTACAAACACAGCAATCAGGCAATAGGTAGGGTGCCTGCGATGTCATTTAGTGCAATTTAAAAACTGTCAACAATTATTGAAATATTTAAGCACATAAAGAGAACGCAAGGACCTCTATTTATAGACAGCTTACTCAACACCTACGAAATTATCAAATTGCTTTGCCAAAGATAAAGTCGGAATGTCGTGAAGTAACATTACCATACCACGTCAGAATAATTCCCAAGGGATGCGGCTACCCTGCAGAAGCAGAACCAGTAAAAAACTACCAACAACCTTGGTATTTTATATTATGGTGTTGTTTTGAAAACACACAAAAGTATTCGTAATTACACTTAACGGATATAACAGATCGGTGTGATCATGAATTTGATTTGATTCTTCGGCGTTACAAAAACAAAACGATGCTCGTTCGAAAAAGAGGTGACAGCATACTTTGCTTGTGTAAGTCATTATCGTTTGCATTTAAAGTGGCTGGTTTCATCACTTCGATGGGAAGGGTAAAAATGACTGCCATATATTCCATGGTTCATTTCAAAAGCAGCAAACACATTAAAGTGACGTGACAAAAAAACGAATAAAACTTCTTTTAGGGTTATAGGAATATAATTTTAGCCCCTTTGTAGTACGGATGCCTTTTAAGGAGCCTATAAGATGCAAAACGTGTAGGTTCCCAACACCAGCAGCACGCGGCCGGAAATTGGCAATATGAAGTTTCGTGATTTCGATTATTATTTGAAGTGCTTGATTTGAAGATTCTTCGTGTGACTTGGTTTCAGTGTTGTATATGATATTATTAACATGGTATTCGATTTCAAATGCATTGATAGTTTGGGTGTAGCAACGTTGCTCGGAAGCTAAATGTTTCCATCAGTTCTATTTGTCATCAAAATGTAAACACATGGTGCTCGACTTCAAGTGCAATAAAGATGATGCGACATGTTGCCATTGCATGTATTCGCCATCAACAACAAGGTCAATATATATGGCGAAAAATTTAGTCACTGTGATAACTGTCGAGGGGGGGGGGGCTCTCTATCTCCGTGTTCACCTGTAAGTTTTCCCCACAGACATTTCACGATTTTGAGAGGCAGGCTTGAAGTCTAAGATTTCACCATCTTTCCTTCCTCTTTCCAGTTTACAATTCCCTTAATTGGTAGTGAAATATTTTTTGGTTTTGTGCCTGTGTTCCATTGAAAAATCTGACGCATTGTTTCCGAGATACTTATGGGAGACCCTTACTGTCTCGCCTTTTTCCTTTGCCCACCGTGGGCAGTAAATGTTTTATATCGCTGCCACATGATCAGGTCAATTGGGAGAGAGTGAATGTCTGCATTATTGCATTTCCCACTAACATATTTAGTCATACTGTCCTTTGACTACCCGGGCAATGAATATTTTATATGGTGCTATAGTTGACATGATTGGTTAATACAATTCAGTCACTTGGACTACCGTGTCCCCGTTTCTTCTACAATTGACCACAATGCACTGCATTGCCACTCTTAAAGAAATCCACTATTACCTGAGATACTAGTTCGAATATTTTTAGACTAGAGAGTAGAGTTTGAAACGTTTTTTCGGTGACCACCAATTAACTCCTATAAAAAGAATAGATCACACAAAACAATGACGTAGATTTAACTGATATGGAATGCCACACTTCAGATTGATTTACAATTATACATGTAATTTCGTGAATATTCGAGCTAATTGTTTGTACTATATTTAGGTCCTTCCAACTTTCTTAAATGTTAATTTTTTTATGAAATTTTGTATTACGTTCTATATGATCACGTATACAGACAACTATGAATAAACTCAGATTGAAACCAATGAAAATCACCTCACTTCATATCGGCAGGCAGCCGAGGCAGGAAGGTAATCTGAAAATACTATTTATTAAAAGAAGGCTGGCGACCTCGTTACGAAAGCATTTTACCTATGCGAGTTAATTTTGTCGTATTTAATTAAGGAAGATTAATATATTAAATCGTATGTGGAGAGAGACCTCCCACAATTTTTTCCTGTCGTTGGATGTTCCCACATAAATAATCAATAACCACCTTGGTTCCTTAAATTTACATGTTTCTATATCAATCAGCATGAGGCTATAAAGCTACATTAAATGTGACAGTCTCAAAAGCATCATTAAACCATAGAGGCAACCTTCCCCCATCAATGAATTCAACTCAATTATTAACACGGAGATTTAACTTGTGTGCGTCTTTGGCAAATAGTTCGGGCTATGTTTCTGAGGAGAAAGAATCTTGAGTTGAACATAGACGTAAACAATAATTTAGAGAACAAAGAGTTTTTGAAATATTTTCTTTGAAACAATGATCGACAGTTTCGGAGAGTCCTTGAACGCCATGGCATGATACCATAAACAGGGAAAAGTTTTAACATTTTAGTATTCCTAATATAGTCCTAAATATTGGTTGGAAATGCTCTTAGTATTGGTAAAGCAGATGATCAGCACACTCAAGTTTGCTCAAATGCAGGGGGGGGGGGCACGAAGAATCATAGGGGGAGGGGAGGGAACACATCAGCTGAGAGCAATTTATTAACTCTTATTTCACTAATTTCGGGATCTTTTACGGAGCTTCAAAAATCGTGCTCTGCTCGAGCGAGCCTCCTCATCCTCCGAGTTCCTCATCCTCCAAGAGCTGACCTACATTACGGAAGACGCAGCTCAACCTGATCGAGTCGAAGGCTGACTATGGGCGGCAATGGCTGCCACCTTATGACTCATGTCTGAAGCTACAACGGAAGGGTTAGTGTCGAACCACCCTATCGGCATTTCCCTGTGGGACGAAATGGAGTACCCGGAGTTAACCCACGACTTTCGGCGTAGCCTTGAATGACCGTTTTCACAGAAGTGTCAATGGTCATGTCTCAGTAGAACTCACGGTCTCAGGGGTGAAAGATGGTTGCTCTGACGACAGTTCTGGAACTTATGGACACGGAAGGAGCGATTTATGCATCTACCTTTCGATACCAACATAGACATTCAAAGCATTGTCTATGGAGGCAACGAAGGGAATTACCGTCGTTTGCGTCTAAATATGAACAGTGCCAGTTAAAAACATTGTCTATTTACACATGAAACTTCACATTTGTCAAAAGCGTTTGACAACTTTTAATCTGGTCATCCAGTCAAGATTTAATTCCGAGATAAAGACACTTATTCTCTGATTGCTTTTCTAATGAGATATTCATATGGACGAGTACTTGACGTAAATCTGTGAGAAGATTAGAGCAAGAATGTAAACGTTCCAAGTGGCCAATTGAAAGATATAAATCAAGTATATAGGACCGAACATGATTAAAGAGTTTATTCAATAATTCTTGCATGAATTGCAAGTTATTTCAAATATTCTCTCAATGTGGGGTTCAAGTGTTGGTAGCAATGAACAACAGTCAATACACTCAAGGGATTTCAAGATGAAACTACATAAAAATATAACAACAACTTAACGCTTCGAGCGAAGGAACTTTCGTCTGGAATTTAATAGCGTGGGAATACCCTGCCACAAAAAGGTGTTTCTCACCAAAGCACAATTAGGTGTTTTCCCCAAACATAATCGCTTGTTTTGCTTGAACGAAGTTCGAGATTTTTCAGTTGGAAAACTACTCAGCATTTCCCAACAACCATTGAAGGATCTTGACAGAGCATGTTAGTAAAACGAAGTGCATTAAAAATCGATATATATATATCTGCCCAAGATGGACAAATTTCTTCTTGGTCGCTATGGGAATGTTTAAAACCCACTCACATTTGAATTTAAATTTCTTTATATAGAATCTTTAGTGTTATTTTTAATGCTCAATTTTCGATGATACTCACTTGAAAATGCACATATATGCATAAATATAAGTACCGGAAAACAACGGAACTACTTCATTTTAAATTACTGATCTTAACTGAATTTTCGCATCCCACGAAACTGGCAAACATATTAAAAAAGGTGGGAGGCAGACCACATCATTGGCGAACAATACTTGCTAGATCTGATAAGCATGGAAGAGGGGTGGTCTTGTTAACGTCCATATCTCCACCCATCACAGAGAGATTCTGTAAATATGCATTGCATTAGCGTGCTTGTTAAACTTCGGTCACACGAGAGAGTTGTCAGTCACGCATTGTTCCAGGGGACATTTCAAGCTCTAGATTAACAAAATAAAGGTTTGATGAATGTTCCAACTATGTTTCAACTTGAATAGAATACATGATAGTGTTGGGAAAAGCATTAAGAACAGCTGACCAAGGTCGCGTGACTACCAACTCTCATGCACGCTCATCGATCCTTTCCGGCTTAATTCGGTGTTCTCGTCCGCCCTCGGAAAATGCCTGCTCGCAGGCTAGATCTATATGCATATTGTATAACTTGAAAAGTTGTTTTATGATACATATATTATCTGTGTCGCAATTTGTTGCTACACGCCTAAAACTATAGGTAATTTGTAACCGATTCTCAAGGATCTCAAATTCATCCAATAAAGACAACCTCTCACTGCCTTAGTATGCATCTGATTGGGTGATCGGATATGTCAAACGCATCTGATTGGTTAATCGGATATATCAAACGCATCTGATTGGTTAATCGGATATATCAAACGCATCTGATTGGTTAATCGGATATATCAAACGCATCTGATTGGTTGATTGGATATACCAAACGCATCTGATTGGTTAATGGTCTCTTAATGCTACGATTCCGGTGCAGCGCTCTAACCAACTGAGCTACAATAGCGATTGATACACCGGGTGGAAAGCGTAATTTAAAAATGAAAATTAAAGCCCAGCAAATGACTTTCAGACAAGACATAACAAAATATAAAATTTATTGGCTAACGTTTCGTTGTAGTGTTCACAACATCTTCAGAGCAATTAAACTTATTTACAAGCGTGTATTAAAAATATACAACTTGTCTGAAAGTCATTTGCTGGGCTTTAATTTTCATTTTTTAAATTAACTGGGCTACAGTTTAAAAAAATCCCGTTAATCTCTGTGGACAAATGAAGGCGGGAATGTCTGGCTCACGAAATTGACATGTTCTTCGTCATTGATAATGTTAAGAAAAAATACATGTTCATAATATTCATTTTCAAGTGGAATTTTCACACGGCAAATGCTAGCCGGATAGTATACTTCAAAATAAGGTTTCCGTTTTTATATCAATTTTTAAAATAAGTTAGGGTTAGGTTAGGGTTGGGGTTAGTGTTAGGGTTTAGTTTTGCGTTAGGATAGTTTTTTTCTACGTTATAAAAACGGAAACCTTAGTTTGAAGTATACTATCATTTTCACACACGAGACAAGCATCTTTTGAACCGAGTGGCACCCAGAAGGCAGAACACCACCACTATAGGCCGGTTTACACGACCAGTGTTTTGGGCACGGCACCTCTAAAAATGGGCACCCGTGCCCAAAATTTTAGGCACGGCACCTCTGCCTTTTGGCGTGTAAACGTGACAAAAATCGGCACCGGTGCCGCAAAATTTAAACGTGCCGAGACTTTCTCACGAGGTAGTCTCGGCACGTCTAGCAAGGGGTGCCGTGCCCAAATTTCGAAAAAAATAAAAAATGTGTTCGACATCGAGCATGCGCAAAACAAATTGTCCTCTTTCCAACATGGCAGCGAGCGGCGAAAAACTACAACTTGCCAAAAATTTAAAAAAAACAAAGTTAAAAAACAAATTTAATACAGAATGTGAATGTTGCTCTAGTTGACTCGGAAATTTTGATACCACTGTTCGTCTCTGAATAGAGCAGTAACTAGATCGTAGCAAATAGCTGTCGTTCGATGCGTCCATACCTCTCAAAATCGTGGCGGGTGAATACAAGATGGCACAACACTATGCGACAAAACAACTCCTTTCGTCTTTAAGGGCCTGTTCATATGGGCAAAGGTTATCCCGGTTAACGTTAACGAAAAAACTTTTCGACTAGCCAAATATACTTTTGTTCTGTTCACATGCATGGAGAAACGTTATTCCGCTTACCGGGTAAAGTTTCCGGCTGTGACATAGCACTGAATATCAATTGAATTGAAAAGTTACTGACACGACAGAAAGCTATCCTGCCAAGCGGGAACTAGAGTTGTGTTCGTATGGGAAAAACATTATCACTTGACAAGCGAGATCTCGGTACGTACACGGGAAAACGTTTTGTAGTCTTATATGAACGCAGTGTAAACTAACTTTTCATATTATTTTCATACCAAGGCGAGATCTCGCTTGTAAACTTTTCGAAAAGTCTTTTCACTAACCAGGATAACTTTTGCCCATATGAACTGGCCCTTAAAGTACGTTCCTAGTATTGAATTGGTTTTTCCCTCGATTTTCGGCTCATATAATATTCTTCTTCGTTCCAATAAATATAAATATATAATTCTATTTCTGGCCGGCATATTTACTCTTTAAAATATACCGTCGTAAACGGAAAATAGAGCCGAGTGCCGTTTTCCGATGGGCACGCACTGAATATCAATTGAATTGAAAAGATGCTGATACGACAGAAAGTTATCCCGTTAAGCGGTAAAGTTGTGATATGGGAAAAACATTTTCCCGGTCACCGAGATCTGGTTTGTCAACAAGCGAGATCTCGTGAAAACTTTTTGTCTCATATGAAATAACGCAGTGTAACTTTTCATATTATTTTCATGATACCAAGGCAAGATCTCGTTTGTAAACTTGTCGAAAAGTTTTCTCGCTAACTGGGATAACTTTTGCCCATATGAGCTGGCTACTTTTCTAGTATTGAAATGTTTTTTCCCCTCGATTTTCGGCTCATATAATACTCTTCTTCGTTCCAATAAATATAAATATATAATTCTATTTCTGTCCGACGTATTTATTCTTTAAACTATACCGTTGTAAACGGAAAGTAGAGGTGCCGTTTTCCGATGGGCACGGTGCCTATCATAAAAGTGTGTTTACAAAATGTTGTCGTGTAAACGAGTAAATAGCGAAGTGGCGGTTTTGGCACGGTGACCATTTTCAGGGGTGCCGTGCCCAAAACGCTTGTCGTGTAAACCGGCCTTATGCCGCATCACCAGTGAAGATGTCGGAGCGACGGAGCGTCTTTTCCCAAATTGTGAAGACTTGCAGGACAAAGTTTCCAAATATTACGCGTTCAAATAGTTTTCAATTCGAGGGGAAGGTTCTGCAACACCTTGACCTTCTCAAGTTCTAAAAGAATGTCTTAGGAATGTCTTTGGAAAAGATCTACAGAATGCCCTCGAAATTAGGACGGTCAATGGTTCGGAAAATTGGTATCAGCTTAGATGGTCATATAGATTGTTGTGTTATGAGAAAGAGAAACATGTAGTCCTAACAAAGCCACATAGAAATGCTTTAAATAGCTGTGAATATAAATAGAGTACGCTTCATATTATGTAAATAACTGTGAATATAAATAAACTAAATGCTAAATAACTGTGAATATAAATAGAGTAAGCTATATAATTAGCAGAAATTCAAGTTGCGCCATATGTTGCACAAGAGTCATGTTGTCTAACATACTTTTTTCGCAGGAAAATTGTGACGGCATTTCTTTTATTTTTAATCTCTCAAGAGTATGTTATGTAAAGGCCTTTTTGTAAAGACCCTTTGCCATTTCTAGTGCGTTTTTCATCTTGTGATGGATGTCAGCGAGTGGATGAGTTATGACTTGTTCAGATGAGTGAACATGTACTCAGAACATTCATAACTCATTCACTCATTCACAGTCCTGATCAGAAGAAAATCGCGCACTAGAAATCGCATGAGTATCTTTACTTAAGGCCCTTCACAAAACATACTCTTGAGAGATCAAAAAGAAATGCTAGTGCTCACAATTTCCTGCAACTACTTTTTAGAAAACGTGACTGTATGTCAGAAATTGCGTTGCTAGTGCTTTGTGTGCAACATGGCTTTGACACTAACGTTTGGCTAATCGGCTTTCAGTGAACAAACAGTCCTTGAGTCTCAAGGAGAAACTTGTATAATTACCTGTAACTTGTATATATTACCTGTATAATTAACACACCTTTTTGAAAAAATAATAAACTCCCTTAAAGTTAAACCTTTGTGTGCCAGACCTGGTACCATTTATGTTTAGTTTAAATATTACTGCATTTATTTTACTTATTTTACATTGATTATAAGGCAAGGCTACTTATATATTATTATTAAATTCAAATACTGATCATGTCATTAAAATCAAAGCTTCGTATCGCTATTTCCACTCGATCGTTTTATTTAACCTTGAGACTGGATCAGCGTGATTAAGTAATATGATAAGATAAAATTTGCACTAATTATGGGAAAATTGGTTGTAATCTTCAGATATAGCCCACAAGGGTGCTGCCGTAATTGGGGTATAAAAAATTGAAAGACGTTTTATTTTATTGCTATCAAATTCTAAAGCTTCAGGATTAACCTTGTGGGTCAGATTATTTTTAACGACAAGATACATTTTTGATAACCTTTTATACCCTGAAGACAATTTATCACAGGGTGGATCCAAAAAAACGCCGCCAACTTAAATTCGCTTAATCTTTAGGCCTCACGCTAACTGTAAGACAGTGTTACACTAAACTGGAAAGAAAGTTATGGCATCACAAATTTATATAAGACCTGTTCAAAGCACTGATTTCATCATTGTTCAACATTGTAGGTCAATACATCAGTGTTGTGATCTAATATCTAATTCGAACATCAACCTGCAACATTACCAAGCATAACATAATGTTCAAACTCAAGAATGCATCTGACAATGTTTGATCATGTTGTTCCAACATGTTGGATAGGTTTCAAGGGACCTTGAACCTGTGGAGGCGATTGTGAAGTCTAAGCCTAAGGCTAGTTTACACTCTGAACGTTTCTGTGATCACAGTAGGAATTTTGCATGGGTTAATTCTAAGAAATGTTTGAGGAACATACTCAGTGTTTAACACTTATATTAGTCAGTTCCTTTAAACATTTCTTAGAAATCCATCAACAATTCATCTATGCAACTGAATTCCTGCTGTGATCACAGAGATTTTGATTGTGTAAACCAAACTTTAGTTGTGCTGAATTTGAACTTCAACATAAAAATGATTGAACATAATTGAGAAATATACGTAAAGCGAAGCCATAGGGCATCACCCCCTCGAAGTTGCTATGATTCTAAATTACCTTAATTACTACCGTATAACATCCTCTGTAATTGAAAGATTGCAACCTTTTGACACTATATACCCATTAAGTCAGAACCTTGTCAAATATGAACCTCTATATAATATCCCTTACTCTACTGTGCACAAAAAAGCGGAAAAACAGGTAAAAAAAAAAGAAAAGTCATTAGTTGAACTGACTCGAGGCTGGTTTTAATACACTATCAGAGTTCTTGTTATTGCAAAGGTAAATTCTAAGTTCTGAAGGATTTGTAAGAAATTCTTCCCTCCACAATTTCTTGCAAATCCTTCAAACTTAGAGAATTTATCTGGCTATGCAAAATTTCTACTGCTGTGAACCAGCCTTTAAGTGTATAATAAATTGATTATAAAAATTTACATACCATTTATATCATTCTATACTCCCCACCGGAAACTGACAGGAGTCGCCTTTCAAACAGTGCACTGATCTATTTTCGATGTTTCCTGTAATATATTGAAATGACCTTTTCAACAACATGATTGTCAACTGTGTCTGTGTATTTATCGTTTAGTTTTAATTCCCGTTTTGTTCTGTATGTGGTGAGAATATTCTTTAAGTGTTGTTCAAAAACTCATTAATAATTCATGAGGAAAACACAAAGAGAAATCATAAGCGTGGCGTGTCTTTATATGTGATAAAACACGCTTCAAATTTCAACTTGTATTTTCTTTTTGGAAAATTATTTCGCCAATGCCGTGATCTAACTGGGACGTTTTTGAAGCTGTTTAATAAACGAGTAGGAGTGTTTTATCACATATAAAACACGACGCGTAGCGGAGTGTTTTATATGTGATAAAACACGAATGGTACTATGTGCATTTCCCCTCTTGGTGACTGGGGTTCAGACTTCAGATTCCTGCAAATTGTCTGCATTTCGTCTCAGTGAGAACTCTTCTCAGTGAGAAGAGTGCTTCCAGTTTGACTCTACCATCGTCAAAAAATGTCAACGTTTTAATAATTTAATATAATAAAAATAAATCACGAGTATCTATTTTACAGATTTCTTAATATTGACTTATAATAATATATAATAAAAATAATATCGATATATAAAATAAATATTTAAAATGTATAATAATATGAAGAAAAATTACATTTTCCACAATAATATAATATCGCGTCGCAGAGCTTTCTCATATGTCGATCGCATATTATAAAATAATTTAAATAAATTAATAGTTCTGCTAAAATATATTCAATATCTATATACACAGCATTTTATACAGAATTAAAAAGCAAACCAATTCATTATAATAGTATCTTCATCGCGTCTATCAAAATTCTGTTTATATCCTCGTGTTCCGCACGTAATAGGGTTTGGGTTGGCTACCACGAGCAGAATCTGGGTTATATTCTCATTTCACGAAACCATGAGAGTCAGGACTTAAGGCATGCTTATACTATCAAAGTTTCTGTGATCACAGTAGGAATTTTGCATAGGTAAAGTTTGCTCAGTGTTGAAAATTAAGCAAATTTGTGTGCATGTTTTGATGTTATGTACTCAGGTGAATATAATGTGTTTTTTTTGTTACTCTGGGTGTATATCCACACCAGGCAGGCTCAGTGAAAAGTTTGCCTGACTACGGTGGAAATCTAACCCGCGACCTTTGGGATACTAGTTCAATGCTCTGCCAACGGAGCAGTACGAGGCCAAGTCTGTTCGAGTGTGTGGTATTTCGGAACTAAGTCTAGTACCTTCGATCATGATCATAGAACACACCCTAGATCCTATGATCATGATCATAGAACACACCCTAGATCCTATGATCATGGTTATTTCGGAACTAAGTCTAGTACCTTCGATCATGATCATAGAACACACCCTAGATCCTATGATCATGATCATAGAACACACCCTAGATCCTATGATCATGATCATAGAACACACCCTAGATCCTATGATCATGATCATAGAACACACCCTAGATCCTATGATCATGATCATAGAACACACCCTAGATCCTATGAGCATGATCATAGAACACATTAGTATCGAAGATACTAGACTTAGTTCCGAAATACCACACACTCGAACAGACTTGGCCTCGTAGCTCAGTTGGCAGAGCATTGCCATTGGACTAGTATCCCAAAGGTCGTGGGTTCGATTCCCACCGTGGTCAGGTTAACTTTTCAGCCTGCCTGGTGTGGATACTCAGATTAACATCAAAAACATTAAGTAAATTTAATTTACTGACGCAAAATTCCTATGGTGAGCACAGAAACTTTGATAGTGTAAACCATGGCCTATCCGGAAGGGAAGATGGCTGTGAAACTCATTAGAATAACAATCTAACTCATTATCTATGTTAGTCAACGTTTATTCATAAATCTGGTCCTTCACCGTCACGTGTGTATTGTATTTTTTCCAAATCTACCAATAGCAATTTCGCTATTGTTCGCGTCACGGATAGACAACTTTCCGCTAAAACATTGCTATTGGTAGATTTGGTAAAAATACAATACACACGTGACGGTGAAGGACCAGATTTATGAATAAACGTTGACTAACATAGATAATGAGTTATATTGTTATTTTAATGAGTTTCACAGCCATCTTCCCTTGGCTAGGCTATGTGTACACTGTACAGCCAGCCTTAGGAACAAGGTTTTGATTGAGGTCAAGTTGAAAGAGAAATATATTCATGAGCGAAACATGAGGATCCTATCTGCATTTAGCTATTAATATTCGCCTACTACATTTCTTACACTGGACAGAACAACAATATTTAAACTTGCACTCGCATTGACGTTCCTCTTGCATCCAAAATTCATTATACCCCTGTCCACAACACAACAACCTACAACTATTGACATCCGTGGTATTCTTGCTACATATCCTACCAGAAACCCCAAGAGTCCCTAGTGTATCATCGCGTTCACAGAATGAAGGTGAGTTCTCGGTGTATAAAAGTTCGCTCTTCGTCGGGGTTTCCCGGACTTCCTTCGGAGCTTTCCCGAACCTCGGAGAGTTCTCGGTCTTCGTCGGAGCATCCACGAGCACCAGTTTCAAGCCCTCTCTTCGCTGGTTCTCCGGTTCAACTTTTTTTGCATTATTGAAGATAGTTTTGACGGCGTTTCCAATCAGACGTAATCCTGAAGCTGTTTTGACACAGGTCTTTGCAGTGCAAGCGCCGCTCAATCCATGGCATTTACACATGGTTTTCAACGTGTTCATGAATACCTGGAAATTCAACCGAGACAATTAGCAAACGAAGAAACAATACACAGAATCAATGAGCTTAATCAATGAAATATCAAACAAATAAAAAAATGTTTGAGCAAACTACTGGGTGTCCCAAAAAAAACTGGACATTGTTTGATTTCATGTAACGTAAAAGCTATAAAAGCTATCGCAATGAAATAAAAATCATTGCATTCAGAAAGGACTAACTTAGATTTCGATATATAACACTTAAATTTACATGCAATATTGAGCGAGATAAAACCAAAATAAAAATATTATTTAACAAGTATGACTAGATCGGTAATCATAAGGTTGTTTTACAGGCCTTAAAATATCGGTCGGCCACGGACATTGTCCGACCCATTCGTGAAATTGTCCGACGTAGAGAGGAAACCACCGGACTTTCTGTCCGACCAAAGTGAAACTGAGGTTTATTGTTTGTCCGACCCAAGTGAATTGGTGTCCGACCGAACTGTATAGCTTTGTCCGACGTAAATCAAAATGTAGCCTAGCCCACGACTAGAGGCTTGTATGTTAAATGGAAAATCAGAGTACTATTGTATAAAAGGTGAACTGGAAATGTTGTTTTAACGTAGTCGAGCGCGGGGCGGCGAGCGAAATGGTGAAGTGGAAAACTGGCTTAAGTTGTCGAAGTCTTTTTTTAACACTGCTGTTCTGGCAAGCAAGTTAATTTTGGCTTGGAAATAAGTATGAAAGAAACAAATTTTTTAATACCTTTACAACATTTACCGTTTATTCATTTGTGTCATTCAGACTTATTTCCGAGCCAAAACTGAACTGAAGGTCATCGGACATATGTCCGACCCAAACTCAACGTCACCGGACATTTTGTCAGACGGCCCTGTAAGAGATATTTTAAGGCCTGGTTTTATGCTAATTTTTGGCATTTTCAAAAACGGTAGTTCAACGTTCAAACATCAATAGCGCAGTCATGTAAATTCAAATGCAATATATCAAAATCTAAGTTAGTCCTTTCTGAATGCAATGATCTTTATCTCATGGCGATAGTTTTTACAGCTTGTACGTTACATGAAATCAAACAGCGTGCAGTTTTTTTGGGACACCCCAAAATCCTTCACTCAAATCATTAGAAAATGAATGCAATTAGTGAACAAATCAGTTAATTAATTCAATCAGTCAGTCGATGAATTAATTAATACACCTATTTATCAATTGATCAACTGCTAATAATAAAAGAAAGTAAATTCACAAGGGTAATATTAGATCACGATCTTCAAATGGCAAAATTAATGAAGAAAAGTAATCTACTATAATCAAGTACTCGTACTATATTAAACTCGAAAAAACGTTGAAAAAGAAATCTGTTTCCCTACCAAGCGTCCAGCTCTGAAGTTATGCCTGCTGACCATGCCTTGAACGTCGTGGCTACTTTGTCCAGAATTTAAGAATTTCTCAGAAAAATATATCCCGTGCGCTATTGCCTCGTTGTAATTGACGTAATCTTTCTTGGAACGGCGTTTTTTTGAGCCGATTTTATCACAGGAGGACATCACCCCCCGGGCGCAGTCGAGGGAAACAGCTTTGGCAACGGATGCTGCAACCAAGGCTTGAACAAACGCCACTTCTTTGAAACCTAGAAAAACAAGCTGCGTTAGTTTTACTAGAAACAACCACACTTTACATGTACAACAGTAAAAACCCGCAGAAACGAACCTGGGACCAGTTGTTCAAAGCTGGGTTAGCTTAACCCTAGGTTAACCCAAAATTCAAAGCAAACTCCTTGACAGTTTGTCTATAAATTTGGAAACGTTTCTTCAGATATCTTGTCTGGATCGATAGGAGATTACTTCTCTGAAGTTTTGAAATAAACAGACGTGCAGAAATACACAAACTAAAACAGCAGGTTAAATTTTAACCCAGGGTTAGCGCTAACCAACCTTTGAACAACCGGCCCCAGTGGGTTAGGAACCACGATAGGATTCTGGCATATAAGATCCCAGGAAATTTTCAGACCTGGCTTAGCTGGCAGAAAATTGTTTAGGGCATTACACAAAGCTAACAATCACAGAAAATAATTTGTTAGGAAGAATATAGTAGTGAGCTCGGCAGAAAATTTTAGGGCATTACATAAAGCTAACAGTCACAGAAAATAATTTACTAGGAAGAATATAGCAGTGAGCTCGGCAGAAAATTTTAGGGCATTACATAAAGCTAACAGTCACAGAAAATAATTTATTAGGAAGAATATAGCAGTGAGCTCGGCAGGAAATGTTTTAGGGCATTACATAAAGCTAACAGTCACAGAAAATAATTTACTAGGAAGAATATGGTAGTGAGCTCGGCAGAAAATTTTAGGGCATTACATAAAGCTAACAGTCACAGAAAATAATTTATTACGAAGAATATAGCAGTGAGCTCGGCAGAAAATTTTAGGGCATTACACAAAGCTAACAGTCACAGAAAATAATTTATTAGGAAGAATATAGCAGTGAGCTCGGCAGGAAACTTTGGCCCCAAAACTTAGGATCGATAGAGAATTGGACGAATAGAAGGAATATCACTCTGAGAACAAATTAGAAGGAAGGGGGTTAGAAGAAAATCTGGAGTAGACACTGCACAGCCCTTCACCTCTGAGGTCCTGGGTTCGATTCTCGCTACGGACTCATGTGAAAAGAGTCAGTCAACGCTCTGGCGAAAGTCGTGGGTTTTCTCTGGCTGCTCCGGTTTCCTCCCACAGGGAAGTTGACAGGGTGGGTTAGGATAAACACAGTTAGGAACGAATACCTCTAAATAGTCTACACGCGTAAAAACGCTCAGGTTGATGCAATACTGATGAAAACAGGATTGAACAATGTTTTGCTGCCCACATTGTTCATAGCTGTCAACAATATTGAACAACATTGTTACACCCGATTCAGGCTCAACAACATTGTTCAATATTGTTGACAAGTGTGAACAACGTGGGCAGCAAAACATTGTTCAGCCCTGTTGAACAACGGGCTCGGCGTTTTTTGCCGTGTAGCCTAAGTAACATGAGCGTAATACTTGATGTAATCGGTCACTGAAAAGCCCCAATGGGGAGTGAGCTGAATGATAATGTGGACCATAATAATGGACCATAGAAAATGAGTTAAGAGATCATGGAAGGAATCTGTCAGAAGAAGAAGACAGAGGATGAGATGGAGTAATCGAATTAAGAAGATTATGGAGGAGATATCGGATTTAGGGGGAATGAGGCAAGATATCGAGTTACATAGATGATACACAAGAAGGCCTGGTCAGTAAATATAAGAAAAAGATCAAGAGGAAGGCAAAGGACAAGATGGTGTGACGGAATTATGATTATTGAAGAGATTGAACTTACGGAGGGTAAGGCAAGAGATCGAGTTACATAGATGATACACAAGAAGGCCTGGTCGGTAAATATAAGAAAACGATCAAGAGGAAGGCAAAGGACAAGATGGTGTGACGGAATTATGATTATTGAAGAGATTGAACTTACGGAGGGTAAGGTAAGAGATCGAGTTACATAGATGATACACAAGAAGGCCTGGTCGGTAAATATAAGAAAACGATCAAGAGGAAGGCAAAGGACAAGATGGTGTGACGGAATTATGATTATTGAAGAGATTGAACTTACGGAGGGTAAGGCAAGAGATCGAGTTACATAGATGATACACAAGAAGGCCTGGTCGGTAAATATAAGAAAACGATCAAGAGGAAGGCAAAGGACAAGATGGTGTGACGGAATTAAGATTATTGAAGAGATTGAACTTACGGAGGGTAAGGTAAGAGATCGAGTTACATAGATAATAAACAAGAAGGCCTGGCCGCGAAATAGAGGAAAAAGATCCAGAGGAAGACAGAGGATGAGACGGAGTGATGGAATTAAGAAGATTATGGAGATAATGACGCACGAGATCACATTACATGAAGTAGAAACATTAGATTTTGATCCTCTGACGAAGACAACTAGACTGGAATGTCGAAACATTAGATCATGACTAACGCAAAGAATGGAGGTTCAATCTGAGATTCCCTTGAGTGTCAGTGCTGTTTTTGAATAGCTGGAGGGTGAGTGTTGTACATTACTATGTGACTATTAACCCTCCAGCTACTCAAAAATAGCACTGACACTCAAGGGAAGCTCAGATTGAACTTCCACTCTTTGAGTGTGAGTTTAGTGGCTTCGTCAGAGTTGATCAAAATCTTTTGTTTGAACTTCATGTAATTTGATCTCTTGCGTCATCATCTCTTCCATAAGCTTAATTCCATCACTCCTTATCTTCTGTCTTCCTATTTATTCAGCCAAGAATAACGAGCCAAATTATGACAAAAACTAAACTCATTACCGCTCCGTACCTCTGGTCATAAATTTCGTCACCAACGGCTGCATTGTTTGGCCACGCATGCTCACAAGTGAATCGCAGTTCCAACGTCCATCACGAAACTGGTACTGGCATTCCTTAACCGCCTCGCGATAAGCTCGAAACGCTGCGGCAACTTGTAGAGGGAATTTTAAACACAATTTCATTTGCTTTGCGTTCAAAGCTCGATTCATACAAAGTGTCGAAGTCTTTGTTTTCCTATTTTCTTCGGATTCCCATATTCCCGAAGGTGATTTACTGGTGGGATTTTGCACTTCATTAAGACGATTCCTTCTCGGTCTGATTTCATTCCTAAAAGATAGATAAACAGTTATATCGTGCTATATCTTTGGAGCTTGATATAAAAAGGGTGATTGCTAGATAGTATACTTCAAAATAAGGTTTCCATTTTTATAACGTAGAAAAAACTATCCTAACGCAAAACTAAACCCTACCCCTAAACCCTACCCCTAAATCCTAACCCTACCCCTAACCTAACCTAACTTATTTTAAAAATTGATATAAAAACGGAAACCTTATTTTGAAGTATACTATCTAGTAATTGCCATATAATAATTAGTGTGGTGATTTTGAACTCGATTACGAAAGAAAGTTTCTTAAATACCATAAACTACGGAATATACAGATTACAGATATAATGTTCCTATTTATTCAGGGGTTTCTAGGGCTTACACATTTTACGTACTTAGTCTAAAGCATGAATTTATCTTCAAAACAATACTATGCCACCTAGCTAATTCACACTTTTATATTTTGGATTACTCACATGCTAAATATAGTTACCACTGGCAGTCTGGCACTATTTTAAATAGTACTTAAAAACTAATTAATAAATCATCGAAAATACAAACGAAATCACTGCCGTGTCGTGGTTTTATACGTGATAAAAAAATCATGTTAATTTACATAAACTTTAGCTTTGATTTTCTCGGCTTAGAAAACGTTTATTTTAAAAGTCACTTCGCCAATGAACTCATCAGATGTGTCGTTTTTTAAGCCATTTAAAACCCTCGCCTCCTGCTCGTGTTTTAAATAGTACGTAACCAAAGCATTAAATTATATTTGTGAGTGAATTGGCTGGCAACAGGAACGCGTTAGTCGATGGGTCTATATTTATCCTAACCCACCCCATACCAATTTTCTCCGAACGAACCGGAGTAGCCGGGGAAAACCCACGACTTTCAACACTGGCCTTCCTCTTTCCATAGACGTACAGGCGGAAGAACTGACGTTGATGGAAATTGCCCGACATTATCACTATGGAAACATTGATAGATATAAAGCAACTATAGAAGGAACACATCTTCTATACAGTCGCGGGGAAATACAAACTCAATCTTAAAACGATAAATTGGATTTCATTCTTCAAGATACATCGAAAAATCCTCTACTTTATGGAATTTACATTTAATGAAATAAACTTCAATCTGTCAGCTTCTCTGACTAAACAATAATATCTCAGCATTAATATCATGACCAATATACATTATAACCGTGGCGGGCAGGCCCAGAAAATTGCCCAATTTTTAAGTAGAATCTGCTCGACTAAACACTAACTGGAGATGCCCGTGTCTTTCTCTTTTTTTTTGTTATTACGATTATCAAAATTAAATACCCACCCGCATTTAGCAAGACTATTTTAAGCAGGGGTTCTACACACCAAATATTGGGACTCAGTCGGTGGCGTAATCGTCAGTCAAGCGCTTTTTGTCTCTGAGAACGTGGGTTTGATTCTCGCTACGGACTCATGTGAAGAGTCAGTCAACGCTCTGCCGAAAGTCGTGGGTTTTCTCCGGGCGCTCCGGTTTCCTCCCACAGGGAAAGTTGACAGGGTGGGTTAGGATAAACGACAGTGGATAAACAGAGTTAGGAACTTAGGAAAGTAATATCACAATTGTTCGGTAAAGATATTTAGTCTAGGCTAAGTAGGTAATACAAGTAAGCGTAATACTTGGTGTAATTGGTCACTGAAAAGCCCCGTTGCCCGTTGGGGAGTGAGCTGGATAATATATTTATATGTATGTTTGTATATAATAGTGTATATAAATACATAAATATAGGAGTAATCAAAAAGCACATCTTACTCCTCTACTTGTAGAGCCTAAAGCAAGAATAGATGGGCGCTGTCATCGAAGCCCTTGACTCGTAATGCTCTATACCAATAGATCAATTCACTAATACGAGTTCACAGCCCACAGTCTGCATTTATAATGTTTGTATTAATTACAACATGAACTCAAGATAAATTGTAAAGCGTTGTTAAAGAACAATTTTTGACACGTGTGAGTGCTCTCAGATAAAAAATAGGTGCGGAACTTTTTGTGTTTTGTCATTGCAAATCAGTCTGTGATTTTTTAGGGGGAAAGATGTGATCCCCAATTATTTTTTTGGGGGGGGGGGAGGATTCTTGCTATGAATTCATGAGGATTCGATTCCGAAACTTTCTGACCAACGAGTGGAATTTTTAATTAAAACTAAAGAAGAACAAGGGCAAAAGATAATCAGATTTCGTTCCAATCCCATTACCACGTTACATAAACACTATTTTCAACGAGCGTGAAGTCAATTGTAAAATATTCAGGTCAAACAATCGAAATGTGAGGTTGGGCAATGTTTTAATGCCAAGCTACCAAACTCCTGACGACAATCTTCGCTTGAAACGTAGTTTATTTTTAGATTTTCCAAGCAGTTCAGAAACAAACAATCGAAGAGTTCAATTTTCATTTAATCCTATATTCCTACATTAGATAAACACTTTTTTTCAACCTACATACGTCAGGAGAATTGTGTAACGAAGAAATCAAACAAATAAATATTCATGTAATCCTATTTCAAAATTAATTTAAAAACTTTTTTTCTTCAACGTAGGCAAGTAATTGATAGGTTTCGAAGTCAAACGCCTGCGCAACCATTAAATATATATATAACATGCAGAAATGTAGTGTTCGTACCCCTATAAATAGGAATAATTTCATTGAGAGCTTGTATAAAATTATTAAATCCTTCGTGTTATTCAATTTACAAGACCTATTTCATTATGTTATTTCTATGCCAGATATTCTTAAAGTTTCGCCGGTCCAAATACTGTTATGACATATTAGCAACTTTTGATCTTCTACATTCTACAATCATAAAATTATATATAGATATATTTATGTAATATAGGTAGTGTTATAGATGTTGTCTATTGTCTTGTAATTGTGTCTTTTGTATCTCTTTTGGTATTTTGTTTGGAAATAATTATCATTACTATCAAAATGGTTGGATGATAAGCAAAAAAGAACTTAAATACGACCGAAGTGCGCATGATAAATCACAAAATTTAAATATTTAGGTATTTAATATGACACCGCTAAACTTAGTGATCAATATTTGATAACGATATCTTACTTTTTACACAGTGCAAGTGTACAATACAATGATTAAGTACATCTATCAAGATACAATATACTAACACACTTACCCAAATGAGATACTGTTGCATAACAACACCAAAAACGCTAAACACCATAGATGAGAGGACCAATTCCATAACATGTTCATCTTTCCGTATCAGAGCAAGCCTTAATGTGATTATTCTCTTGCGCATTGCTGCGGGCTTTTATAGCAAATTAAGCATGCGGAATAGAGATGATTTGATTATTAAAACAGCGAAACTCTTGAGGATCAAACAGGAAATACTTGACATACGTGAAGTGGGAGTTGACGAAGGACACCTCTGTTTATTAAATTACTTTCTCAACTTTTCTTTGCTGTTTAATTTGTTTCCATTTCTGGTGGAAAAAACGCTCAGTGGCTCCCCTCTCTCTTATCAGATAGAAGTTTTGTTGCTATGTAACTCTTTTTTTCCAGATATTAAATTACACCACGCGTCACTTGGTAGATTTGAAAGTCAAATGCAAGTTCACTATACTCAATAGTCAAATTCGAAATTGAACAAATTTTCTTGAGTACGGAGTATTGTTAGTTTACCTTCTCAATTCCAAAACATTTCTATATTTATGTCATGTAAAAACGTATGGAAACTGACAAGCTTACAAAATCTGTAAAGTCATTGTGAAACTCATTAATAATTCATGAAGAAATTTAAAAAGAAACCAACGAGGTGTTTGCATCTATATATAGAAAATTATCTAGATTTGCATAAACGTTTTCCTCGATTTTTTCCGTAGCCAAAATCACTTCTTTTTAATTATTTCTTGAAACACAATTGTTGAAATCCTTACGTGGCGGCTCATGTTGTACATACATATTATATTCAACCTAGTTGTATATTTAAAGAAAACACTTGATTTAAGATGACTTAATTTGGTGAAATTGTAAACTAGACAAACTAATTGCAGGAAAGGTAACTGAAGTACACTTTCTGTTTAATAATTGTTTTTATTTTTATTTAAAGAAACATAATTGAGCATCTTGCCTGTTATGAATTTAAAGGCTGATGGCCAAGTTTGGATCGTCTGCATATAGGAGTGTTTGGCCACATTTTGAAACATTGTAATTACTATAGAATCTTCAATCTGTGTTGGAATATAAATAAGTAATATATTGAACGCGGATTACAGGATCAAATTGAGGAGTATTACATTTACAACTCAGTTTCGCTCGACCCCTTTCGTCTGTATTTCGCCGGTTATAGTTAAAAGGGGCCTAAGTTTTAACTTGCCATCACATGAAGGCTACAAAGGCTATGAGCAATGTCTTTTCGTGTATCAGTTGTGTCTAAATAAGGTCTTCCTTCAATGTGGGATTTCAGTGTGGGTAGCGATTACAGGATGACCACGCTACCACTTCTTTGCACGAAACGTCGAATGACTTGTTATATAATTCTGGGGCCGGTTGTAAAAAAACCGTAACTACAATCAGTTTCGAAAGTCTTGGGACAGATGCCACAAAACCTTTGAATTTCAACAAACGTCAATCCTCCCGCCCCCTGTTCAATGTTGTGTCCCATTTCTCGTCAGGTTTGATGTGTTTTGGTTGGAGCAACATTGATTGGCGTGGGGGGAAGGGTGGGGGGAAGGGGGGGGGGGGGCGGTATTGTGTGTAAATAACTGTAGTGATCCAATTACAATCTAAAACTACATGTGTCCCAACAACTTCTGAAAGTGATTGTAGTTTGCAACTATTTTTTAAATCTTGTAAGACGGAACATTCTCTAAGACGCATTTTAGTAAGTGTGTTTGAATAATTAGACCCATAGACTTAGTAAAAAAAATATTTCAATAACTATCATGTATTATGCTTGTGATGTTACTCTGAGTGTATATCCACACCGGGCAAGCTTGAAAAATATGCCTGTCCACGGTGGGAATCGAACCTACGACGTTTGGAATACTAGCCCTAAGCATCATATTCACCTTGAGTGCATTACACCAACACCGAAAAAATTATTATGTATTAGTAATTTGTAACGGTTTTAAAAGTTTTCATATCTTTAGTCACTTCTAATCCGAAACGTAGTTATTAAAATAATTTTTCTACCAATCTAATTATTCAAACACAGAATCATTATTTTTTAGTTAACTATAGTAATTAGCTCCAAAATACCCGATTTTGATTGGTTAACTTTCGAACTAACTGTAGTTAACTTTAGCTATCTTTTGCTACAACAGCATACATTGCTTGCTTCTTCATTTGCTGTTCCAGAATGCATCTCTCTTTAATAACAACCGGAAGGTCGCAGTAGAAAAACATAGATTGAGTACAAGCTAAATATGTGTAATCCGGATGTTTTTTCCATGCTCCAAACGTAAGGTTGGCTTCCGTCTGTATCGAACTTTCTTCACTTTTCTACAATAAATATTTTCCTCAGGAAGCTCTATATATTTCCTTAAGTTTGTGTGCCGCCATTCCGGCGCTTTTGGGTTAGCCAGTGGCGAGGCTATAGCCATAACAACTTTATCCAAACCAAAGATGATGTTCACTCCTGTGCACATGCGCAAACTTTGATATACTTACTGAATATCTAACACTTTTCTGGTTTGCTATACTTGTAAATGAATATAAACTGTACGTTTCAATTCAAAAAGTTCGAAAGATACAAAACTTGGGCAATGTTTATATCTGGGGGTCCCCCTTTGTTATGAGCAGAACTGATGCGCAGTACGGAGTGGAAATCAGTTTAACTCTGTTTATATAGATGCATATTTATTAGCATAACTTGGCTAGCTTCGCCATTGGGGTTAATAGCAAAATCATTCTCCTTGACGAGTAAAATAGTCTGCCATTGGACAGAGTAAAAAAAAGTAAGAAAGAGGATCATCATATATAAAGTGCATTAATTGCGCCTCATAAATGTGCCAAAGACATGCGCTGATGGTCTGGTTAAACCGGCCATAAAATGGTCAACACGTTTCCAATGGCAAGTAAAATCGTCTGGCATTAAAATAACAACATAAGGCGCATTAACCACATTGCAGCTTATTTTTGTATCGTCATCGAGAGACTAGAGTATTCCATGTAGCTGGAAAACGGACAAAACAAGGCACTTGAAAAATTATGATTTCCGCGACGCAATTAGATTAACCAAGCGCAGTTACGCAATCAGGCTACATGTTAATTGTCGTGTTAATTAACCTGTGATTAAACCACCACGAAGAAATTAAAAAGTGTGAAAAGCTGCACCTTTGTATATAGGTGTCAAAAATCACGAGTTTAAAATCAGTGGTTTGAAAGTAGCGTCATGCATGATGTATATATAGCGTTTTGTAGCTTTCTGGCATTTTGCATTGGCCAAGTACCAAAGTTAAAAGAGCTAAAAATATACAACATGGGTGGATTAACCTAGAAAGGCCTCTTCTGTTCAGGGAATAATCCTCAAATATGCCGAAAATCCTTTCGTACTTGTGCGTATACAGCCAAAGGCAATCACATGCAACAGATAAAATCCAACTGTACAAACTAATTAATCGTAGCACACTCTAAGATCGATCTAAATTGGAGTCTCAAATTCCCTTGGACATTGTATGGACGTTTTTTTAGGGTAGTATCAAGACGCTGATTTCATTTGTTTCACTCTTACGTTATTAATGAGTCTGAGAGTCATGACCTTTGGAGAACTCTTCGAGTGAGAGGCTATCATCATCGTGATGTTAAAATGGGGTGGAAATCGTTACTCTTCGTAAAAACATCAATATATTTATATATGCATGTGTAGGTTAAAACCCCGATAAAAATTCAGCCACACCTTTACCCCCGCTGGTCCGGATTTCGCCCACAAATTGACGCAGCCTTAAATTTAGAGGAAAGGGACGTGATCAGACCCACGTTTAGAAAGCTGTATGGGAATACATTATTGAATGACTCTAGAAATTCGTTAAACTGATTGAATTGTTTTGCTCGAGCGAACACCACGCAAGTCCGGAGCTTCATCATTGCAACGATCATCCCGGATTAAAAACTCTTAACTGCTTTTTAACCACTTTTTTTGTTAATTTAAAGAGTGGTTAACTTTTGAACTTTCGCTATTTCGTACTAACTGCAGTTAACTTTAACCGACCTTTTTATACAATCTGGCCCCAGAACGACAGCTTTGTGACAATTGTGGTGTTTTCGCGTTGCGTCAGATCTACAAAAATACGAGTAACGTCCGAGCCTATCACATAGGCATTCTTCAATTTACTGAATTTGATCCTAAAGGCTGTAAAGGCTGTTTTCAGCCGTATCGCGCCGTAGCGTTCTTTGTTTCTTAAGCACTAGAGTGGAACTAACGACTTCCACACAAAAGAAAATGCTACAATGGGTTATAATACGGTTGAAGTAAAAACGGTCTTAAGAGTCATTGAACGATCTTTATGCAGCACATTAAAACGCCAAACATTACCTAATTCAGTTTTATGATTTTAATTAAATGTGGTCGTAGGCCTTGGTCTAAGATTTATAAAATTATCAGCAAACAATTATCGCGCTTACGATATAAAACGCCAAACATACGTTATGATTTAGCATCGTCACATTATCTGGTAATCTGCCCTCCTCCACCGACAAGTGGCGACAACTCTTGAGGATTGACAGGATTATCCAAAGACAAAATCCGTTATAGCTTCGTCAATAGTGTCTTCCGAAGGAAACAATATAAACAGATATTCTAAAGGCGAACTCTAGTCTCAAGACAAGTGAAATTTAAATAAAATATAGCCTAGTACTTTTATTAGAATGTCCCTTAAATATCTCGATCCAAATGTCAATACAGGCAAGACGAAATTGAGCCGCGTGGATGCCAATTAGCATACCATGCATTAAAAATACGTCACGTAGAAAAATCTATTTTTGAACTTATATATTTTGGTTTAAAATAGTGTGCGTCAAAATAAAAAAAAAAACTCCTAACATAATGGCTGTAATAAATTTACATCATTAATTAGTCGCCGCGCAGATTAATTAATTAAATCAATATCGGCAAAGAGATTTCGGAAATTATAATTTGTATACGCTATATTATACTGTGCACATTTTGAGTATATTAAAATAAGCCAATTAGCCTTTCTCACGCCGCCATGTTTGGGTGTCAACCTTTCTAGAACAGGGATAGTAAGCAGTGAAAATGAAACTTTCTATAACTATAGTTGTAAATATAATCATTACAAATCGATTTACAGTTAAAAATTTTAAAAATTATTTTCACATCGCTTAGATTTTTCACGTTGTTTATAAAATAGTTCCCAAAAATGGCGGATTTAGACCTTCGTGAGAAAGCCGGGCTAATTGGCAAAATTCATATCTCAGCTCTCGGATATGCATGGCCAATGCATGTGGAATTAATTGTTTTAATTCTTGTATGTAGACCTATATATATTTGATCGCTCATGACTTATTTGTATCTAACTCGTCTGTTCCTTGCGATGCAAATAAAACTGAAATTATTGAAGTCGTTTTTGTTTTCTGGAAGTATATTCACATGCATGTATACTGCGTTTAGTCTGAGAATACACATATTTTTTTATCCAATTTTGTTTTTAAAAACGGATAGCTGGGCATGAAATTTCTTACTCCTAAGCCGTGCATTGAACCCATGTATGTCACGAAGCCACGGCTAAGATGAGTGGCAAAAGCAGTAATCACTACGCCACTAAAAAGGATTCTTTAAAAATATTTTCTCACTGGAATTCATTTTTTTCAGAATCTTTACTGTGGAAAAGTATGGATCCTATAGTTGGAAATAGTAAGAAAATAGCAACTCCCGTTGACTCTCATCAACTTTGAACTTATTCAAATTTTGATGAGAGATTTCGTTACCCTCGCGGTATAATATCTAGTCAACTCTCATCAACTCTCATGCAACTCTTGCTCTTGTTTGATCGGGGCACAAGAGTTGCGAAAACGTCCATGCATACTCTCACTTTAGTCACTTATCAACTCTTATCAACTCTCATCCTCCGTTCGATTCACTATTTTTTCCGCTTTAAGAGTAGTATATCCGCATCATATCATACGACTCTTGAACAGCACTGCAAACAGAAGCCGAGGACTGAAGAATAAGAACGAGAGAAATAACAGAAAATCTCGGTTAATCAAATAAACTTTATTTCCAGCTCATAATTTATCATATCAGTGTTGTCGCGTCATCAGTTTGTTTGGCGCCATTTCAACATTGAACTAAAAGTGAACTAACTCGATAACATAATCATGGTAATTTGCAAGCGGTGCAATGCTTCCTCTGTTTATCTGTCTGCGCAGTGTGGGGGACGCATCGGCCATTGCTTCGCTATAATATAAAGACCCAAAGCTTTTCTCTCTGGCATTGCAGTTGATGTTTAGCTCTCCGAAGTGAACTTGGTAGATAGAAGAATGATGCACCTAAAAAACGCCTTAGGATTATTGCTGCTCTTAATCGTTTCAGGTTAGTTGTTAATCTGTTTCAATCAGTATTTATGGTTTTGTATGTATTTTAAATTCATTAAAAAAAGAGGCTTTTAACTTCATACTATATTTGCATTGCTGTATATTTCGAATTTAATGGTATTTAAAGCTGTTTTCCATATCGAAACGCACCGTAGCATTCTCGCTTTTCTCAAAGCCGTAATTAGTTTCCTCGACTGCTCAAGAAACAAGGAAATGCGACCGTTCTTTATCTTGCATACTCAAGTCATCGCCTTTCCCATGAAGAAGAAAGGTTTTCTTGTAAGATTTTCCAACGGTTTATTATGTATTTTTGTTCCAGTTTCTCTTCGTGCAGAAGAAAGTGAAGAAAACCTCGACAATATTTTAGATTCCCTTTGTGACGACGATTGGACAGCTAATGAAGAAGATAGCAAATGGGCAGCAAGTGAAGAAGCAGATGAGATGCTACAGCAAGGTGGAACGGGCCGGCCAGGAAAATTAAATGAAGAAACAACTGAAGAAACCACACTTGCCGAATTTCTCGAAGCCGCCGATTTAGAAGATCCGAATTTGCGACTTGAAAGGTCTGAGATCCAGACAACTGAGACAAGGCGTCCTGGACGTTCTGAGATTCAGACAAGGCGTCCTGGACGTTCCGAGATCCAGACAAGGCGTCCTGGACGTTCCGAGATCCAGACAAGACGACCTGGACGTTCCGAGATTCAGACAAGGCGTCCTGGACGTTCTGAGATTCAGACAAGGCGTCCTGGACGTTCTGAGATCCAGACCAGGCGTCCTGGACGTTCTGAGATTCAGACAAGACGACCTGGACGTTCTGAGATTCAGACAAGGCGTCCTGGACGTTCCGAGATCCAGACAAGGCGTCCTGGACGTTCCGAGATTCAGACAAGACGACCTGGACGTTCTGAGATTCAGACGAGACGTCCTGGGCGGTCTGAGATTCAGACAAGACGACCTGGACGTTCTGAGATCCAGACAAGGCGTCCTGGACGTTCTGAGATCCAGACAAGGCGTCCTGGACGTTCTGAGATCCAGACAAGGCGTCCTGGACGTTCCGAGATTCAGACAAGACGACCTGGACGTTCTGAGATTCAGACAAGACGTCCTGGGCGATCTATAATTCTATCCAAAGTTTTACAAGATCTCAAAGTCAAGAACTAAGCGAAAATAAGGATACTCGGATTTATTTGAAATAATGGACTAAGAATATGAAAATAAGAACTGCTAAAATGACGATAGTAATATATAAATAATAAAAGTCATGTGAACATTAGGTTATTGTGTAGATTTAGAATACGAAATTAAAGCTGCATCACTCATTGAAAAATATTTGTAGGTCTATTTCAAAGAATGAAAGTCGGTAAGAGTTGGCAAGCGAAAGATTGCATGAGAGTTAATTCCTGTCAACTCTCATGGCTTGGTAAAACGAGAATAAGAGTCGCATAAGACTTGGCAAGCATGAGTTTTCATGAGAGCTTTCTCAACTCTCGTGGTTCGATCAAACTAGCCCGAAGGGCAAGAGTTGTGAGAGTTGGCAAGTTTTCATAAGAGCTTCCTCAACAGTCTGTCAGTCTCATGGTCAGTCTGTATGTATGAGAGTTGGCAAGTTTTCATGAGAGCTTCCTCAACAGTCTCATGACTGGATCAAACAAGCCCGAGGCCAAGGGACGTATGAGAATTGGCAAGCACGAGTTTCCTCAACTCTATTTATTTTATACTTCAGTAATAAGATAATTAGCATCTACGGTAGCATGTATACATTTCCTATTCTTAGTGTTTGTTATAATTTTGGTCAAATACGGCATTTGTTTAAAGTAGCCCTTATAGACAAAGTAATTTTCCACTTGAAGTCAAGTGTTGTTTTTATTGGCTTCATTGTGAGACATTGCACTACACTTGTTTCAAGTTCCTCTTTCAGTTTATCGTGAGACCGGAAGTTCATTTAAGAGATCCCGGATGTTCCTCCTCTTAAAGTGTAGACATTTTGTACACTTTATCTCAATTTTACCGTCGCTTGTATTCAGGATTACCAGATAAAAACATTGACTATTCTCACGGGAAACGTCAATGTCAAGCGAGTAATACGTATTAACACTTGGTGATATTCAATACCTGTCGTTAAAAAGGGAGCATTAAACCCCATACAGACGCGTAACGTTTCCTTGACATCTTTTTCTTGCCAAGAAGCCTTGCTCCAAAGCCAGGCACGCCAGCTTTTGGACAAGGAAAATTTGTTCGTGTGTCCAAGGAAAACTTGACAAGTGTATACGAAACCCTTCGTGGTTTTGGCAAACAAAAGGCGTCCTTGGCGTGAGATAAATGTTTAAAGGGGCAATGTCACCGATTTTTGAGCAATTCCAACCCTCGCAAATTTTGCCCAAAACTGAAAAAGAATGAGTGTAAGCACAAAATAAAGCAATAAAAGACACGAAAAACATGTACAGAAGTCTGGATGGGCAAGATTACGCTACGATTGAGATGGATTGTAAATGGCATCTTCGGATTAATTGTTGGCGGACACTTTTTCAAGTTTTTTAGTCAATTTTTATGAAAATGTCATGTACATGTTGCGTGGAAGTTCAAAGTTGTTTAATATGACTCATACATCATAACTTAATCTGTTTACAATGTTTATTTTTAACTTTGTAGTTCAGTTTTTGAATAAAATGCATTTTAGGTAAAAAATCGGTGACATTGCCCCTTTAACAACATTCCGGGCACACGAGTAACAAACTTTGTCAAGGGAAACTTGTCAAGGAGAATTTGTTAACCGTACGCACGAGAAGGTAGACTTGTCAAGAAACCTTGTTGACTGTACACACGAGAAAGTAAACTTGTCAAGAAACCTTGTTGACTGTACACACGAGAAAGTAAACTTGTCAAGAAACCTTGTTGACCGTACACACGAGAACGTAAACTTGTCAAGAAACCTTGTTGACTGTACGCACGAGAAGGTAGACTTGTCAAGGAACACTTGCTCGTCGAGGCTTTATCAAGGGCTCAGATGCTTAAAAGGCTCAACAGTTATTTTTCCTCTTGGGATTTCCATATTCCACGTTGGAGTAAACACGGTATTATTTCGCACAATGGGAATAACATCAACAGTATAATCCGGTGTCCACTCAAGTTGGTCTCTATATTTTCTTGGCATTTCAACTTTTAAAGTAATAAAAATGTGTGCCCAATTTTCCCACTCCAATTTAGGATACTCTCTATGCACGCTATTGAGCACAGTAACAGGCGAAAACCTCAGCACCTGCCCGCGGAACATCATGTCAGCGGCCAGTATCACAAATTTCTGACTTTCCCACCAACTCCAATGTTCGAGCTCGAGTCTATAGGGTAATATTAAATCGACAGCGTTTCTATGAAAAGCATTAAAAGCCGCATCAAAATGAATTGTTACCGGCAGGTAATCAGGTAAAGGCTTTAAATCCTTCATTAGATCGCAACAGCGAGTTTCCGGCTTTCCAGTGATGCTATTCAATCTCAAACATTTGCTACAGAACAGAGGCATGCCTATTGCGGGCTCGTGTTCTAATAGGAAATCCTCAAAAGCTTGTAGTGGCCAGCGGATGCCAAGATTACGACAACGCTCTTTGGAAGCAGAGTTTGTAAAATGGAATGTTAGATCATCGTCCATGAAAATATAATACAAGTAACTTTTGGGAATTTTCTTTGCAAAGTGGTATAAAACATTCCTTCCTTCACCCCAAGTACTATTTGCTTTGTAAATATACTTGATGTGTTTTAAATGCCTCGAATAATGTGATGTACACGGTTGTTTCCAACTTAGAACAATGATATGGGCGTTACCTCCACTACCAAACAAACCAGGACGAAGGAGATCGTCCCCTAAACAACTCTCAGTCTGGGTCAAGTAGATAAAATTCTGAGATGATGACGTACTGCTCTTCAAATTGTTACTTACTTTCTGCGTGTAGATGAATGAATGAACTGCCTTCGAGCTCGATTTTAAACTTCTGTGGCTGTCTCTTTTCAAAGCTGTTAATATGGTAGATTTAAGATTCATTTTCCGAAGAGCTGAGGGGTAAGAATTCAAACTTAGAATCGCCTGACCAATTTTACTTCTGTACATCTTGAAATCCCTCTTCGAGCTTGAGTTTAAACTTCTGTACACGTTTGAAGATGTTTGTCTTGTAGATATAGAATTAACCTTTTGAATTGTGGAATTAGTTGGGAAATAATTCCAATTTATAATCTCCTGATCAATTCTCAATGAGGTTCCCCAATATTGTAGTACAAGACAAACGGAGATTGTCCACATTACAGCAGACAAAAGGATCCAACATTCACGAGTCATCGTCGTTTCCAGTTGACTAGCACATTTGTGGAATTGCGATGGTGAGATTGAAATATTAGAAGTATGTGAAAAAAATAAGACTACGAAAAGACGCCTTCTAAGAGCACCTGTTCAGTGAGTTTCTTAATTGCAAACAGATTCCAACCATATTATTGTATAATACTATATAGCCTTATTTTGCCCCAAACGTGATTTTCGAAACTTGTTTGTGATATAATACAATTCTATTGTTGCTCTTGTCAATGAATGAAGTCACTTTCAATGCGTGACAATAAATCTGATATTTAAAAAACAGCACAGGTACTTTTGTAAAATCCTTTATGTAGTACGTCTAGTACATGTCGCTCTCAAAATCTCACCAGCTCTTACTTTTTGAAACTATATAACAGTTCCTTTGTTTGCCAAAACCACAGAAGTATTTCTTGTACAATTATCAGGTTTTCGTTGGCAGCCGTGCACACGAACAAATCTGCCTTGTCCAAAAGCTGGCACGACTAACTTTGGAACATAGATACATAAAATTTTATTTCAAGATGCTTGCCCCAACAAGAAAATGCTGATATCCGGGAACATGCAACATGTACAAGAATACATGAATAAAACAATACACATGAACTAGTTACAAGCATTACATTTAACATTTCTAAAGTCTGACGTAGATTTAAAGATAACTTAGATTGAGTCCTGACGTCGAATAAGCTTTTTTTTATATGTGACGAAGGACGTTGGTCCTTTGCATATCATACAAAATGAAATATCTCCAAAACGAAGCAAGAAAACAAAATTCTGTCAAAGAAGTTACTCTACAGTATTCAATGATCTTTCAAATTAGAGTAAAAAACAACAACGTCAATTTTCGAGTCATATGCCCTTTAAAGGACCTTAAAGTTAGAGTATTGGCTTTTTTTGCATCAATAGATAATTTATTCCAAAGAAATGCGCCACACAAGCGAATAAAACTTGTCAAGAAAAACTTCCTTGTCTGTACACAGGGTTTTACGCAACTGATTTCTTTCGGTTTCATTTTTGTTGAGACGAGGGCACGCCAGGTGGCCGTGGCACCAGAGAGTGAGAGAAAATAGTCTGGGTACGAGTTTGGGGGGCACGCTTGATCGAATTCGTCCGTTACATGTATCCGGACTTTCACATCAATTTCGATGTCAAGATGTCATCAGTACGATCACGTGATAAAATCGGACAAAACAAAGCTGATCACGTGGTTAGCATATCAAAACAAGCACCTGCTGACGGGTGCCACATATGAATAAATTATGAAGATGTTCAATCAGTATGCATCATTGTAATTCTGTTATTAACAATACTCGGCCTACTTCAATACATCACGTCTCTTCTCCCACTTTTCCAAGCAACCATTTGCAGAAATGTTAAGTTAAATTACTCATTTTTCGAAAAATAAACATCAACAGACCTTCATCTCACAGGTTAATGTAATTTAGTTGACATAAAAATGTTTTAGTTACCCAGGCAACTAATGTAATGGATTATAGAACAGCTGAACGTCGCTAAAAACAACTTCTATAATCCCGTTTCAAGTCCGTTGTGTGCCTAAAAAAACTCGAAAGCTTCTAAAGTCGATGCATTTTTAGCTTAGGTTATTTTAAATCTTGAAAACGACTTGTTTTTGCATTCTAGTTTATGTTTGGCGGTCGGGCAAAGTCATTAACATAAACTTTGTGGTATATATTTGAAATGCAAAATTCATAAATATTTAACAAGGTAAAATTTCGGAGTGAATTTTCCTGACGAACCGAGAGGATTCTATACGCGAGGGGCTTCGAAGGGGCTTCGAGGTAGTTTCGTTAGTTCGTCTGAAGAAATATTCCTTCAACTTGATTACAAAGAATACAATATCATATTAAAACAAAGGTAGCATTGCAGAGGGAACGATTTCCGACAGAACCGTTATGAATTCGTGGATAGTTCTTGGCTTGCTGGCCTATTCTATTTCAACGGCGTATTCGGCAAATAACACAGGTAGGAACGATTATTTTGTATATATTTAGCCTAAGTATAAAGCATTTTTAAACTTGAGTAATTATAGATTTGCCGTACACATTTTGACAGCGTTTCGGAGCATATTCTTTTGTCTTCATATGACTAATTTAAAACTGAACTTAAAAGATTATTATCATGAAAAGTTTAGACGGGGTCTTTGAAAATGATTGGTTTGTGTTTTTGAAAGGGTTTTGAAGCAAGGAACCTTATGCATGTTACTTAAAGAGTGAATATTGCTGGCACCTTTAAATAACTGCTTTAGAGATCATTCGCCAAGATTATTTCTTGAGTATAATTATGGAATAAGAATTAAGGGTTTGTATAAGACAAGTGGATGTTACACATTTGTATATAGAGTATAATATAGAATTGTCAGATATACTTTTAATATTACACAGGGTCATATACAATGTTAAGACACTTCGTTGTTGGTCACTATAGGAGCGCAAGCGAAGTAGTATATATCGCTCAACTAGCACTGACGCATACAAAGTCGCAAATTAGTGGAACAACTTAAATATTTTACCATTTATCATAGCTAGCAAGTTTATAATGTAATGAAATGACTATAGCTCTGCATGGGTAAAATTAAGTTGCAGCTATATAGATCTTTCCGAGTTTAGAACACATAAACAACTAAGACAAATAAGGCAATGAATATATATATATATATATATATATATATATATATATATATATATATATATATATATATATATATATATATATATATATATATATATATATATATATATATATATATATATATATATATATATATATATATATATATGTACATAAGCAAACTAAAGCAAATTAACATTTTACTCAATACCTCTGCTCAGAGAAACTACGGTAACTTTGGGATTGAAGACTTTTTCAATAGCAAATCTATCGAGTTGGATGCGTGAAATGGCAAGATATTTCGCTAGATATTTATTTGCGTATTTCTTTCGCTAACAGGTAACCGTTACACCACTGACTGAAAATGCATCGTTTTTATGCAAGCTGCCAGAGTTTTGACTAACTTTAGAGTTAAATATACATTTGCGAGATCGGAAAAATTGTACATGAAAAGAGTTTAGTTCAATGTCAGGACTCTAATTCGTCGAAATTTTAGTGGAGGCGAGGAGGGTGGTTTTGTTCTGAATACGGACTAGCTTCCTCAGACAGGATTTTAACCTGAGGCGGAAAGCGAATTAATTTGCCGTATCAAATATTCTCTCTTTAATATCGTATTTTCAGAAAATGACTTATCTTCCTGACACAAAGTTTAGCGAGTCTGGCAAATACAAACGGTACCATGCGCTCATACAGCAACAAAAGCATTTTTACACTCGAAGACAAAGGCGACTATAAATCGTATTCCTAGCTTGAACATTCTATAGTGCGCCGTTCAACTGCTGCGTTTATTTATGTCATTTTCACGGTTCGTAACCACATCAACAGTTCAGTAAAATGTTCGAACTCTTTTTGGGTGTTTTATAAGAAAGATAAGTACCTTTAAGAGGCGTGCATGTGGTTTAGTAATACATGTTTCGGCTCGATAAAAATGTAAGTCAAATTTCCGTTATTTGACGGTTGCAAAACTCGCTATCTGACGACTATTAAAACAAATGTTTGACTGACAAATGGTTGAAAATGATTTTTTTGTGTACATAGCGATCTTTATATATTTCTTATAGTATCGACTAATGGACTTGTCTTGATGATTGAAAAATAATTGACGCTTTTCAGTCAGAAAGAGTGAAATATTTTCAGGAAAGCACACTAAAAGTTTGATTTGACATGCATGGCGATCCAGCTAAAATAAACCACGTCATATTAATATGCTCCCCAATTTAATTTATGCGCGCCCATCTTCAGATTAATATTAACAAACTTGCAATTATTTCATAAAAAAACACGCGATAGATTCGCTTTATATCAGTGGAGTGCGCATATACCATGCATTTCAAAACAGTTGACAAATCTATAGAAAGACCGGTGCATGTACATATATACTATAGAAATTTATTAACCCGTGTATATTAATGACAACTAATGTCACGAAAGGAAAATTTATAAACCAATGTGTTTTGCGTCAGTAGTTAATATTCATTTGTCAATATTAAGCGTCATGCAGCCTCGCTTAGAAAACGTTCAACATCGGTAGAAAAATATTTGGAAATATTATGTCTCACTCATAACGACCTGCATGAAAAGTTGCAGAACACAAGATTTTTAAAAAAAAGAATTAATGAAGATATAACGCAAAAAGCAATTATATATCTTTACAATCATGTACGTCAATATTAAGTAGGCCGCTATATAAGTGAGATTCCCCTATATGGAAACCCTTAAACACCGGTTACAGCTATAATATTAGAAATGTTATGAAACGTTAAAGTGGATGGAACATTTACGAAGTTTTTCATAAAAATGAGTTAAGAGAGATCTAGCTCGAACAGTTATATGTTTCCCTCGGGCAACTTCGAAACCACGCCGGCAGCTATATAAATAGCAACCTTTATAATGCGACGAATTAATATATTCGAAATAAAATGTCACGAATATAGTCAAACTGCACGCGTTGAACGCTGTTTTTGACTGCACAATGATAGTAAAAGAACGCACTGATGAAAAAAGCGATATAGTATTTGCGTACTGCGTTTGAGAAACATTGTGTCATAGCAACACTGAATTACGTGCAGTGTTAATGAATGGCATATAGTGACCTGTAGTTAGTTAGTGCATCTGCCTTTCGGCATCACGTTTACTATACGGGTTTGGTTCCCTTGGTTCCAGAAGTTTATATTCATGGTACATAGTGTTAGCAACGGTAAAGTAAAAATAAACCTCGGGTTGAAAGCCACAATGGGTGAGTTCCAGCTATAAACTAATACATTTTGACCAAGGCAAGAAGAACGAAATCCAACACCACAGCTAGAAAGAGCATCTTAGAATGAGTAAAACTGCAAAGATTGGTTGTAAAATGTTGTAAAATGAAGAAAATATAGCCCTGCGAAATTCGAAAATTTTGTATATATTTGTATTACGCGGGGTAAAAATAACCACTTTTGGCTCAAAAATGGTTATTTTTCCCGCGCGTAATGCAAATATATACAAAATTTGCTAACTTCACAGAGCTATATTGTCCTGATTTTACAACAATTCGCAACCAAACTTTGCAATTTTACTCATTTGAAGATGCTCTTTCCAGCTATGGTAATGGATTTCGTGTCTAGATCAAAATTTCGTCTATAACTGGAAGCCTGGAATCATCCATTGGTTGATCTCACCGCGCCTCCTGATTGGATGATTACAAAAAGTTCTCGTTGATTCAGTTCAAAACTTGTGTGTTCTGATTGGTTGATTGTCAATTGGATGTCGTTGCACCATATCGAGGTTATTGCCGCTTTGAACCAGAGGTATATTTTCCTTTCGCCTTTTCTATAACATTTATATAAGCAATCAAAATAAACTTCTGCATGGAAACAAGCTTCGGTAAAACATTTTGAAATCCTGACTTATCCTGACAATATACTTAACCATCCAAATATCTGAATTTCGATACAAAATTGTAGATCTAAAATCATGCATTACAAACAAAATTATTTGCTTATCAAACGAAGACAAATATAAAAAAAATTGTAAAATACATTGCATTACAAGATGTACAAACTCCTTGTCGGTCATATTTCCTTTGTCATTTCTTATGAATTATTAATAACTGAACTACAAATTCCTCCAACAGTTGAGCCCAGACCCGCCTTCTGTCTCCATTCAACGCTAAAAGCACAATGGTGGAGTATCCCACCCTACATCTACCGAGATAAAGCCGGCAACATTAAAGGCATCTTCAAAGAAGTTTTGGACGATATCATCTTTCAATGCTGCAAAAGTCACACAAACATCACGTACGAAAAAAATCCACTCAACGACTCCGAAGTTGTGAAGGACCATATTGGGGAAAATGGAACGGTGTTTAGTTTTCCAGTCTACGGCGAAATGAAAGATACAACATTCCAGAATTTCCCTTACATGCCTGTGGTGGAAGCACCGGGAGTGGTGTTTATAATGACGAATGAGGACTCGGCTAACGCAGCTCAAGCTGTCATGGACGCAGTGTTTCAAGGCTGGCCCGTTTTGGTGCTCACATTGGTTATGGCTGCACTGTCTGGCATCATCATTTGGGCGTTGGTAAGGAGTCATTGTTTCTAATACAAGTAAACAATCACAAGTCTGAGTCCATAATTTGCTCTGTTCACAGTGGCGTAACGCTCATTGGGTAGGATTAGTTCAAAAACTAAGGGCTCCCGACAGTTAGGGGGCCCCATCAGCGATGACCTATCGCCCAGTAAATTAGAAAACGTAAAAAATGCAGGGGTAAGAATCAATAAAAAAATGCAAAATTCACCGATAATGCTAAATAATAAAGCCTCCATCGACAACGGTAGCTGATTTTTTTATTCCATCTCAAATAAAGCAAAAGTTAATATATCACTATTAGTTGTTACATGTGTTGGAGACTGTTGTTGCTGTTGTTGCTGTTGTTGTTGCTGTTGTTGTTGCTGTTGTTGTTGTTGCTGTTGTTGTTGCTGTTGTTGCTGTTGTTGTTGTTGTTGCTGCTGTTGCTGTTGTTGCTGTTGCTGCTGTTGTTGCTGTTGTTGCTGCTGCTGCTGTTGTTGTTGCTGTTGTTGTTGTTGCTGTTGCTGCTGCTGTTGTTGTTGTTGTTGTTGTTGTTGTTGACACGGAATTTTCCCGAACATTCTATAAATATTCAATATGGAACAAAATTTCTGAAGAGTTTAGGGAAGGAATCCAAGGCCAAATAACTAGTTGTAATTTGTACTTGTGTAGTTCATCAATACCAAGAAAATTGCTTTTGTCATTCAATCCCTGGCTTCTGAGAGTCAACAGAACAGAGTAGTAAATTAGCTTTCTATGAAAGAGTTGTTTCAACCGATTTGACAGCTGAGCTTCTTCAAATTATAAGATTCCAAAACAACATAGCCTTACAAAACAAGAGGATCAATACTAATACAGGCCCATCACAATATATGCTATGGGCAGAAATGAAATCAAAACATAACATACTTTTTCCTTGACCATTATGTACTCATGAAACAATCTTCATTTCTTCAGGACACCTACTGGAATCCAGAGGAGTTTCCTCCGTCGTTTTTCCAAGGAGCCTGGGAAGGATTCTGGTGGGCTTTCGTTTCCATGACAACAGTAGGGTAAGTATATCAGAAGTACTATAGAAAGCGATAACAAGATTGCGCTCTGCAAGCGTTTGATACGTGACGATCACAGATGTTTGAATGGAACTTTCTCAGTTCTTACGCAATGAAGAAGAAGTGTTCAGAAATACGAACAGCAAAAAGAAGGATAGCAGCGAGAGGGAATGAACTTGCTATTAAACACCACAACTGCTATAGAGCCTAATTAATGAACTGCCCCAAAAACAGAATGAAGACTGTTTAAAGGACATTAATTTTGTCCAACACCGTCCAAACGCAACGAGCCTCAGTCCAACACATAGTGATAAAAAAATCCAAAACAATTTGCGTGTGCATATATATAGTCTATACGGCTCAGCTTGTATTTTTGATTTGATGAAATGTTTGATTTTTTCTCCTAGATATGGTGACCGCTCGCCTCGTTCATTCTTTGCTCGCGCATTCTCTTTTGTTTGGATCATGATTGGTCTCGTCATTATCTCAATCTTCACTGCAACCGTTACAACGTCATTGACCGCCATTAGTTTGAGCAACGAAATCAAACTCTATGGATCTGATGTAAGTTCGTGTATATTATACTGAGAAGGCAGGTTTCAGGTAGTAGCAGAAACCTGTATAGGCAAAATTAAGCCCTAGTCAAACAGAAATGAGAGTTGGCGAGCGAGAGTTTGCATGAGAGTTGACGAGAGGTCCACGGCTAAAAACGCACAGGTTGTTCCAAGTTGATATCGACAGGCGTGAACTATGAACAAGTTGCCAACCATGCTGTTCCAAGTTGTTACAGTTGAACAATGCTGTAACAACATGTTGACAATACTGTTCATAGCGGTGGGCCGCACAACCTTGTTCACGCCTGTTGATATCAACCTGGAACAAGTTGTTGATTTTCTCAATTTTTACGCGTGTCATGAGCGTTGGTGATGAAACGTGACAGCGGTTTGCAACTCTCATCAACTCAGTCTCATTCTTATATATTTCAGTTTAGAAATTATATATGGCGCCCATTTCTTAGAGACATGGTAAATATCTCCCTTATACGAGAACAATTCATTCATAAATAGCTGCAATATTCAACTTTATAAAATAACCTTTTAATAACGCCTGCGCTGATTGGTTGAAAAGCGAAAAATCCCGTGTTTCTATAACGCTATAGAACACGGGAATTTTCCACGAACCTCAAAACAACACTAAAACAAACGTTTTCGCCTGAAATATCGATTAAAAATCTTCGTCAACCTGAAATTTTGTTAAACAAGCAATGGAAAACACTCACCAAACGTTTTTTCGCTTTAAATTTTCTTGAAATCAACTTTTTCAGCGTGTTTTTTCCCATAATTTTGCAGTCGGCAAAACTGAAAATTGATGCCGGTATTGTTGCTAGGCAACATTTTCTTGTTATTGTGTAATGAGAATATACTTTTTAATCGCGTTAAAAATATTGTTTTTGTGTTATTATCACAAGGTTATTTAATAAAGGAAATAGAAAACATTTTTTCCTGTGTTTCTATAGAGTTATAGAAACACTTGTGCTAGTTTGGCAGAACTCGAAATAACGTGGAAACACTCGCACTACGTGCTCGTGTTCCCACTGATTATTTCCCGTTCTCCCAAACTAGCACGCGTGTTTCTATAGTCTATAGAAACACCACGGAAAATGTTTTCTATTTCTTAAATACTAGCTAAGCTTGAAACTTGTACTCCCATTAAGCTTTGCGCGCTTACAGTTTAAGGTTCAGAGATTAAGGTTTGCAAAGGACAACCTTTTCAAAATTGGCTGTATATACCACCTTTCAAACCCTCAATCGAACCTCATTCTATAAATAACTCAATCTACTACAATTACTCCATTTCTGAAGATCAAACTATCATGTCGAACCCGTTTGTATTAGGTTGTCGCTCTCAAAAACACGGAAGAGCAAAGATTTGGAGTTCGAAATAACGCTAAAGTTGGAGGTAGGTTTAACATTTTCCTTCGCGGCAAACTTCTGGCAAAACAATCATGCAGCAACTATGCGGTAATTATCATTTCAAAACTCGTATCCCTTACCGATCCGCAGCGCGCAGCAGTGCAAAGTAGCCTCATGATGTATATATAATAGAAGAGATATATGGTACTGTAGCATTGAAAAATCTACTTACCAGTAATTCCTGATTTTTCATTGTTTATTTGGCAAAGGAGGCACCTAGTAAGAAAATAGAGAACTGCGTCATCATTTAGGAAAACAAGTTATTTTACGCGCACAAACCTCAACAGGTTATTGCAGAACACTAGCGGGCTTCAACCAAGCGGCGTTTTGGTCAACGCCGTTCAAGGAACAACTCCGGCCGCTCGTAAACTGACTCATCTAACCACTAAACACGCTAGGAGCCATGACTACATTCTGTCTTTGCAAATTTTGAGAGAGATTTGAATGATCAGTAATTTAGTACCAAAACGGACAGTTCAGTCGAGAATTTGAAACTTCGATAGATTCTTTAATTAAATTAAGTCAAACTGGATGTTCTCAAACTTTACTCATCTGTACGCCCAATGCAACTGCAAATGGCTGCTGTATTGGTTTGGTGCTATCTAACTATCTTTTGTAAAATATTAGCTTTCCTAATATGTCAAACAGTAGTTAACAATTAGGCCAAGATGGTATGGGCCGAGTTGGTTACTGGGCCGAGTTGACCAGCTTCCCATAAGCTCACTATTGCCTTCACTGGACCCCCACATGTTGAGATATATTTGATGTAATATTTCCAATCCGACTATGAGGACTGGACTAGATTTCAAGTGCGCGCAATTTGATCAAGTCTGAGGCGAAGCCGAGGATTGGATCAAAATGCGAGGACTTGAAATCTAGTCCAGTCCGAAATGGAGGATTTGAAATGACTTTTCATACGAATAAATCACCGACACTACTTAAAGATGATGTCCACTCATGTGCGCATGCGCGAACTTTGTTTACGTTTTGAACTGCTATTTTTGTAAAATATGATATACTAACTAACTGAATATCATATCTAACACTTTTCTGGTTCGCTATGCTTGTGAATGAATATAAACTCTATGTTTTAATTCAAAAAAGTTGGAAAGATGCAAAATTTGGGCAATGTTTATATCTGGGGGTCCCCCTTTGTTATGAGCAGAACTGATGCGCAGAACGGAGTGGAAATCATGTATAAAGTGAGGTGAATTCATTTTGATCCAGTCCAAGGACTGAACTAATTTCGACCAGTCCTAGGACTGTAACAATATACTTCACCAAGGATCCAGTATTATCATGTGACCAAAATAAAGTAATACGGCTGGAGTTTGAGATGAATTAATGGACCATTCCCCATTTAATTAACCAAAATTTTGATCTCAACAAGTCTAGACAAAATTCCATCACAGCATGGAAGAGCATCACAAAATTAATAGTAATATTCCAAAGTTTCGTTGCAAAATGTTGTAAAATGCGGATAATATAGCCTTGCGAAGTTTGTAATTTTCAGTCATTTTGTATTACGCACAGAAGTGGTAACCATTTCCCGCTTGTACTCTAAAATGACTGAAAATTGCAAACTTCGCAAGGCTATATTATCCGCATTTTACAACATTTTGCAACGAAACTTTGGAATATTACTAATTTTGTGATGCTCTTTCAAGCTGTGATGAAATTTTTGTCTATAGACTTGCTGAGTTCAAAATTTTGGTTAATTGGGGAATGGTCCATTAAGCATTCCTATAACCACTCCCATTTCATTTAGTTCGTCACACAGTGGAACAGATGAAGAATGCTATTATCAATAAAGAGGATGACACCATAGGAGGCTTGCTCGACAGTTACGTCGCGGGGTACTGGGCACAAAACACAGACAACCTCGAAACACCGCTGGCCGACCCACAGCTACGCGTGGGCACAGTTTTTGACCATCAGTTTGCATATGGGTTTGTGATCGCGTCCGACGAGTATAAAAACAATGAAGAATTCGAAAAATGCACGCGAAAGAAACTGAACAGCATGGAGACTAAAATTACAAAGATTATACAGCAGGATGCCAAGACGATGGAGGTAGGACAAAATTATTGTACAAAGGCTCAATTCCACTCAGGAAAATTTTCCGCAGAAAGAAAATTTTGTACAATGTGACTGGTCGACACAAATCTTCCGTGAAAAAAAATTTTCAAGTTGAAAATTCTCAACTTTTAACAATAACATTTTCGGAAAATTTTCTGCGCGTGGAAATTTTTCTTGAGTGGAAATGGGTCTTGAGAGAGAGAACTACGGAAAATTGAACCATTTGAAACTTTCGTTGTGTGTCCATGAATGCCTTCTGTTACTACAGGAGGAAACAGGCCGTTACCGGAAGAAAACTAGGGGGACTGAGGTGAAATTATAATCAGATAACTGCATACTGCTACTTTCACATCAAGGTGAAAGGGATATGGACTGTACAGTCTTTCTTACCTAATAAAATCTCCCTTAAGGCGACTCTCTAGGGTTTTATCCCCGGGGTTACATTCTTCGTATATATGTAAAATATCATATCGCGTGTAACTTGTGTGATTTCAAAGTACGAACGAACGTTCTGTTTTATATGGAACTCTTTCTTAAAACAACTGCGTGAAGTTTGCTTTAGTTAAAAGCGTAAAAAGAATTCTAAAATTCACAACGATACTTGGACGCGATGTTTCAGAAAAAGATAATGCAAATTTGTTTTTTCAAGCGGTATTCTTGGACGTTTTTAACCGCCGTACGCGAGGATCGCACCGCGAGCATTGGGATATGAACCCGTAGGGAGTCACCTTAACTGCGTTCATTGTTTCGAATTAGGAATCTGGGGACAGTGCGGCAGTGCAAAAGACACAGAATCTTTTCGACGCAGAATCTCCGATATTTCAAAAGGCAATATTCTGTTCGCTTGGCTTGGTCGCAGGATTGACTCTGTTGGGTTTGATCTGGGAATACGCGTACTGGAGACCACGGCAGCCAAAACCAAAGACCACAGGTGGGTAAAACTGGGGAACTAGAAGGGGGAATCTCGATGCCAGGGGGGTTTTCAGGATCTTTTCCTGGGTCCGTTTTTGCAAAGACGATTGAGTTTACCTAATCAGCTTGGGGTCTTGGGCGGCTGTCTAACCCCCCCCCCCCTCCCCCGCCCCATTTCCGATGGAGAGGGAAGGGTGGCACTTGGGCTATCTATTAATTGACTAATTGACTGATCAATCGATTCATGAATACGAATACACTATTCAACAATTGGCTGAGTGGCAAACCGAGTCATCAACTGATTGTGCAATAACTGTCTGCTTGATTAATTGATTGTATTACACGATATTATACTGACTGGCTGAACGACTGATTGATTGTATGGTCTTACGATTATCTGACTGATTGATTATATCAATCGATTGATCGTCTGACTGACTGATTGATTGTACAATTGTTTTACTTCACGGTTGATTTAATTGATTGCGTGATCATATTATAATTGTATCGATGTATGTTTGACTGTCTGATTGCTATCCAGATACGGATTTATTGATAAATAGATAAGGATTAAGGAATCTCTTCTGTCCAATTCTAGAAGTGGAGAGGGTGATCACACCTCACACATCTTACGAAGAGTTGGTTTCTCAACAAAGTGCAGAGATAGAAGAAATCATGAGATGCGAAGTACAACGCTTCTACGACTCCTGGAACAAGAAGCTGGAAGATCTTAAATATCGCAACAACAAGCTGCGAAGCGATGAGAAACTCGAGGAAGACCATCACGAAACGTTCGGCGAAGACAAACAGAGACTGAGCGATCTAGAAGCGGAAGAAGTCGAAGAGCTCAGTGATGGTTATGACGACGAAAACAAAGATGGGAAGAAATCGCCATTCGCTACCTCGGAGATCTAACTCTCAACTTCTTATACATTGCGGCGTTTTTAATTTGATAACACAACTTATAATATGAACATTTTAGCATTTTTTGCAAACGTTTTTGTGTCAAAAACCACTTTAATTTATCGGTTTTACGCATGTTTACTAAAAAACGATGGAAGCCTACTTTAGTTTCGTTAATAATACGACGCACCTCACATTTCGCATTAATATTTCCGCATCTATAACCGTTGAAGGTATAATGAAAGCACGTTTTACAAAACTTTTCTGTTTCATGATCTGCACGAAGCTGATCACATTGAGTTATTGACTATATAGTGGTACCAGGGAACGTGGTTGGGAACCATGGAGGAGGGAGGCGGGGGAAATATCTCGCATGCACTCCACACCCGAAGACAGACAGATGTCAAGCTAAACTCTCAACCGCCCTGGGGGCGGTTGTTCAAACCTGGGTTAGCGTTAAACCTGGGTTAAAATTTAACCTGCTGTTTTAGTTTGTGTATTTCTGCAAGTCTGTTTATTTCAAAACTCCAGAGAAGAAAACTCCTATTGGTCCAAATTTATAAACAAGTTTTTGGGAAGTTTGCTTTGAATTTTAGGTTAACCTAGGGTTAGGCTAACCGGTCCCGGGTATATTTGCTCATTCAGACATCCTGTACTGAATAAAAAAGCATTAACTTAGTAGATCCGAGTTAAAATTCAATTTCATTCCTGAGATTCACGAGATCATTGACGATTTCTGTTTGGAAACAATCACTTGCACTGTATTTACTTCAATTGTTTAATATATGTATGCATATGTATATAGTAATGATTTTCAATATAGATTAAAAGTGTCAAAATGTTGTTGTAGAATTTTTTTGTAGAAGGTACAACTGGACAGAAAAGGGGTTGCCCTTACCACTGAACCTCTATGGGCGGGAGAGAGTTAGCACTATTTTCCATCCAGCAAACTGACCTGACGTCATTTTTGGAAGATGGAAGAGGTGTTAAATGGCTATGTAACTAACCCCTAACCCTAATTCTAACCCTAACCCCTAACCCTAATTCTAACCCTAACCCTAACCCTAACCGAATTAATAAAAAAATCCAAAAAGAAACGACTTTAGAAAATCGATAGGGCGGTTTACTGGATGGAAAATAGTGCTAACCTATTCTAAACATTGAAAGAAAAAAACTGAGTCTATTTTTCATCTTAATCCGTTGTTATGGTAACAACTGGTGGGAAGTCATCCAACGCAAAACAAACATTATAATTTTGATCCTATAAAGGTGTTAATACTTATAAATGCCTTACAGCAGACAAGAAACAAGAAAAATTACACTTTCCAAACACATGAATGCAGTCACAACTCACAAGCCTAAGCATAGAATCGATACACTTATTTGATCCAGTATTCAGTATTCAAAACGTCGACAAACCTAAGAAATAACTCCGTTAATTTGCTGAGAAATTATACTTTAAAATAAGCGTTTCTTTGACAAAAGGGCACAAAACTAGACGCCGAGGTGTTAAAGATTTGTGGACACAAGAACTTGGGGATGGAGCTCGGGTAACTGGCCTCTATAGGTGCTCAGTTGGTTAGAGCCCTGCAACGGAACAGCGCAGGGCCACAGGTTCTATTCCTGGCAGAAGGCTTGCACTTACATTTTTTGCAGCTGCTCTCGCTTAATATATGTATAAAATTTACACTCAAAGTTTGCATCTCCTAAAACTCTTATAACTCAGTAGCATTGGCATTCTAAACGTCGACAAGGTTAATAATTATTCCATTAATTGGCGGAGAAATTATACTTTGCAATAACACAGTAAGCTCCCGTAACAAAAGTAGACAAAACTCTTTCGTCTTAACGCAGATTAACCCATCAAATTTGTGTGTAGCCTTAAAGTGATTACCATAATTTCAATGCATAGACAATAATAGCCAGCGCGCCAGCTTGTCTATGGCGTCTCTATAAAACTATCCTACGGGATTAGCTTCGGGATTAACGACGATCAACGAGCTATCATCTTTAACACAATGACACAATTTGGAGCTTAGTGTCCTGGGACAGATAAGCCTGTATTCTATTCACCAACTATAACACGGCTCCTGCGTGTCTCTTAGGAAACACGATATAATACGAAAATGACCTATTGATTTATAAGATGGGGCGAGCGATAAAAACGTTCAAACGCCGCGCGCGCGTTCGGGAACAAGGTTTTCCAATTGACAGGTAAAATAAGAGTGTTTAAACATGCACATAATAGACGCAACCCGTTTATTTGCGCTTCTTATTTTTCCACGCGGATTTAGAGCAAACTAATTTTTCGCTGCGCATAGTATTTTCATATTTAGTTAAACATATACGCGCCCCAAGGTGCCTAAATGGGCGTGCAAGTTCACCTGGCCTAGTAAATCATCTGCCCCGTAGTAAAGCAATTATGTGATGTAGCCATGGTGTGCTTACGACATCCAGCTAGGAATTGAGGAGGGAAGGATAGAAACACTGGACTCATGAAATAGCTTTGCGGACTGGATTTCAGTCTATGGACTGAAGTAGGATTTGTGAATGCATGCAAAACTAAACAAACTTTTTATACTGGATAGCTCTGTCATCATAGTTCTAAACTGTTAGTTCTAGACGCTAAAGGTCCAGTAAAACCTCTGCTGAAAACATATTCTAACTACCTTTATTTATACTGGATAGTTCTATCATCTCCAAACTGTTCTCCCTAGAGGTCCAGCACTGAGAACCAGTGTTATTGATCCAGTAAACTAAACTAACTTTATTTGGACTGCACAGCTCTATCACTCCAAACTGTTCTCCCTATAGAGGTCCAGTACAGGAGGAAAACTAAACTAAACTAACTTTATTTATACTGGATGTCTCTATCAGTTCTAAACTGTTCTCCCTAGAGGTCCAGTGAAGATCATCTCTTATTGATCCAGTGTTACTACAGGCGGAAACCTAAACTAAACTAACTTTATTTATACTGGATCGCTCTATCAGTTCTAAACTGTTCTCCCTAGAGGTCCAGTAAGGATCATCACTTATTAGACACCTTAAGATTGACGTTTACGGCAAACGTCAAACCGCTAGCGAAGTTTTTGATTTTACCACTCTATTATTTTAACTTTTACACCAATTTTGAAATATGTTAAACAATTATGAAACTTGTGGTGTTTAGCAATGATTTAAGAAAGCAAATGAACCACTAGTCATGTATTCACCAAAACAGTAAATTAAGATTTGCCGTTTGAAGTTTACGTTTGGCGTATAAATTTCATGCTTGAACGACTACAAGCCTTCGTAGCAGTTCAAGTATGAAATTTATACGCCAAACGTAAACTTCAAACGGCAAATCTTAATTTACTGTTTTGGTGAATACATGACTAGTGGTTCATTTGCTTTCTTAAATCATTGCTAAACACCACAAGTTTAATAATTGTTTAATATATTTCAAAATTGGTGTAAAAGCTATTATAATAGAGTGGTAAAATCAAAAACTTCGCTAGCGGTTTGACGTTTGCCGTAAACGTCAATCTTAAGGTGTCTAATGATCCAGTATTACTACAGGAGGAAACCTAAACTAAACTAACTTTATTTATACTGGATAGCTCTATCAGTTCTAAACTGTTCTCTCTAGAGGTCCAGCAAGAATCATCTCTTATCAGTTCATCCAGTGTTACTACAGGAGGAAACCTATAAACGAAACTAACTTTATTTATACTGCATAGCTCTATCAGTTCAAAACTGTTCGAAAAGATGTCCCTACCAGCGTATTCGGTTGGCAGAGGAGTTATAGAGCCTGTCTTTCAAGATCGAAATCTTCTTGAATACAACATTAGTGTTCCATTCTCCAATCCCAACACCCCAGTGTTAGCGCAGGCAACACCCCAGGTTTCCTCCACGCCACCGACCCGAGACGGGAAGCAGGAAGATTGTTTACACTAATGAAGCTGTCCATAAGTAAGGAATTATGAAATTTATACCCTGACAGATATTCAATTGTGTAAACACTACTTATGAAAGCTAAATAAAGTTTTCAGATTAACAGTCAGATTGCCAAAACGGCATGCTGGGGTGCGCGCGCGTGGGGAGCTTATAAACTTCTCGGAGTGAGGATGCACTAATCCAGTGGGACGCAACAAATAGACCCGGGCACTCGAAAGATGGTATACTTTAACGCAAACCTACCCAGTCAAGTAAAAATGGCATCCAATGATAGCTGTCTAAATACAAAGCCTGTCCTTAGTTTCTCCATAGAAAGAATACTACATGGACATTTTAAGACCGAGCGAGAGAGTTTGAAGAAGAGTCGTGTCCAAAGAATTGGTAGCAACGGAATGACCATACCAAAATTTAACTGGTTAGAATATACCAGATATAATCCGCCCAAATTACCAAGTGAGTACTGTGACGTTAGACATTCAGTTCGTCTGCTTTACTATTACATGGATAGATAGACTAGACTAGACTATAGTTAGTGTCTATTATTAGTAGTGGACTGCTTATTGTCCAAGCAGTCATGCATTTCAAATTTTTACAAGAATAGCCGAAATTACCAAGTTAGGGTTAACTGCTGCAACTTTGCACGCCAATGGGCAATGGACCATATATTGGCGGATTCTGCAGAAACGCATTTTGAATAAAGATTAAAGTTAGAGTTCACATGATATAAGTAAGATCGCAAGGGTACGACTTTGAACTTTCAGTGGACTTAAAGTTGTCTTTGCACAGAATTGTTATGGAAGTAATAACCGTACTGGACAAGTGACTGTTAAACGAGTGTTTCAATAGTTTGAGTTTGCGAGACGTGTTGTACTGCGTAAATTTAACCAATCGACATTGCTCTAACATTTTGTTACAATTGCTCTTTCAATTCGAAATAAGTATTCCAAAAACATACATCGTCATTCACTAAAGAATATAGCGATTTATTTAGCGCTATTTCATGTAACATCGATCTAACATAAAACTATGAACATTGAAGACATTATATAGTTGTATTATCGTCCGGCTTAGTTTGATTGTATCACGTACAATGTTAAATCAATCGCTTCATACCAAATTTGTTGAAGACATTTGAAAAATCGTCCAACGAAATGGAAAGAGATGCCCCCCATAAGCTACAGACCTACGGAAAGTCAGTTGTGTTGTTTGCTACAGCACTATGACGAATGCTGGATATACGCTTAACTACTCGGCTAAATAACTAACTGCATGACTTGAGACCTAGACTTTTACCCTATACGTACAAATGTACACTTTGTACTCATACGACAAAACTGCTTTGCAATCGTTTGCATATAAAGACTATAAACTATCGATAATTCTGCATCTTAACACGAAACTGAAAAGCCTACAAGCGCCTAAACCTCCCAAATTTGTGTGAAGAAGCAGACCTCAAGTGCCCTTCAATCGAATGTAACAGATTTCTCGTAAATTTGCGACATCCTCAAAAAGCACTTGAACGTGTTAAAACCGGACGAGGATTAAAACGCGAGCAATAAAGGAAGTCAGCGATGAGGCGATAATGATAATCGCTTTATGTTGCTTTTCTTTCACAAGCGCGAATGAATATGGCTTGATATATAAACATACAATTAAGAAAAACAATCAGTGAAATCTAAGCCGGCTTTTGTGTGCGCGGATTTATACACCGGACTGTCCCAATGTGATTTGTAAGGACGCTCGTACAAAGTTCTGCGAGATTTTCGACTTAAATATCTTGAATCAGTTTCGTTGCCTTATATATTAGATCACTTCATATTTACTTTTATATACGCAGTTATTGAGAAATTGGTATATTCATTACATCACTACATGTGTGTTAAATAATATGAGCATTAAATTAATCGCCTTTAATAATATTTGGAAAAATACATATAACATCTGAAGCTTTTCAACGAAAACAATATTTTAGAAAAGAATAAAATGAATCTTAAGCCTGAACGTCATAGAGTTACAACAAATTTTACAAGAGTCACACGACGGCACAGTTTTTCACTGAATTACAAATTACAGGCAAACTATTTTTGACCATGTTTTACCTATACTCCTATAGATATCACAATAGTGTACTAAAAAACGCGCAAAACTAACGTTCTGTCAGTATATATAAGGGGGCAACAGTCAGTAATAATACGGGTTAAGTTTAATAAGGGGTTTTTAGTTTTTAGTTAAAGTTAAACAACACCCATTGGCCAAACAACATAATCAATAACTCAGTATGAGAAATCGACTTCAGGTTCAACATATATACATTGTTAAAACTAAAAAGCATGCACCTTTTTAAGGCAAGGAATTGCTGCTTGATAGTAAGCCCTAGATTCTTAAATGGTCTGTGTATATTTAAACATGTTAGTGATTTCCAATGCACATTGCGCGCGTTGATATGTCTCATCGGTACATTGTTAATTAGATTGTCTACGAAGCGATACGATCAGTTTTCGGCGCGATAACGGGCAAACGAGATGCGAATTTTGAACGATAAGACATATTTGATGAAAGTCGGAACGAGTCAATGAAATGTCGGATGGATTATTGTGGCAAACGGATCGGCGTACGCGTTCAATCACTTCCTTAGCGCGCTGAATTGGGTTATTGAAATAATTTAATAAGTCATCCGCGATGCCGGATAGAATTGTCGGCTATAGTTAACTTTTCTGGCGTAGAACCCCAAGTTCTTATCCTCATTACAGCTGGGCCTATTAAAAAGTTAATATTCCAACGTAAAGTGCCAAAGTTTAACATTGATAGCAATTTACCAAATGATTTCACTTATTTTGCACGTTGCAAAAACGACAGTCACCGCGCGCTCCGCTATAGGCAAGGATCTGGTTGTGTACGAGGGTAATGTTTAGCACAGGAAGGTTAGGATGCCCGATGTAGGAAAATATTGAACGATAAAACATACGTTTATTAGACTGCTTTATATATAATACAGTCGTTATATCTTGAACTGGGCGTGGTTTTGCCCAGTCGTAACAGTGAACCCTTACTGGGCCTCTAGCTGAGGAGAACAGTTTAGAAGCTATCCAGTATAAATAAAGTTAAACCTTAGTTTACTGTATAAAACAAAAAAGGAATTGATATCTTTGTGCTAAACAAGAGAGTTAGCGGTGATTTTTAATTGTTTAACCTTGTAATTATTTTAGTTGAATGAAAAACGACAAAGTTTAATTAAGTTGGATTGTGACAGATATACGCCGCTATATATACACACACAATTTAAACATTTACCGGGTGAAATTGAAAAATTTATATATCTGCGCGATTGAGTGCGCAAAAATTTAATTATTAATGCAAATAAATCTCAACAAAACCTTATCCGATATATCACTTTGAAAAATTAATTTGAAGATGGGAATTTGTTTTAGTTGTGCATGGGAAAGAAAGTTAAACAACAAAAGTTAGGTCAAGTTTTGAGACCGTTAAAAGACCAGCTTAAAATCTCAGAGTCTATTTAATTCAGTGTATACCTACTGTTTATACGTTATAATGGATGATTTTTCTAAGCAATAATCTAATACGGTGCATGTTAATTTTGTATGCAAAACAATAAAGTTTCTTTTTCAATAAAACGCAGATTGACAACACACAGAAGTGCAACCGTATATGATAAATTATATATATATGATTAAAACCATGAACCCTCGCTGTATAACAACGCAAATTACAAAGGATTTTACTATGGATCGTTTGGACGTGCTGACGGTGTAATCAACATGCTCTTGAGCTGTGAGATAAGATTCACACACATGATTAGTCTGATGACGGAGCAATCATATATTACGACTTGTTCAAAACAAGACGGCTATAAAATTTTATTAATAGAAAAACAAGTTGATTAGATGAACACCTTTTAACTAATGCCATATTTCATTGTAATGCTCCATTGACTTTGTGGTGATTAATATATGAAATATCCTTACGTGTATATTACACAAATTGAAAAATAACTGAAGTTTATCGAGTGGTGTTCCCTCAAGGACCAATACTTGGAACACTTGTCTCATTTCTTTATATAAATGACATTGAAAATTGCAATCGAACTACTTTTCGATTTTTCTATCTGCTGACGTCGCTAACATGTTTTACACTCGTTCCTGCCTTAAAACATTCACAACGATTCAAACAATGCATGCTTTCTTACAAGCAGAAACAATTGATCAATGTTAAGTCCAAGACCAGTGTCTAACTATAGGGTGTGATGCAGTTTATAATTACATTGTAAATTGATAAAAATCTATGTTCGGACCTCGCCACTCAATTAATGTTATCGCAATCTAGATTCATAAACATATTTCGGAACACTATAAAGAAACCTACGCAAATCCGTAAAGTCCCAATTCCTAACTATAGTTGTCCCTTTTCACTGAACTTAAAAATTTAATTAGTACTAGACTATACCAATGATCAATGTAATTGTTCTGAGAGTATTTTATACTTAGGTTGAACGCAAATGGAATGACGCATTTTCTAAAGGGAGGCTAAGCAGATAAGATAGAGAGTTAAAGGGAGACTAAAGGGGGATGTGTAAGGCGTCGGCCTCTTTGAACACAATCAGTATACAGACTCCTGCCACAGTTATCATAAATCGTTTATGTTTCCATTTCTATTTGTGTATTAAAAATTGTCTTTGACAATAATCTGTGACTAAACAACATTGCACACTGCTTCTCGAGGGTGTTTATAGCTATTTGCTTATAAATGCATGCAAGTGGTACATATAGAGACTATATATAAGATGGCGATGTGCATAGATCTGCTGATGGTGGGATGAAAGGGAATAGAGTGAGGCGTCGGTCCCTTTGAACATAACTGAGTAGAGACTCATTCGAGTCTATTATGATTATAGAATTATACTGCGGTTGTAAACAACATAATCACAAATTACACTATCTACTTTTATCAGGAAATGCCATTGTGAAACACGTAGTAGAAGATATCGTTTCCACATGCTTTGCTGGTTTTGTTCGAAACACAAGTACTTAATAAAGTGGTCAGTGTCATGCATGGTAATTTAACACAAAGTCTCTCATACTTCATTCCAGAACTATACAAACTTCAAAATACACATCGTTTTCAACTTCAATGTCCATGAACAATATGCATGTCTGAACAATTCTAAAACACAAGCATATCTAACAGCCATGAACGCCCACAGAAGAACACGCAAAGCAAAGTTTTCTTACAAATTGAGATATAGTTGGATTCTTGCTGCTAACAGTATAGTTATTTTTAGGTTTCACATAAGGATTTTGTATCAGGTTTTTATGTGAAATCACAGCTCCTGGCTAAACTTCAGCACAAGAAAAAAACTCACACTACACTTCCTGTCCTATAAGTTCATAAGTTCCAATATCATACGTTCGGTTGTCAATCGACAGTCTGCTCAGTGAGCTCGCTTATTGCGTTATCATGCCTATCAATTACAAAAGGAAAGGTTAATACCGCGCATCACTATACTCCAAACCTCAACGCCTGTTAAATATGCAATTCCAAGCATATATGAAACGAACGTAGCTACTTCTACAAGCGGGATCCTGTTACTGCAACAAGTAGCAGTTAACCAGAGTTAATGTTGTTGCTTTGTTGATCTTAAAAAATTGCATGTGCTCAATAAATTTTTACACGGAAATGTTAAATGGTGATTATTATCATTCACAGCACGCTACCACGAGCCTAAATGACCCTCTCACCAAAAGACAAAACAAGTCTCTTATGCATTGTAAGATTATGTATATCCAGGAATGTCTCAGGCGAACTTAGCCTTTTTCAGTACACAGTATACAGTATACACTGATTCACAAGAAGCGTGTTGTACTGCGGCGGCCTGTAAATATATGGAATATCGATCTTGAGATGACAAGATGATAAGCGCACTTAATGTTGATATTGTGCGCTCATTGAGATAAGAGCTAACTATCATTACATTAGCGCGTTTATAATTGAGCGACAATTGACTGCATTCTAAAGTTTTCTAAAGTATTCTACATCAGTCATGTGAGAAGAGTGCTGCTATCAAATAGCAGATGGTGTTCTCCAGGTACTCCGCGGTTTCCTCCAGTAGTAGCACTGGATCAATAAGGGATGATCCTACTCCACTCCTAGAGAGAACAGTTTAGAACTAATAAGCTATTCAGGCTAAATAAAGTTAGTTTAATTTAGTTTTAGAAAAAGTCAGCATCAACCGGTACATGTTTAAACTTCAACGATTTATGGCATTAGCCGACCTAGCTATGAAAACTAATAAAGACGAACTGAAAGAGCTATCTAGTATAAATACAGTTGGTTTAGGTTCAGCCACAAAACGTTGCCTTAAAAGGCACTGCGACTTTCAAAACACACCATTTATGGTGGACGATGTTTTTCAAACTAACCCTCATATTGGCATAGCTTTTAGCACATTACGGAGCCGAAAAGGAAAGAAAAACACTCTATCTCTGCATTATTTACAAAGGCTAATGACTTCACGAAGGACTGTCATTGCCGGAATGATAAATTACAAATTCATATGTTTTTGTTTCAAAACATTGAGTCTTTACACGTAAATAGGGACGCCTTGCAAGCGTCTCTGTCGTCGCTGACGAGAAAATTCAATTATGCAGGGGATAGGTTGAGACCCGCACGAAATTACCCATGAAGCAGATTGCAAGGTTCCATATAATTATAACTAATAAAACGCATTTCACTCGACAGAGTTTATGGTTATAGCTATATGTGAACATGGAGGTGGTTAACCCAATATCCTTGTAACGCAGAGTATACAATTAATAGGATTGAGCCAGATGGTAAAAAAATTTGCAATAACGTGAAAAGATGGTATAGAAGAGTTCAGTATATATTCGGCAAAACGAATTTTTGTTCTGACCCAATCAATGGCTGGTGCACTTTTCTGTACCTCCTTGAATATCTTCCTCAATTCCTAGAATATCTCGTTCTGGACTAATTGGATCTATAGCTAGAGACTTTACTTGCTTGACCTCAAGAGGTATACTGAGAATAGTTTAGCCTGATTGTTATAGTGTAATTGATATTTCAGAATGAATCATGTGCCATTTATATAAATATTAAACTTCACAACATTTGCTACAAATTAAACCATCAAATTAAATAAAGTTGTACCAATGTGTGTGACGTCATGGAATGGAAAATTTTTGCAACATTAATCAAAACTCCGTGATAAATGTAACACTAGTCATCAGAAAATTAACTGGATTAGTCGAATGACAAATGTTCCCTCAGCTATTGTAAAAAAATTCTAAGCCATTGATGCATAATCCAACACACAGACAGTTAGGCTGATATCGTGACGTTTTGAGAAATCCCCATGTGTTTGCACTAGTGACTGCCTAATCTTTTGTAAAACAGGCATAATGCAATTCACAAATGGATCTAAACTGTCTCTTAATATATAAACAGAAGGCTAAACCACCCAAAGCGTTGATGCTTTTACAAGTATAATAAATCAATCATACTCACTAACTGTCTCGCATGCATGCACCAAGACACGTTGCTTATAGCGGAGTACAAGCAATAAATTTAATATGAAAATACAAATGAGTGTAGTATGCGGAAGTATACAAGGATACAACTTAAAAAATACAAGCAGAACTTCGGGAAGTAACCCTAACCCGTCTGCTTATATTTTTCAGGTAGTTGTATCCCTTTCAATCCATAGCTGTCCTGTCATCGTCACTATACCCGTATACTACCACAGACCGCTCTAACTTATATAGGACTTTTAGGAACCGCTATCTTGTCCCGTTACGAAGTCGCTAACAGCGACTACAAGCATCTTAAAATCTGTTTACACTTGGCATTTTTCCTGCGATTTCTAGTGCGATTCTCGTCTTCTGATGCATGTTAACAAGTAGATGAGAGTATGAATGTTCCGAGTATATGTACACTCATCTCAGCATTCATGACTCTTCCACTCGTTCACATCCAGCAGAAGAAGAATATCGCACCTAAAATCGCAGAAAAAATTGCAAGTGTAAACCGGCGTTTATGAGGGTGGGCTGTGGGGTCAAATGGTCCCCTATACTCATGTATGCACACTAAGGTTAGCCCTCTTATCACATGAGACTGAAGCAAAGTTATAATCAGATAACTGTATTTTGCATACCAAAATCAGAGGTCATGCATGTTCACAAATTCTTGGGCTATAGCTCAATCCTTAATTTGCCCAACAGCTCATGCTGTGCAAATTTTGAATGATTTACATTATTCAAACCGTTAGAAATGTTACTTTTTGTATGTGTTGGTGTTATGTACTCAGGTGAATATGATGTTTGTGGTGTTACTCTGAGTGTGCATCCACACCGGGCAAGCTGAAAAGTTTGCTTGGCCACGGTGGGAACTAGTGCACCAAAGGTCGCGATTCCCACCGTGGTCAGGTAAACTTTTCAGCTTGCCCGGTGTGGATGCACACTCAGAGTAACACCACAAACATCTTTAGAAATGTATTGTCTTGATGCAGGCTTATTAGCATAGCATGACCAGTTGCCATGCTTCACCACTCTTATAGTAAACACATCTTCAGTTTCGAAACTAGATTATGAGATAATGTGAAAAAAGATATTTTACAACGCACGCCAGTTGTCAGTCTGCCTGAGAATCTGAGATATAGCCAAGCAACACAAAGCAATTAGCAAAATAATACATCATGCACTGGACAAGAACTTCAAGCCGACGTGAGTGCTTAATCGTGCTATAACAATCCAAGTTGTTTTCACACGGAAATTGAATGCAAACATTTTCATATCATGATGTTAATCTTTTTGAATAAACTTCGTCGATGTCGTTTTGTGATATATTAGTTTTCCTAGAGTTATTTGTATTTCGTCTGCACTCAAGGAGGGTGGGGACATATAGCAGAAATAGAATATACGAGAAAATGTGTTTGCCAAAGATGGCCTTGTTTTGGATTTAATGATTTGATACAAAAGACATATAGCCATATAATGTTAAGACTGGTGAGGGGGGGGGGGGGCAGTTGCATGCGAACCATCACCACCAGAGAATATCAGCACCCCAGGTTCGAAAGTATCACAGCCCATGATTTATGGTACCTTTGTTACAGTTTCCAGCGGTGCAAATTAATGGACTTTGGTGGCAAAGCGATTGCATGCACCATGCAAACAGTTTTTGATCTACTTTTCCCTCAGTTTCATGCGAGAAGAATGCTTTCAGTTCTGTGTAGATCCGCCCATAAAAGTTAACCTTGAATGTTATTCTTGAACAATATGACAATTAAATGCCATCACATGTGATATATTATTATAAAGCAATGATCTTTCAAACTTGTAAATGCATGTGGTCTATTATTCATATAAATAAATTGGCTGATTAAGGTTTTAACATTTAAATCCTAACAAATCCTTCACTAGAGATTTCCCATGAGAACTAAAAGTACATATATATGCGTGGGGTTGCACTTCCTTAACTTAAGTTGTCATCCACTTGGATTATTTCGATTAACTTTTAATTCAAGGAATGAGTTTGTTAAGTCATAATAATTGATAGAGTAAAATTTGATGTCAGTATTTCTACAAGAATTCTTCCGGGTCGACTCTGCCAAACAGGTTTTCTCCAGGTAACAAGAGCAGGCTCTTATTAGATCTCCAGGAAAACAGTGCAGAACTGATAGAGCTATCCAGTACAAATAAATTGGGTTTAGTTTAGGTTTCCTCCTATCTGCTATAGTAACACTGGAGTAATAAGCGATGCGTTTCACAGTACCTTTAGGGAGAACAGTTTAAAATTGACACAGCTATCTAGTATAAATAAGGTTAATCAAATTCGATTTAGTTTTTAATTTCTTACCCTCAAAATTCTCTTCCAGAATCTAGCAAAAGGCGACCGAAGCAAAAACGTAAACCAGGCCGCAATCCCAGAGTGCCTTTCACGCCGAAGCAACTGACAACCCTAGAGAATAAATTTCAAACAATGAAATATTTAACAAACGATGACGTCAGAGCTTTGTGTAGTGAACTGTCCCTGCCGGAGAGTAAGATTAAAATTTGGTTTCAAAACCGCAGAGCGCGGGAAAAGAGAAAATCATCACAAACTGAAGAATACATTGATGTGACGACAGTTGACAGCGAATGTAACAGCAGTTAGAGACCCCATGCTCTCAGTAAAACAACAAAAATGTACGTCACAGTGGTACAGCATCCTTTACGGCCTTCTCCGCAGCCGTTTTAAAGGAATTTCTCTGCCTAATAGCATCCCTCCGAAAGAGATTTGCAGACGGAGATGAACTCATTGTATATAAATAAATAGAAAGTAAAAATTGGATGTATGAAACGAAATGTGTGGCTCTATGAGCAAAAATGATTTTCTTCAAGACCTAAAATGATTTGACACGAGCTTGTGAAAAAAAGTCATGTAATAAACCGATTCGAAACTAGCTGTCATCACTTCGCACTATTTTATATTTTATAACCATTACCAGGCTAACTGAAAACAATGTTTTCAACAGAGACTGTTTATTAAAAAAGAGTGCAAAAGTTTAAGATTGAGAACAAGGCAAGCGAAATTGTAGCCCTTTGAAATGTGCAAAAAGCATCGAAACAGGGCTAGTCAAGCTTCTTTTCTAAATCTAGCATAAACTGCGGTATTAACATTTAAACTCTCAAAGAGAATAGAGCGTTTGCACTCATTCCCTAGGGACCAACTCAACAAAAGCCATGGCGGCCATGTTGGTGTTCCAGACAAAAGAGTCTAATTAAAATTCTTTTGAATTGAAACACCAACATGGCGGCTGTGACGTCATGTGCAAATGTTTTATACATAGTACATTATATTTATATTTTGTGAAACAGTACGTCTTGAAGTATTCTATAAGGCGGCAGTGACTACCTTGGTTGAAATTAATTTCGGAAGAAAAATGATGGCAACTACTTTTCGAGACGGTGTATAATGTAGGAGAAGTAAAGAAGAAACTCTAACCATGAGAACGTATAGTTGATTAAAAAAAACGTTTAGTGACATGTAGAATGCGTGTAATTTAAATTAATAACACATAAAACTATGTACATATGTAGAAAGTTGTAAAAACAACATTTTTTTCTGTGAATTGCGTTTGAATTGCTTTTCTTTGTGGTCTTTGCAAGAATATCGAATAGAAGAAATTTAAAACACCGAAAACCGCATTGAAAAACAAAGCTATAACCGAGTTTTCTAACCGAAATTTGAGGGACAAACTAGGCCCAGTCCTCTTTGCACACGCTTTATTTTTCCGTGACGCATCCTCGTCCCCATGCCTACGCTCTTAGAACGAGGATGCGCATAACGGAACTGCATGTATGGCGGAGTAGACATCGAGGCTTGGGTACAAATGTAGTCAATTTTAACATTCATAAATTATTCAACTGCCGTCGGCGTGGTTTGTTATAATGTACATCCCACTGCCAAATTTTTAATAAAACTCATTTATTCCTATTTGTTCAAATTACGTGTTATAACTTTATGAATGTGGACGTGGTTATTAAAACGGTCCTAACCGGCAAACAGTGTTTACTTAACATATTGAGAAAAAGCCATATTTAATGAAATCAGTAATGAATACATTTAAACAAAATTTCAGCCAGTCGTGTTAAATTGCCTCACTAAAACGTCGAAAATGAGTATACATATATATATTCGAAAAACTGGTTTTCGAAGCAAATACTTAGGTAGTTCGTTGATTTTTGAGTGCTGTAGTTCATGAAATAAAGAGAGATTAAATAACACTTTAAATTATTGAGCGCCAGCCGCCAGTGCTATTCACTTCACGAGTAAAATCGTCTGGCGTTAGACAGAGTAAAATAATAAACCACATTGCGGCGCGATGCAACTTGACGGGTTAATCTAAAATTCATAATGAAATACGTTTTTCATGTAATGACTTGAAGTATAATAATAATAATCTGAGTATTTAAATATAGCGCTTAATCTATCAAGGAATATAGATACATCCCAAATTTACTGGCTCGCAGTAAAAAATTCTCATTTATTATGCTAGCTGATATTATCCGCCTCAATTTGAAGCACTCAGCCAAATTACAGAAGTGTCTATTTTTGTCTTAATTTTCAAAATTATCAGGTTGGATAAAAAATTGCCAAAACGATGTTTATAATAATTATACGGTTTACTACAAAGAACGGGATCTCTACTACAACAAACAGATATCATTACACAGTTAAGCATGACTATATTCTTAAAGAAAATACTGCTAAGGGGCGGCGGACCATTAGAAATCCCGGGAGGTGGGTTATAAAATTTTTGCGGCACGATATTTTTTTCAGTCTCATGTCTCTGCAGGATTTTTTTATGCATTTAACCTCTGTAAGAATTTTTTTCAAGACTATTTGCACTTTGCTGTTTGCTTGCACGATTATTTTTTATCTAACGTAATGGCTGCGCGAATTTTTTCCATGCATTTTTCTTTGCACGAATTTTTTTGGAAGAATTTTCACCCCCCCCCTCCCCCCCCCCACACGGGATTTCTAATGGTCCGCCCCTAATGTGCTAGGTATAACATTATATCTAAAACTGAAGGACATAAATCATCGTTTATGCCTCGGGTAATTTAACTTTTTAACAATAAACTTTAAACATTACATCGAGAACTGAAAGACATATATCATCGTTTATGCCTACGGCAATTGAACTTTTTAACAATGAACTTTAAATTTTTATTGTAATATATACAATTCATAATTTTAGATTGATATTGTAAGTCCACCGTATTTTTCTACCCAAGGTAGATTATTAGTAAAGCTCTATATATTTATATACTACTAATGGATAGCTTTATTAAAATTTTCTTGCATGCTAAGACAAATGTTTCTCAGGATTCAGGATCCCGCGATGTCAGTTCGAACTTTCATCAGACATACAGTATAAACTATGATTACAATGAACCACGATCCTGTCAATATATTCTCATGCAATTTTCACCAAGGCAGGTACTCCCTCACACAATCCCTAAAATCTTTCTTGCGATAAAGTACCAAGAAAGGATTCAGCACTGCATTTGAAAACATCACCGTCTCTGCCCAGGGATCGACGATAAACGTCATTGTAAAACTAACCGAGTCACTAGTTCCAAAATACCCCAATAGCAACAACGATGGAAAATAACAGAGTAACACAGACGCAACAACTATATAACTTGTCTTCGTGTTACGAAATACTTGCTTCGTGTTGGGACCCGATTCATCTGAAGGTGTCTGTTTCGTCCATATAGTGTTCTTATGTTTATGAAGCAAGCGATGTATCCAGATCCAAATTGAAATAACAATTGTTAGGCTGAGAAGATTCAGACCCGCGCCGATGAAAAGTAGAATCGAATGTGGTAGTATACGTAGATGCGATATTATTAACAGGAATGTTGTTAGCCAGGTTATAATCACAATGATTTTCAAGCGAATTGGAGGAAGAATACTATGATGTCGGTACGGGTAGGCTAAAGTTATGAACCGTTCTATGGTCATAATGGCAATAGTTAACAACGACACGCCGCAACAGAAATATGTTATAAGCCGACTTGTAACCCACAAGGAACAGCTGTGGGTTCCTAATAATTCCATCACCAATCTCGCAGCGTAAAGTGGCTCGACCATGGTCGAAATTAGAAAGTCGCTACAAGCAAGGGTCACCAACATCATCGAAGGTAAGGTCCTCAGTCTGGAATTCTTTGCGTAGGCAATGATTAATAGAGAGTTTAATACGAAGCCGACTATCCCAAGTACAATTAGTGTTGGTATCAGGATTAGATTTGTAACAAGGTGCACGCCTTCGGCAGCTTCGCTCCAGTAGTATGTCACAACGTATTCATTACACGTTCGTAGTGGCCCCTCATTGGATCTATTAGTTCTATTGGAATTGTTTAACTCCATGTTCCACACTGAGGTAAAAAGCTGTACTTGCGAGGTGGGTCCTTCGGTCGTGGTATATACTACACGATTCTCCTCAATATAAGAATCTTCAGAATGAAGGATTCCAAACCTCTGTACAATGGATTTCGATGTACCTTAGATCTGTTGTATCTTTAAAATGTAGGATCTTTAGATTCCAATCTTCACTTTATTGATTTTTGAATATTCAGTTTACAAAATTCCAAATTTCAGTATATAGGATCCAATATTTACCACAATATATAATATCCTCTACAAATAAGATTCCAATCTTCAGCAGCTATATATAGTATTCCGAGCCTCCCTATATCGGATTTCAATGTTTAAACACAATCTTCAGTTCAAAAAGGGTTTCAATCAACAAATGCACGTTTCTTACTACAAATCTTCAAATACAGGTCCTTTACAATATTGGATTCAAATCTTGAAATACAAGTAGATCCGAGCCCTATTAAACAAACATCAATTCCAACCAATTCTCATGCACGTCAGTCAAAACTCATTGAATAACATACAGTGGAACGTGGTTTGAATAATAGTTTTGATAACACGACTAAACAGAACTGTTAAAATTCTTCATTAGCGATCCAGTAATATGTCCTAATGTCACAAGCTGTAGCCAAAAGCTTATCAAAATCCTTGTTTATTAATTCTCGTATGGAAATTTTAGAATAATAACAGGTTTTCGCACATACGAACAGCCAATAAGGCGAGTAGAACGAATATAAGATATATTACCTACGCGCTAAACCAATTATATATATGTTTGCTTTAAAGACTAGTAAATTATTTTGCCAAAATCAAAGGACGAAAAGCGAAAATCTGCTTCAAGTTAAAACTTATAACAGCTATTTAAAACTCAATTTCATGTAAAATAGCTGAGTACCGATATTTTTATACAGTTTAGTAGTATACTCGTTGTATATGTGAATAAAATCAATTTCGGATTTGGTTAATATTTAATAGGAAAGAGTTTATACATCATATATATGTTGTCTAGTCTGTATAATGATAAGGAACGATAAATATGGTATATTTGCGATAAGTTTTGTTTTACTTAAAGTTCTGATAACTTAAAATTTTGGGGTGTTTTCTTTTTTTTACTTTATTGCTATACTGTATATATTCTTCTCGGAATAGATGGCTTCTCAATTCACGAAAAATTTGTACAAATTCAAATTGTGTATAAGGAATAATTCAAATAGTCATTACTTAAAAACATGTCCCAAGAAACTCTCTATCAGAATAATTCATTATGTGTGTTTTGCATATGGTAAACAGTTTGAAAAGAATTAATCTATAATTCGAAGGGGTTCGTTCTGGGGGACAAATTGTATATATCACAACTGTCGTTTGTCTACAAGGCAGGTCTGATGTTGGGCTTTTGTTGCTTCGATGACGCAGTCAGCAGAACAAGCGCCGTTCACCTCTGAGATCCTGGGTTCGAATCTCGCTACTGACTCGTGACACTTATGTGAAAAGAGTTAACGCTCTACCTAAACTCGTGGGTTTTCTTCGGGTACTTCGGTTTCCTTCCACAGGGGATGTTGACAGGGTGGGTTGGGATTATCCATTGAACTATATAAAAACTGGAAGGCTAACTCAGGGGGGGGGGTATTGAAGCCAGTGCATTTTAGTTTTTCTGAGTTATGAGCAGAAATACTCAACACTGAACGTTGGGCTATATATCAAATTGAAGCTATTGAAAAACGCTATTTGGTGTAGAAATTTCAAGACTTTAGCTAAAAGGGAAATATTGAAAAACTACAAACATAATTACCGATAATTTGCCATTTTGCAGTTGTTTTTGTATTTTTTAAATATTTTTCTTTTCGCTGAAGTCTTGAAATTTCCACACCGAATAGCAATTTTCAATAGCTTCATTTTGATATATAGCCGAACGTTTTGGGTCAAGTATTTCTGCTCATAACTCAGAAAAACTATTTTGGCTTCATCAAATCATAGGCCTTCATCATAGCAGTTAGCCTTCCAGTTTATTTATAGTTCAATGGGATTAGCCCCCAAACTGACCCTTCCACCGTAGTTGTGCTCGGTGATCAGTCATGAGTCATAAGGTGGTTACCAGAGGCGCCTTTAGTAAGCCTTCAACTCGATTAGGTTGAGCTGTGTCCTTCGCAGTTCAGCTTAGCTCTCAGCTGTGAGTAAGAATGATTACAAAACACCCATTTATTAATTACTATTGACTACGAGTGATGTTTTCTAGTGAACAGATTAAAGTCACTGGATTTTGACCGATCCACTTCTGTTCTCTTTTTAAATTTTCTTCAATGTTTAGTGTTCTTCTTCCAGAATATTCCATATTCGTCCAGCATACAGACGGGAGGGAGGGGGGTAGCGTAGGAAGGCAAACAAATCCGACAATGTCCCATGTGTTGGCAACCAAAAATCGCATGTATGATATTATGAACGTGTCTTCCACGACAAAATCTCCTTCGCCGTTTCTCTGAAACCACTTTTCCGCCAAAATAGAAGACTTGGGTTAAGCAGAGAATTGGAGAACATCACAGTCTCGACCCAAGGGGCAACCAAGAATAACACAACAAAATCATAATCTTGCGTTGCATTGTATGCAAGTACTAGGAGGCTGGGAAAATAGAACAGCAAAACAGCTCCACAAATTAGGTAGCTCGTCCGTGTCGTACGAAAACTTGCCTCTTGTCGCTTTAAATGGTTTGTGTTCTTTTCACTTTCAGGAGTCTGTGTTGAACTTATCGCAGCGTTATGTCGTTTGACAAGTCGATTCACCCAAAACCAAGTCAGGAATACTATTAAAATGGACAACACTATCAGCACATTGCCAACAGAGGACAGAACAGTGTATGATACTGGACCAAGGTGTAATGATACGAAGATAAAAACCAAAATCCAAGTTATAGCGACAATCATCTTCAACCTTAAAGGTGGTAAGATATTTCGTTGTCGATAAGGGTAAGCTAAAGTTATAAAACGTTCGATGCAAATGATCGCGACGGTCAAAAGAGACAAGCCACAACAAATGTACGAGGACATCCTGGCCGCAATCAGCACGAAGCAACTGTGGCTTCCTCGAATCTCGTTTATCATTCTTGCGATGGACAATGGCTGTACGATTGCATTTGTCATAAAATCACTAAGGGCCAAGACGACGAGAAGCATGTTTGAGCAAGTTCGTATCGACTGGTTTCGCCAGTAGACCATCCAGACGAGAACATTGAGAGACATACCAGTTATTGAGAGCAAAATGTTCACAATGATGTAGACTATGTTGGAGTAATAGTGAAAGCCGTCTGCTGGTGCGTCCCAGTAAAATGTCAGAAAAGAACCGTTGCAACGGATTAACATCGGAGGTGAATAGGAATCATTGCCACTGGTATTCATTGACATTATCATTGGCAAGAAAGTTGATCCCAAAAAAAAAACTATTCTCAGATAAAACTATCCTCAGAGAACCAATTAAAGAAGTATATTCACGAAAATTATGAACAGAACAACAGCTTTTAATTTCGCCAAGGCGCACCACATTTGAACTTTTAGAAGATTGTGATGATCAGCTGAAGATTATCGTCACAGTCCAAAGAATGACGAGCTCAACAAAGTCGTTGATAAAGGTGATATACACAATGGGAACTAAATTTGCTGATGATTCATAATCTTTTCATTATTGTTCCTGAACTTCAACAAAAAATACATTCAAAATAATGACACCTCAGGCGTTGCTACATTTACAGACTCCTATCTTCTTTGTGTATTATTACTGTCGCGGATTCGTTGTTGTCGGCGAGACTTTAGTTTAATTGATGATAATAACAATTGCGTTTAAAATTATACGTTTAAACAAGCAGACCAACAATGATTTGTAACAAATTACGAAGTTTCCATTTACCAGTATTTTGTTACAATTTATATGTTCCAACTTGATGTTTCAAATTTACACAAACACTGTATGCGACTAATGATCCAACTATATTTGTCTATCTTAAGTGGTATGGCCTTATATGTATATATATATATATATATATATATATATACGCGTTTTTACATATTACCATTTATGGCAGGGGTCTGCTGCCCAACTGCTAAATCGTTTAATTATTAAAGAGTTAAAGATAAAAACAAAATGTGTATTAAGATGAAACAAGTCTTAATTAAACCGATAAGACAGTCAATAATTAAAAACATTTTTCTCAAAAAATTATATTCTAATTTTTCAAAATTTCTAATAGTATTGTTAGATAAGAAATCATTTTCCCCCCATGCACTTATTCGTCACTCTAAAACACAATAAACCTGATAGTAATATTTACCTTTTATAAAACAAACATATGGACCGAATTTTAGCATCAAAACAAGTAGACTAATCTAAATTGTAAAAAGACTAATTTAAATTGTAAATACGTTTTCAAATACACAGTTAAATTAACTTGTGAAATAGGACAGTTCATCAAACTGTTCCAAATTACAAATTGAATATTGTTTTATAATATATCATCAAAATACAAAGGAAGTCATTCCATTTTGCTGCACTTAAACTTTCTATGAGATTCAAAACCCAATTCAAGAGTTTCTAGGTTGATGGACATAAAAAAGTCCTGAAAAAACCCCGTGTTTGTCATATCAAAACTCTTCAATCAACAAACAGAGAATAGAGATAATAATCCTTTTAAAAAATATAAGGGAACGTGCGGTATTTGTTGTAAAACTTAATGAATGATAAAACCTATTTTAGGTACGAACAAACATAAACTAAAAAATTGAACCTGAATCATGCTGTCTCTCTGTCAACAGGGGTCGAGAAGGTTTTTAAAACATATTCTTAATGTTTCACAATAATGGTATCCTGCCGTGTCTTGTATTTTAGGGACAGGTGCAAAACTCAAACGGAAACTTTTTTTACATAAAATTAAAACTCAAAGTAATACCACGTTTACACTATAAGAAAGATAAAAATTTGAATGCGCGCAGGGGAGGATGGGAAGTAAGGTATCATATTGCTGATTATGCTGCATGAAAAAATAAAAATGGCGGCCGTGTAAACACGGAGTGATAGCTTATACTTGTAAATATTGAAATATTTCGGTTGTTTCGGCAGTTTTTATTGAAATTTTTCCAGCATAATCAGCAATATGATACCTTACTTCCCGTCACCCCCTGCGCGCATAAATTAAAAGCTTTAATTATCAATATGTAAAAAAGCAGAGAAAGTTTACTACAGTGAAAAAGATGGAATCATATATTTCGAGTGTGTTTTGGTTCACGAAATGCTAAAGAGTGCTCGATAGTAGGTAACCCCCATATCTGGCGGCGGAAGTGACGTCACAAAAGCGATGGAAGTTAGGAGGGGTGATGTCGTTGGGAAAGTGTAGCGCTACATGTGTAGCGCTACATTATGACGTGTACATGTGTAGCGCTACAAAAATATTATAGTGATCGATGGCATTATCAGACTTTTTGCATATTCCACCGACGCATTCGGGAAGCCGCAAATTATTTTGAAAAATTTTCTAAAGGTCTAGTATTCGAAACTTAGTTTACTGTCATTTGTAATCAAACGCGCCGCACGCCGAATTGTTTTGGTTATTTGCTAGCAGATTAACATCAATAGCCTGATTTATACTCGATACGGATCTGGATAGATTATATATGAATAATATATTAAAAAAATCATACACATCTTCTTCTATCACCACTAGCTATCTGACAGTGTTCCAAAATTATGTCAAATAAGTTTGTTGATAATAATTTCCAGACTGGCAGTTCTGCTTATTGCATGCTTTGGTTTATCACGGTTCATACATGTGAGGAAAAGTCAAATTCAAGGACTTTTCAAGGACAGTCAAGGCTATGTATCAGCAAATTCAAGGACTAAATACTGAAGAAAAGAGGTTAGAAATCAGTAAAATCTGACGTTGAATTGTTCAAAATGCAACTTTAATGAGTTTTAAAGCTTCGTCAGATATGAATATGCAAAATCGTATAAAATCAACAAAATGTCCGTTTTGAATGTCAAACAATTTCGGAAAATATCCAAAAACTAAAGCAAGAAAAATTCAAGGACTTTCAAGTACTTCTTTACAAATTCAACGACATTCAAGACCTTGAATTTTTGTTTTCAAATTCAAGGACATTCAAGGACTTTCAAATTTTGTACGAACCCTGGTTTATTTATTTATTCAGTAAAACATTTGCCCAAAGACAGGTGCAACTACAAAAGGACACGTTTTCCAATACACTCTGAATGTACAGTGATAAGATGATAAGAAGAATAGACATGAAAAACGGGACCTTCTGTGTTTACCCTATAATTCTCCGTGTCTAGCTTCGTCTCAAATTTCAAAGTGTAACCTGCAAACAGGCGTACTATCAAAATATTAACGTGTGTAAATTAGCAACTTTTTAGCGTCTCGATTCGTTTCAACAACCAGGGTGGAAGGGAGTCATCTTCAGGTAAAATCATGGCCATCTCTTTAGCTTCTCGATTACATATCTCGGATTTGGCAACAGACTCAGCGGACTCCATTGTCGAATACTTTTTAATTAATTTGAGTAATATATATACCACATCCCAATCATTATAACAACCCGCTTTTGCAACATCCCTTGCTTCTTCTAAAAATTTTAGCGCATCATCTTGCTCTCCTAGGGTTTCACAGATCGAGGTAATGTGATAAAGAGCAGATACAAACTCCTCACACGTATCTTTACTTATGGGTAGTTTTCGACGTATTTTGACAACTTCAATAAAGTAATCTTTTGCTTCACTGAGATTGCCCATCTGTTGCGCAGTAAAGCCAAGATTTTGATAAACTGCTTCGCTGCAATCACTGGTGCTATCCTCTCCAAAAACTACAGAGTTCATGGTTAGAGCATCTTGCAAGCACTGGAAGGATTTTGATAAATCACCATACACATTTCGATAAACTACTCCCATACTATTAAGTATACCAGAAGTGACAGCATGAGCGTGATTTGGTCCTAAAAGTTCATCCATCATTTCCTTTCCTTCCTGGAAATACTCTAGAGATTTCTCCGAGAGCGAAGCATTTCCCAGATTTTTCAGCATTACAGCGAGAATGAAATGAGGTTTTCCATCATACAATTTTCTCGCATGATCTAATGCAATTTCTAAATTCTCCAATTTGGCTAATAAGGGTAGATAACCTGAAAATAAAAAAGAAGTTACCTTAGTTCGCAGTGGACAAGGTTATATTCTTGAGGGGTCCAGTATTTAACCCTTAAAGTACGACTAACCACACATATAATTTTTGGTATGTGTAATATTTGGGTCATTCTAAGAAGAAATGTATCTTTATAGTAAAAAACCTCATCTTGATTAACTTTTTCACTGTCAAAGTTTCCTGATATGATGTCATTAGGTGAATTTTTGGTACAAAAACAAAGGAAAACTAATTTGCAATTCACCTAATGACATCATATCCGGAAACTTTCACAGTAATAAAAACTCCATTCTTGATTAACCTTTTGATAAAGATATATTATATTTCTTCTTCGAATGAAAGTAAACTGACTTTGTTTATACTGGTCAATTCTATTAGTTCAAAACTATTCTTTCTGAAAAGTCTAGTTATATGAAAACTGAGGATTATGTTTGGTTCATCTGTCACCTGAAACAGTCAACTTTTAACATATACAATCTTACCTGGGATAGGACCGTTGCCAAAAATAGTTTGAAACAATTCCAAACTTCTTTTGAAGAAAGACAAGGCTTTATCGTTCATATTGCAACGTTCATATACCGTGGCTGCTACCGCATACGTTTGAGCCAACGGGGAAGTGGGACTCTGTTCACCAAACTCCTTATGACTCAGGTCAACCGCCCGTTTCAAACAATTCATCGACTGTTCATATTGATCGAGTTCGCTTAACACCCAGGCCATGCTTGAGTTTAGAAAAAGCACATGCATATCAGGAACGAAGGATCGTTGTTTATAGATTTGTTCAACTTTTTGAAACGTTTCAAAGGCAGATACGAAATCACGAGAATAAGCATCAACTACGCCTAGAGCATGCATCAAATTCCCAAGTATGATGGTCTCACAGTCTTCGCCAAAGATTTCGTTGTGTTTACTAATCCCTTCTTCCAAATATTTTCTAGCCGTATCATATTGTCCTAGACGCACTAGTGCAGTTGCAAGATTAACAAAACATATAAGTTCGTTAAAGATTGACAGTTCTTGATTCTTGTAAGCATCCAACGCCTTTATACAACAATCCACGCTCTTGTTATATTCTCCAACTTCGAGGTAAACAACGCCTTTTCTGTGAAGAACACTCGTGTATTCCGGACTATCTTCCGATTCCAATTCCATCCATTCCAACGCTTTGGACAAATTATGGAGACGAAGATAAAGACTTCCTATTAGGTTTGCCTTCGAGGACGGAACAAATGGATTCGCAAATACACTGGTGTCGATCTTATCTTGCTGAACGTACGTCAGATAAAACTTATAGCAACGGTCATGCATATCGTTAGTGACACTTAAAAGACGAATGAGAACATCTTCATCAAAAAATCGGAAAATAGAAAGGTCGGCAGATTCCTCCGTTTCATTTTCTTTTCGTGGAACAGGCGAGAGTAGTTCTGTTTGTTTATTATAACCATAGTACGTTTTCAACCGCATTTCGTTTGCAATCGACAGGCACACCTTGATGCTTGCACTTACAGCCTCGCTAATGATTCCCCGAGTCTGCAGCTCTTGAACAATCTGCCGGGGCGAGGGACATCTGATGTCGAATACAAGTCCCAAATCTGACAGAAGTAGCGAGATGAGACGGTAGAATTGCCTCTTAGCATCGAATAGCGCACCCATTGATGTGTGAGATCCAAAGTAGGAGTCGTTCGGAACATACTCAGCAATGTCGGCCACCATTTGTTCAATTCCCCGCATGAAACCAACTGTCCGAATAGATTCGTTCTCTGTTGACGACGATGTTGCATTTAATTTTTCAGCCACATGCTCATTGTACTCGTCCAGTAAAGCTTGGTCTCCATGAAGCAATGTAGCTCTAGACATAACATCAGCTAAATAATAAGAACAATTATTTAAACAACACAATAGACAATTCCCATTATAGACTAATTTCAAAACTAGGCAAGGAGATGCAAATAAATCATCACAGCTAGAAAGAGCATACTAAAATTAGTAAAATTGCAAAGTTTGGTTGCGAAATGTTCTAAAAATGCGGAAAATATAGCCTTGCAAAGTTTGCAAAGTTTGCAAATTTTGTATACTTTTGTATTGCGTGCGGAAATTGCTACCATTTTCGGCCCAAATGTGGTAGGAATTTCCGCACGCAATATAAAAGTATACAAAATTTGCGAACTTTGCAAGGCTATATTTTCCGCATGTTACAACATTTCGCAACCAAACTTTGTAATTTTATTCATTTTAGTACGCTCTTTCTAGCTGTAGTGATTAGTTTGCATCTCCTTGCCTAGTTTTAAAATTAGTCTATAATGGGAATTGTCTATTAGATTTAAAGTACTCAAGACTTGATTGATCGAGAAACGAAAACCTTCTATCTATTCCTGCATGCGCTTCTCTTTCGTTCATTCTAAGCGCCCATGCATGTTCACACGGGATACTAATAGTTCACACGGGATACTAATAGTCCACACGGGATACTAATAGTTCACACGGGATACTAATAGTTCACACGGGATACTAATAGTTCACACGGGATACTATAGTTTAACTTTAGAATGTTAGGGTTTGTAATCCAAGTGATTATATACATTTTAAGACCTGACCAGGAACGACTGCGAAAAATGCAGCACAAGGTCCTCTGGTAGGAATTGAACCTACGGCCCTGCGATTCCGGTGCAGTGCTCTAACCAACTGAGCTACAGAGGCCAGCTGTTGAGCTGTAACCGTAAGTTCATGTATATATACGTAATCGGATGTGCGGGTTGTGATAAGGTGGACTTGAATGTGGTTTCTTGCACTTCACTTGGTGGAATTAATATTAGAATGTTAGGGTTTGTAATCCAAGTGATTATATACATTTTAAGAATCGCAGGGCCGTAGGTTCAATTCCTACCAGAGGACCTTGTGCTGCATTTTTCGCAGTCGTTCCTGGTCAGGTCTTAAAATGTATATAATCACTTGGATTACAAACCCTAACATTCTAATATTAATTCCACCAAGTGAAGTGCAAGAAACCACATCATTATATTTTAACTTGTATATGTTCACACGGGATACTATAGTTTAACTTGTATACAGTTTAATGTGTATACTCTTTAATTTGTAAATAGTTATTGTGTGACGCCCCTCGTGAAAAGCAGCTCACGTTAATCGAAGCTAGCGTGTTTAAATGAAGTTTTACCATGCCAGTTTTACCATGCCCGAAAGGTTAGACTGCAATGTAATACACCCTTTCGATAATTACGTCACAACTACACTGTTTTCAACTTAGGACCACCTTAAATGGAAAGAATCTCAAGTTTTTTTCTCATGGGCTAAGCACAGAGAAGCAGAACATCCTCCTTCAACACATGCGCGAAAAAAAATTTTGGATTTTGATCGATAAATATGGAAATAAGCATTAACACGAAAACGAGGATGCAGGTCATGACCTGCAGCCTCATTTTCGTGTTGAAGCTTATTTGCACATTTATTGGTCAAAATAAAGAATTCTTTTCATACATGTGTTGAAGGATGTTCTGCTTCTCTGTGCATAGCCCATGAGAAAAAAACTTGAAATCCTTTCCATTTAAGGTGGTCCTAAGTTGAAAACAGTGTAGTTGTGACGTAATTATCGTATTGTATTGCATCGACCCTCATTTTGCAACATAGATATTTTTACCTAAGTGATAACCTTCTTTTACAGCAATTTCTTCATCTTGTAATTCGGCCATTTGTTCAGGTGTTCGTATCAACTCTAAAGCGGGCTTATCCTCCGTTTCCATTCTTCCCAGCGGGGTTTTGCAAGCCCATGACATCGCTCCATCAAACGAAATACCTCGAGGCGTTATTGAGTCATAGAACCAAATGCTATTGGGATCTGAGGATTGAAAATCATTGAGCTGTTCAATCCCTAAAGCTGGTAGGATAGTCTCCCCCAGATTAATAACTTTCACATGAAGAAAATAAGTCAGAACTCGAAAGTAGTTGATCTTGTCCCCTATTGCAGGGTCCGAGTACAGGATACCAAACTCTAAGTCTGAAAAGGGCGTTGCTTCCATCCTTGCTACCGAGCCAAGGGCAATAATGGCGTAGTCACATGGTGGTGCGCCAAGTCTACTTTCACATTCCTTGGCCAGCATTGATACCAGCCTGTTGTACATATCTTGAATATCTCGAAAAACGTCGTCTATCTTAGCTGCATGAATCTTAAACAGAAAATTTTGTTCAATGTTACTGGGTTTTTTTGTGTGTGTGTGTTTTTTTTAATTCAGACACTAGCTGTCAATGATTTCGGAGTGTTTTCAGTCATTCTGTAGCGAAGACAAGGTTACGGCTTGTCTCCTGTGTTTTACTTGATACATTGGTGTTTCTGGCCAGCAAGTTTTGCTTTATTTTACAAACAGTGAACTGGTTACAAAATATCAAGAGGGCAATTTATACGAGCGTAAAAATGCCACTGAATAAGCAGAGCTAGGGATGATACCAATTAACGACTGATATAAACGAGTAAGTTTTTCAAAGAGCGTAGTATTAGTGTCAACGAAGCCATTTAACAACCAAGCATTTTAATCAAGGTAGATGATGCATGGCTACAGCTTCCAGGTGAATATTTAATTAGGGTTACTTTTTGGCTTCGAAAACATTTCGTGAATTAAAACGTTGATCAGGCGCATTGAACAAAGGCATGCATGAGGATTTGATAGTTATAAACAAATTTTGGATGAGGCTCAGCACGATTTCAAAAATTATTCAGACAGACACCAATGATATTCAGCGAAGCGAAGCTGAATTTAATAATGCAGTCATTGTCTTTTTATGTAAATTTTCTATTTCGTTTGAGTCAAGTTTCGATTTGTTATTTTATAGTCGCTTTCGAAATTCTTGAATTTTTGCGTCTAAACTTTAATTTGGTTGCTGTCACACGACTAAAAGTAATGACCGTTTAAGAAACACATAAAATTACATTTGTATTCCCATATATTAATAAACATATAGTTTTTAATTACCTTATATTCATCCTCGGTTTTATCAGTTGTATTAAAGCAGGAATCAATTTTATCAAGACGCTCTTTGAAGATCCGTCTTTCGTTGGCAAGGAACTCCTTATGACAATCAATTTCATGGCGAATGTCGTTTGCACAGACTTCAACAGCTACATTTGGCAAAGACAAGAGAAATTCGCAATAGGTCTCGACGACTTTACGAAGTATTTCGCCGCTTATTTCATGATTCACAAGTTTTGACCGTACAAGTGCCGCGTTGAAGAGTGCGTCTGCTTTTGTGAAATCATCACCATTTGCAGTGGTCTTAGCTTCCTTCAAGTAGCAGTTCCCAAGCTTGAGAAGAGCTTGCAGTTGTTTTGATACATCGCTTCCTGCTGCTCGTAACTCCTCTACCGTTACTGAAAGATCATATGTTACTTCATCCATGTATACAGTATATATAAGCCTATATAGTGTACTGATGCTTGTAGTGTACCAGTTTACAAAGTAGCTAGATCGGCGCTTTGACGTCCAGCCTCCCCCTTGTCTCTGTAACTGCTTTAGAGCATTGATTACACTACACGTATGTTCATTTTAGAATGTACTTTCATTTTCATGATGTGAACCGGAAATACAAGTGGCTCTCATACAAAAGGAAATTCTCTTGACAAAAGGAAAATTTACGACTTGAGGCTTAAAATATCGAAAGTGGGGAATGTCAAGCTTGGTGACGTTTAAGATCGACAGGAAATTTATTCAATTGATCAGAAATCCTGCTGATTGAGAATTTATCACCGCAAATATTAATGTACACTTCAGTAGCTACTTCTCGAATTCTGAAACGTTGTATGGAGATAAAAACGAGACGATGACTTTGCCAACGTGCACGAAGACAAGAGGTCAGCGCATTGAATTCGGGGTCAACGTCTACTGCTACTAGCAAACAACTTTAATAATTCGGCGCGCGGCGTATTTAAGTGAAATGGTCGAGGGATCTCAGAATTCTTGTCCGACTTGTCATTTGTGCGTTCATAATTGTTTGTTTGTTTATATATTAGGTGCATGTTTCTTAGCCTCGTTCTCATGGCTTTTCCCTCCGCCTCGCCCGTTCCTAGAAAGCCCTGTGAATTATTTCTAGGAATGAACTTGGTTGTTTCTTGGAGAAACCGCTGGGGCAATGAGAATAGCAACGTTGTGTACACAACGATCAGTTCTAAAAGTACACACGAGTGGACCACGAGTGACCACGAATGGACCACAAGTGACCACGTGAATGACTCAGCGCTCCCATTTTGAAGGATATTTCGTTTTTAATAAAGGAAATTCTGAGACAATCTCAGGAAATCTGAGAAAAATTAAGGATATTTGAAGGAAAATATACAATTTTCAAAAATATTGTCAGAAAACACTAACTATTCACGGGTAGTGAGTTTCCTATCGTGAGTTTCCTATCGTGAAACCCTATCTATAATACAATCATGTGATTTGTTCTGAATTATGACGTCATGGTGGTAGGAATGAAAACAGAAGGGCACGTGGGTATGAAAATAGAATACTGATTCCGAAGATCTAGAAACTACAAATTTTCAAAATCTCTCTAACCATAGCCTATTGAATGGAAGATGGCTGTGAAACGGATTAGAATAATAATATAACTCATTATCTATGTTAGTCAACGTTTATTTATAAATCTGGTCCTTCACCGTCACGTGTGTATTGTATTTTTGCCCAACTAACCAATAGCAATGTTTATTTTAGGAAAGTTACCTATCCGTGACTCGAACAATAGGGTAAATTGGAAATTGCTATTGGTGGATTTGGTAAAAATACAATAAGCACGTGACGGTGAAGGACCAAATTTATGAATAAACGTTGACTAACATAGATGAGTTATATTGTTATTGTAATGAATTTCACAGCCATCATCCCTTCGATAAGATATGCTCTAACCTACTAATAACCTTGTCAACTTTGTCCTGGTTAGTGTAGAAATAATGCTGTCATTCCTCCATATTATGGAACTCTGAATAAAGTTCTGCTTGCAATATTCACTTCGTATATGACGTTATAACTATTAGCCTGCAGGGGTGGTTCACCCGCGGATTGCCTGCATAAACATGGCCGAAGCTTGCGGAAAATGCCGCGTAACTTTAAATAAATAATTTACCATTTCTGATTAAATTTAATTAAATGCGTAACATGACTCAAACTCTTGCGACCAATCATTTGTTGTGAAAGTTTTATTTTAATATCACAACTCCTACAATTTGCAAATTTTCAGTAAATATTGTGACATGTGGGTGTTCGTTGTACATAAACACAATTTCTAGTGTTTATAATGCGGTTTTCTGTTATCTAATATCAAAAACAAACTGGTGTATTATAATTACTACTGCTGTTGACAGGACAGAAGCACAATTGTTTTCATATATTTTCTTTTACGAGTAGCATATGTTGAACTGTTCAGTCATCATTCGCGTTTTAATCTCCGATCAAACGAGGTCATGAGAGTTGATCAGAGTTGGCAGTCACGATTACACTATCAAAGTTTCCATGCCATGGTGATCACAAGTAAATTCTAAGTTTTGAAGGATTTGTTACTTAGTGTTAAACACTGACTCAGTTCTCTCAAACATTACTTACCGCAAATCCTTCAAGAATACACAATTCCCATTCTAGACTAATTTTAAAACTAGGCAAGGAGATGCAAATAAATCACCACAGCTACTTGCCTAGTTTTAAAATTAGTCTATAATGGCAATTGTCTATTTACCGATGTAAAATTCCTACTGCGATCACAGAAACTTTGAAAGTGTAAAGCAGACTTTACAGGGGACATCTCAAGCTCTAGATTAACAAAATATAGGTTTGATGAGAGTAATTCCAACAGTACATGTTAGAACTTAAATAAAATTGATGATAGTGTTGGGAAAAGCATTAAGAACAGCTAACCAAGCTCGCGTGACTACCAACTCTCATGGACTCTCATGTAGCCTCGCTTGATCCAGTTTATACATATTGCCACAATAAACATCAGTTCAAAATTGTTGTCCCCACCCTAGATGGGCAGAAGAGCCATGCCTATTAAATGCAAAGTTACTCATGCAAATATCAGAGCAGCCAAAGAAAACATGCTGTGTTTGTTCAAGCTGGGAGTACTTCTCTCACATGTGACTGAAGCGAATTTTAAAACAGTTAACAGTATATTACAAGAATCGAGCCCCAATTACAGAATTGAAAGACACGCCATCAACACCTCTGGGCAACAAACGCCAACAAGGGGCGTTAATGTTTTCTTGTTCCAGTAATACTGTCATTCCCTATTACATTGCTCATATCACGGGCAAAACATCTTAGCCGACATATCAAGATCCTGGCAGTCTGTCTGAACTCGCTTTTCCTCCAGAAAACGTACAGCGGATTGAACAATGAATGAGCAAGCAGGACTATTTCACCCCACGGTGTGACGATGTAGATGCCCATGAAATTCGTGGGTTCTGTGTAATAGTACGCGAACATAAATATGAGAGGGAGATAACATAGTATTAGTCCTACGACGATTATACTACAAGTTCGAGTGTTTTTGTGCGTCTGTTGGCGAGATTCGCTTTCAGTTTTTGATGTCACTTGGAAAGGCCTGTGGTTGGTAGTTATTCTTCTTTTGTGCTTTCTTAACAGTTTATACACCCATATCCAAATTGCGAGCAATGTAACGATACATACTACAACAACAGTAAAACAAAGAGCTAGAAATGCTTTATATGGTATCAACCAAAGGTGGCATACTACCACAACGAATGCAGAACACCATATATTTGCCACAATAATGTTCATTCGTAATCGTGTTAGGATCGTTTGGTTGCGATATGGATATGCCAAAGTAATGAAGCGTTCTACGCTTATAAAAGTCACAGTAAGCAACGAAACTCCGGCAGAAAAATAAGATGTAAGTCTGGCGACGGTCCAGAGAATACAATTATGAGTGCCATAAGTCTCTTTGATTAATCTGGTTGCATGAAGTGGTAGCACCACAGAGGTAACAAGTAAATCACTGAATGCCAACGAAAGAAGAGGTATATTGGACAACGTACGTAAACGGGAGTTCTTAAAATACGACAACACCACAAGAACGTTTGCAATACTTCCCAAAAGAGCCGACAATAAACTTATTGTAATAAGTGTGATGTTGGTGTAGAAACGCAGCCCAATAGCAGGTAATGTCCAGTAGTAGGTTACGAAGAAATCGCTACATCGTTTCAATTCGCCCGTAATATTTTCAGCCATGAAGTCTTTATTACTTGTCAATTCAACTTCTTATCCGAGAAATTTAACGCTGCCCAGACTTGGAAGGAAATTGAAGAAATATAAACGCTCTCCTTTCTACAAGTGACCACTACACGATCTTATCACTTTGTCGTTCTTTTTATCAGCTCATGGCCATGGGACAGATGGTCTCAAACGAAATTTTTATCCATGATTGTCTCGTCTGCAATGAATTGTATCAACACTTTTTCAACTCGAACGCCTACCCAACTCTTGAGCTGGCTTTTCCATGAATTTGCAATTCCAATCAGTTTAGTTAAAACTTAAGTATGGATAAATGAGCCCTTATAGCTTTGTTTCCGATTTCTAGCCGCAAGAACGAATTCAATTCAGTAACGTCCTCTGGATAATTCTGTTTGATCAATGACTTGCCTACAGTGATCTAATCGGTGTCTAATGCACTTTTTCTAATTTCATGACAGTCATATATACATATATATACATATATAACTTAAGCAGTTTCTTTAAAAGATAACGACAGCCTTCGAGTGTTATAAAAAGTCTTCTGCAGTTGACGCAGCTGCTGCCGATATTAAAGATATTAAAATCATCACACTTTTTCGTCGTAGGAAAACCTCCAGATTCGATACCACTGTTCTAATCATAAATTAGAAGACGGTTAATATATGATTTATATATTTATACCGTTGTTCAGAGAAAGGATTTGCCACAGAGAACGGCTATACTTTTGTCGCTTCGATCTTGGATAACCGTTTCTTTGAGTACATCCAAAACAAACTTTATAAGAATATATACATATACATGGCACAAATGAATTAATCAAGTAGAACACTTATCACCAGTGCATACAAATTCCACGTTCAAAAAACGTACGTATGTGATCTGCGCATGTGAAAGTTCAGTACACCTTTTCAACCGCTTAGTCGTGTTTGAAAGTTTCAAAATGTATTTACTACAAAGCAAAGCATCTGCCTAATGTCATACTTGAAGGTTTTGCTTAAATTAAAACAGAATAGATGCCAATCAGAAACAATATGAACAATAATTTTAGTTTACTCGGGTATTAAAATAATCATCCTAAACAAATGTAGGGTCAAAATGGGGTCATGACAATATTATTCTATACGAGCCTACAGGCAATTAAAACTCGCATATCAGTAACTCACCACTGAATGAAATGTCGCAATTATTGAACAACGTTGAATGTATGGGTATGTTGAATGCATGAACGGCCCAAGTTTGTGTTGTGCAAAGGTGGTCACCGGTGCTATGAAAGGCACAAGCAAATCAAGGGTATATTGGAAGAGCTGCTTGGGAAGATATGGGAACTAGGCGACTTATATACATAAGCTTGTTTTGTTTTTCAAAATTGTAAATCACCTCACTCCAGGTTATTTGTCCGTTTTATTACCCCAGACAGTACAACAAAGGTCCGGTTTAGTTTTGCGTTTTGCTTCTAATTTAACTACTTTTCTGACTAAAACAAAAAGATTTAAAACATCCTTTTTTCCTTCAACAACCTTGCTATGGAATAGCATTGACTATGTAGAACGTAATAATTTATCAATTAATGTTTTTAAACAGTATCTTAAGAATTTCTTTGATATTTCAAGTTATTCAAAATATTTTGATTATTCAATAGATAGATATTCTTCTATTTTGCACACTCGTCTTCGCCTTAATTGTTGTACTTTAAATTATTATTTATTAAAAAAATAGATTGTATTGTACCTCCAGTATGTGTGTGCGGCGCGATTTGTGAATCTGTTTAATACTCATTACTTGCTAGAGTGTCCCCGATATTCTGCTCTGAGGTTGTCCTTGCTCTCGGTTGCTGCACAAGTGTACGGTCGGGGCTGGAATCGTTTGTCAGCTTTTCAAAAAGTACAATTATTATTGTTTGGTGAACCAAATTTAAAATATATTAAGTTATCAGAACGTTTTCGGAAAATTTAGTGGAAATTCTTCAGTTGTTCCAGCATCGTGTCGTAATTTCTATTTACTCCTTTCTTGTTCTTTTTAAAAAAATTATGTAAATGTTTTATGACGTAAACCCTTCGATGAGCTTCATAGCTCTTGGGCAAACGTCATTTAATAAATATATACGTTTATATAAAAGTTTGTGTTATCTGACGAGGGCGAAGGATGCTTAATTTAAGAGAGACCTTCAGCTTGATATAATTATTAATGCCAATATGCTGATTATCAAATAGAATAAACTTTTTTATATACAGTAGATTTAGACAAATATGACAGCGATAATAAATTTATTAAATAAGTCATCTTGACCTCATTTTCAAGTTCAAATTAATTAAATTAATATGAATAGCATTTACAAATTACAGAAAATGATTCAATTAATATGAATAGCATTTACAAATTGCAGAAAATGGTTAAATAAATATCAAGAGTGTTTACAAATAATTGCGCAAACAAACTAATTCGTCATATACCTGACAATGTGCATGTTTAAAGGGAAATGGCAATATATTTTTTTATTTTCTCGTTTGAAAGAACATTTAAAACCATATATAGAACTCTTTTACCGTTTTTTCATATCTTGCTTACTTCTATAAATATTTTAATCGAAAGAAATGAAATGTCCGCCATCTTGGATTTTTGTAGATATGCATGTTACGTCACAACAGGGGTCACGCAATATCTTTATCTAGACAACCACTAATCATTTTGCACTCAAAATTATACTCTGTATGCCCTTGGAAATATCAAGATCACTTGAAACGTTTAAAATATCTACCAATCAATACTTGGTCCGTAACGAATACTTTTATATGGTTAATCCCTGTTGTGACGTCACCAAGACTACCGTTAATGAGATCAAAATTTTATCCAAGATGGCTGACATCTCATTACTTCAAGTGAAAATATTTCAAGAACTAAGCAAGATATGAAGAATCGGTAAAAGAAGTTATTAAATAGTTTCAAAAGTTCTTGCGAATGAAAAAATAAAAAAATATATTGCCATTTCCCTTTAATTATTCTAATTACATTAATTAGAAGTCTTAGAATGCTTAAAATTAAAAGTGTGACGTATGACAAATTACTTTGTTTGCGCAATTATTTGTAAATGCTATTCATGTTAATTTGAATTGTTTCCTGTAACTTGAACTTGAAAATGAGGTCAAGATGACTTTGAAAGTCGTTCTTTAAATTAATAAATTTATTATTGCTATCATAATATGCTATTGCTGTATATTATGCAAAAACTACTTTAAAGGCTATATTAGCAATATTATTAAAGTTAATATGCAACAATGTTCTTTGCATTGCATATAGCTATATCCAACAGCACAGAATAGAGACAATACAGAAAAAAATGTAACTAGCACATGGCAGCCAAGATTCGCAATGATTTCGTCACCAAAATGCACTTGCGAGTATCGAACAAATCGATACTTTTTCTACTATAGGTATTTGGTATTGGCCAGGGTCGTAGCCAGAGGGCTGTGTTGGCTGTGTTATTGTGGCCAAAAATGGAAAAACACGGCTAGATAAAATGAATGCGGCTTCATTACTTACAAGGTGGTGCTACTTACAACAGACAGAGTTTCTTTCTATTTACGTCAAAAGAAAGTTTGTAAAATCTATTGTTGTTGTTGAAATTGGCTAAAGTAATCTGTGATGTTTTAATGTTTTGATGGATAATGGGAACCATATGGTGTTAAAGTGGTTTAATTAAAGATGCTGTAAAGTCCGTTCTGCGCATATACTCTGCACATCAACACATTCCATCAGTGGGGGAGCAACCTTTGGAATGTTGTTAATATTTCGCACCTTGCGAACTTTCTTGAATTGAATCTCTAGTCTGCATTCATGTACAAGCATAGCGAACCGGAAGAGTGTTAAAAATTCAGTATAATATATATCTAATCATATTTTACAACTGTAGCACTGAGTTCAAAATGTAAACAAAGCGTTTGTTTACATTATGGACTTTACATCACCTTTAAATACCCCCAAAGAGTTGCTGAAATAACTTAATATTTTAATGTCAGCGCGCAATATAAGCGTATGCTCGCCTTGTAAATGGTTGCAACAGCATAAAACAACCATAGGCATTGTCCATTGTTGTAGAACCGTGAATTTGGCTATTCAAGGTAATTGACATGTGCACACCTTGGCATTTAGAAACACGCCCAAGATCTAAAATCCTAGCTAAGGCGTAAAAAAAATACCTGTAGTTCCGGTTTCATATGGTGAAAAAATTAGGGTCGGTAGGTCGGAAATAAATTTTTTTTTTTAATATTTTTTTCATGCTTTGGCGGTTTTTTGCTGGGCGATTTGCAGTAGAGTCCCGACATCAATATTAACTAGAGATGTGTATTTCCTATGGACGAATTTAGGCAATTTGTATAATTAATAACTAGTATAACAATAATTAGTATAATTAATAACTAAGACCCTGGTATTGGCACCAGCAAATCTCCAATGCTTGTAACCAGAATGTCCAAAAATGGCCGTCCAAAAAATACCACAAGTGTGGCAACCTTTTCCCAACTAGACGTGCTCAGAAAACATGATCCTTGAAATATACTCATAATTGTGAAAAATCTGCTTCACAAAAATGTTAATCCATTTGTTTTGATTTTGTGCCTGAAATGTGCGTTTGCCTGTCAATATGCATGTACATGCTGTTTTGAATGCTTTAGCATGCTTGAGTTGTGCTGTTAACTGTGCCTTGTGCCATTGTCCACAGGCGTTATGAAAAGATTTCATGCGAGTCACTATATAAAAGGTTCACATGAAGTAGTGCATCATTATAGGCATGCAAAGGAGGATGCGACACAGGTTGTTGCAATATTGATGAAAACAGGATTGAACAATGTCGTGCAGCCCACATTGTTCACAATTGTCAACAATATTGAATAATACATGACAAAAAATGCCGAGTCTGTTGCTCAACAGGGCTGAACAATGTTTTGCTGCCCACGTTGTTCACACTTGTCAACAATATTGAACAACTGATATGTTGTTGAGCCTGAATCGGGTGTAACAATATTGTTCAATGTTGTTGACAGCTATGAACAATGTGGGCAGCAAAACATTGTTCAATCCTGTTTTCATCAGTATTGCATCAACCCCAGCATTTTTACGCGTGTATTGTTGACAAGTGTGAACAATGTGGGCCACACAACAATTCAATCCACAATATTGTTGACAACTGTGAACAATGTGGGCAGCACAACATTGTTCAATCCTGTTAAACAGCAGGTTCATAAATTTTACATGTGGATATGAGTGTTTAACCCCATAAACCCCTGTGCTTGTTTGTTGTGATGCACTACTTCATGCAAACCTTTTATATAATGACTAAATGTATGAAATCTTTTCATTAGTGCCTGGGTTCTTTCAACGAGGCAGCTGTTACCTCATAAGACTATTCAAATTGGGCCTTCACTCGAAATGTTGAAATTCTCCTTATATTTTTCAGGTAGTTGCATGGGGGGGGGGGGGTCTGAAAATCAGTAAACAGTAACATTTTGGCATTTTAACAGTAAATATTTGAAAAGTACCGGTGTTCTGAAACGATAAATAGTATTTTTTTCATCACAGTAAATTTTTAGTGTTTTAACCAAAATTGAGTGAATCACGACTCATGATATACCCCATCAACACCCTCTTGCGGGTTACCAACGAAAGCTTGTTCAAATTTACATAAACAAGAAAAAATTTACATAAAATTTGTCAACAAAGTTTACCCATCGGTAAAATCGCTATTAATTGCGGTTTGTATATTATGTTGTGTGAATTCACACGCGTTGCGTTCTGTAATATTGTTTAATGCAATTTGAACAATATTAGCGTAACGGACATATATTAATCAATACCTCAAAATTTTTTAAATCTGAAAGCACCTATAAACACGTGCGTTAAATTTGAGGAATTTCGCTTAAATTTCTGCCTGACGCTGGCAAACTAACAATATGTCAAGGAATACTTAAAGAAAACTAATACAATTGAACAAAAACACTAAATAAAACGACAAATCCAGCACACCGAGTACGCGTGCTGCACGATATACAAAAATACTTGAAATAAATTCGCTTTTAAAACCTCACCTTGTGCTGTAAAATGTCTGCTTTTGTACTTTCCATGTTGCTCTTTCATAGAAGAATTCTTTCACGTAAATTTCTAACCTTTGAAGCAAGAGATTCTGTCCATTTTTTTCAAAACAACAACAGATTTTCGTCTACCCGTCATGTGCGCACTGCCATCTTTGACCTTTTGAACTCCTGAGTCCTGATCTATATATTGAACTGTTAATGTCTGAATTGACCAAGTGGAATATAATGAGCTACACTTCAATGTGATTGGCTCGTGTGTCTGCAATGTGATTGGCCATTTGGCCTGTATTCCCGCAAGCTGATTGGTTCGTGTACCTGCAATCTGACTGGCTTGTCTGTCTGCAATCTGATTGGCTTTGAAACGCCTCGTGTTCACACAATTTTCAGTAGTGCCACAATTTGCACTATTCACTTGCGGACAAAAACAAAATGGCTTCCTGTGCTAAAGAGGAAGAGATTATTTCGCTGGCCTCTGAGTGACAAAACGTAACAAAGCAACGGTTTTACTAACACTAACCCTACTCCAAACACCAACTCTAACCATAACCATAACCCTAACCCAACCCTACTCCAAATTTGTTTCTAAACCAATCTTGAAGAAAAAAGTCATTCTGAGGTCATTCAAATGTCATTCTGAGGTCAGCGAAATAGTTGATCTGTTGATGCCGCTAAACGAAGCTGCGGTTTCGCCAAACACGAAGAAAGCCAAAAATTCACAAACAGGGGTCGGTTGTATAAAACTCTTAATCACTTTTCTAATCGCTGTTTTGTAGTTAAATAGTGATTAACTCTCAAATACGCGCTTCTTATTGGATGACATTTCCACTAACTGTAGTTAACTTTAATCACTTTTTTATACAAAACCGCTCCCAGGACACTCCAGGAAGACCAATAATTGCAGGCTGTGGAGGACCGACTGTCAAGCTCTCTCCAATACGCTGACCACCACTTCAAACCACTCCCAAAACATATACCATCATTTGTGCAAGACACAACAGATTTTCTTCGCAGAATCGTATCACATTTGATGTTAAGAGCCTCTACACCAACATACCTAATGATCATGGCATATCCAAGCAGCCTGTGTAGATTTGTTGAGTGATTTCCTCAAGCTGAACAGTGATAAGCAACTCTACAGTAAGCACAGCTGCACAAGCTTTCTTTACTGACAGCAGTACGGGGCAGCAACTTGTTTAACAAAGTTCCCAGCGGGGCTGGAGATTTTTATCACACCAACCTATAAGCGGGGCTTTTTTTAACATTCAAAATTGATTTTCTCCGGTCTAGGGGTACAATAAATTTTGCATGCATGGCCCCTATAACTTCAACTAGAAGCTGATTTGACGAATAAACATTTTTCATAATTACCGTTGTGCTGCTATTTCCGAAGCTGATCTATACAAATAAAAATTTCTCATTGCCGTTGTGCTGCTGTTTTAAGCTGATTTCCAAATAAACATTTTTCCTAATTGCCGTTGTACTGCTGTTTTAAGCTAATTTACAAACTAAACATTTTTCCTACTGAATTGCCGTTGTACTGCTGTTTCAAGCTGATCTACTGAATAAACATTTTTCCTTGCTAATTGCCGTTGTGCTGCTGTTTTAAACTGATTTACAAATAAACATTTTTCCTAATTGCCGTTGTGCTGCTGTTTTAAGATGATCCACAAATATACATTTTTCCTAACTTGGAGATACAATCTGCAGTACAGATATTTTTCCCGGCTAACTCGGCTAACTGCCGTAAGTCGTCCTGTTGTTTCAATATGATCAATGCAGTGCTGTTTCAAGATGATCTACAGTACAGTATGTTGCTGCTTAACCAGATAAACATTTTCCCTGACTGTCGTAATTGCGCCGCTGTTTCAAGACGATGTATACATTTGAAAACTTTCTAACTAATGTTATATTGCTGTTTCAAGATAATCTGTTGCTCGAAGTGGTATGTTGATGACTAGATTTTGTAACGTTTGTGCGCGTTTTTTTCTTCTTATTTTGGTGTGAAAAAGAGGCACTTTTTTCCATAAATTTTAAATCTAATTTCGATGCTCAGAATGCCAGGAAATGGTATTTGCGGGCTTCAAATTTCAAACATTTTCCGGAGGAACAACAACAACCATATATGTTACAGGCTATAGGCTAGGCGTTTAATCTTGTGTAGGAGGGGCGCAACTCTACATGTTGATTTGCATCCAGAATGCCAAGCGTGATGGTCCACACGGCTAACCACTCCGTTATGGTGTAAACACAATACTAAAGCCGGTATTCCACTTCAAGCGTACCGTACCGAAACGTATCAAAAACGTTTTTAAATTTCAAAATCAGTTCGCGAATGTTGATTGGTTAGTACTTCCGTAGTACGCCAAAAAGTTGACTTGCGACGAACTTTTTATTTTGATACGCGAATACACCCAGATGTACGTGATTTATAAACCTCTTTTCAATCTGCGCATGCTCACCAATACGTTTCGCGGTACGATACGAGCGAAGTCGCCGAAGTGGAAAACCGGTTTAATTACGAATCTTTAACGAATAAGCGGAATGCTAGCAGTGTACACGCCGTCTAATATAAAAGATCTAATCGGCAACAAGTTTAACTAAATTTAATTAAAGATTCTATCGACACGAGGCTAGCTTAATTAAGAATGAAAAGTTTACTGAAATATGTCAACGATATGCCGGTGGCCTGTAATTTATTAATCAAGCCATCGATATTTCACTCAACCCTAAATTAGGTAAATTCACTCAACACTAAATTAATCATATGCATTTGTAAATTCAGGAAAATGTCAAATGTATATAATTAAGTCCTCGCAGGGTTGAATAAACATGCAAGCAGACGTACAGACACGTCACAAGACGACCAATAATAAGCTATATATTGAACAGATACATATATATATATATATATATATATATTGGCACATTGCAACTTTAATCATATCGACAATCTTCTTGGAGGGAGCAGGATTTCACCTTCTGGAAAGCACCTAGTCCTAGCACTTAAGAAAAACCAAAAACGTAGCCATGTTATGTCGAGGATATTCTTATTACCAGTTGTCACTGATCTTGTTAATCAGTTTTTCCAATGTTCACGACACTTATCCAAAAAGGAATAACCACAATTCGCTATGTAATTCGACAACTTTTAATTTCACGACAGGCAAAGGGAATACAAGTGCTGGCAATAACACGAACGTGTGTGCAGATAATCAAACTAGTACTCAAGTAAGTATATCACTCAATGATTTTTGGATAACAGTAATTATGCTTGTTCTATATTTGACTTGTCTTGACATCTCAAGATGATATATTCTTTTCTGTATCAACTCAATGAGTTTTTTTTTCTGTGTTGGTGTAATGTACTCAGGTGAATATGATGCTTGTGATGTTACTCTGAGTAACATCACAAGCATCATATTCACCTGAGTACATTACACCAGCACAGAAAAAAATCATGATTATTAGATTACATTGATATCGAAGGAACTAGATTCTGTTCCGAAATATCACATATACTCGAACCGACAACCGACCAGACCGCGTAGGTCAGTTGGCAGAGCATTGGGCTAGTATTGCAAAGGTCGTAGGTTCGATTCCCACCGTGGTCAGGCATATTTTCCAAGCTTGCCTGGTGTGGATATACACTCAGAGTAACATCACAAGCATCAATGAGTTTGTAATATTAATATATCCGCAACTCTTGAGGATACGAATATTTGCTATAATTGAGTGAATATACTGAACAAGATCTTATAGACATGCAGTAAAATACTGTAATTCGAAATTAGAAATATAGGAATTATATAATCAACTAATTTCTTTGTAGAGGGCGAAGTGTGAAGGCGGTTGTATAACTTGTATTTCATTTAGTTTTAGACTCAGCATGATTTCTCATCAGTAACAGCAAAATTTAAAAAATCCGTGCGAATGGGCGGATTTTGTTTTTCACCGAATCACATACATCATATATCCACATTTAACAGATGTACGGAAGAATATTCTCATATCACGTAGCACCACCGTATATGGAATAATATTGTGCTATTTATCGTAAATGTGCTTGTAGAGAATCTCTCTAAAAATCGGTATAAAATTACAATCAATTATTCTTTTCCCGCCATTTTTGGAGTACTACCTCTACCACGTTTGAGAGTCTCTGCATCACGAAATTTTAGTATTGTAGTTGTTTGTTGTATAATGGTAAATTTACAATTACCTAAAAATGACGGATTTTGGCCTTCGTGAGAAAGGCCAGAAAGGTTATAAATTGCAAAAGTTGAGTGACAAAATAAATGTTTCTGGTTGGGTTCACTAGCTCGTAGAGATAATTGTATATACTACATTAAAAAGGATTAAACAGTTCTTTAAGAGTTAGTATTTGTCCACGAGATAAATACGGGTTGTCTATTATTTCTATATGGCTTCACTACATCGTTCGATGTCAAGAAAGGGTGGGTTTGTCTGCGTGATATGTCGAGTGCTTTGTGATGAAAGATTGCTCAGCAAAACAATAATTTTTAATAAACAAACAATACTCCATGCCGCACGAAAAACATCATGCACATGCGGACGCGCTGATCGGATAAACAGGGATATTTGTTCAACATCGTTTTAGCCGTGATCGAAAGGTGCCGGAGCTGTAATCCGTCATCACTAATCTTAATCCGTAATCACTATTACCCTATTATACTGATTACTCAGGTGGTTTTCCACTTGCCCATCGTATCGTACCGAAGCGTAACGTATTTCTTTGTTTCCTGGGCACTAGAGTGAAACTTATGACTTCGACACAAAAGAAAATGTTGCGATACGTTATACATTACAAGTAAAAAACGGCTTTTAGCCTATACACGTGTTAAAACAAACAACCCGTGTTATCGGTTGATATCAACAGCCGGCTTGAACAAGGTTGTGGTGCACCCTCAAAACATTGAGCCATGAGAATGTCAGCGTACTTTTCATGTGCCAAAATAAATATGAAACCGGCTTGGCACATAACACATAGCTTGACCAAATTAATTGTATACTTGTATTGCTTTTGTTCAACATTCATTTAGACATCAGTCATCATGTTCCAAACTAAAAAGTCATTTTTTTTCTGTTTAAATGCAAAATGCCTCCAATATTTACAAAACGAAACTTCGGACCTGTAGTAATTGGCAATTACGCGCTCGGTTGCGAACTCCATGCCACTACTATGTCTATGTAATAAGTTGTGAACAATGTGTTGTTAATACAGCATTGTTGATTGTATAACAATGCTGTAACAACAATCAACATCGTTGACAACTTGTTCTTAAAGTTATTAATGTATAATATTTAAAACATTTGGTTGAATATATTTATACACATGCTACAATCAGTGAAATACAGTACATAACAAAACATTAGATCATTGCAAAAAATTATATCAACAAATTTTATTGTAGATTATCTGCCCCTTTTCCCTCCATCCAATGTTGCGCTACCAATTAAAGGTCGGGAATTCTGAGCGTAGACAGCTGGTTTTGCAGGCTTTGTATTTCAGTTTATGACCGACTCGACTACAAAACTCAATGAAATTTATAGAAACTGTCATATACAAAAGAGTTTCAGTCTTTGCCACCGACAGCTGTATAATCGAAAATCTAATATTCATCAGTAAACCGCAATCGGGGCCTCATATCCTAGGAAACAGAATTACGGCAATAAACGCGGGAGAATTGACAAAATGTTTTTTGCTGTTGCAGCTTTTTTTCGAAAATATTACGGCTTTTTTCGAAATATTCATCTATAAAACTGAGCTTGAAAGTAAAATATACCGGCTGTTTTTCGCTTCAGGATAAACACCATCGCTACATATTTTCACATTTTTCACACAAAAAGGGAGCAAAACCGGTCGTTTTTATGCACAAAATCTTAAAATACACACAAGAATCGTTATAAATCAAAATAAGCAACAACAAACAAAAACCGGTACGGACTGGCGTCTCAATGAACACACGCAGTTTTAGATTTCAAGTCGATCCGCGATACAGTTCGTCGCATATACGATAGACAGTTCCAGCTATCGACTAATTTTTATCTAGAAAAGAAATACGAAATATTTAACAGTTATTCTACGAACTCGAGTCGAATATGAGCTGATAGTGAGAGTGAGTGGAATAACTGTTTTATTATATACACAAGGTCTGAATTTACAGACTTTGCTTTTCTGTTATTTTCAATATTTTTCTATTTTGTTTATGTTTTTATCTTCGCTCTTTCGGCCGATTATTTTTTCCAAAATATATATTTTTAACCATTTTAAATTTTAAAAATTCATTTGCTAACCTGTAAACAATTTGTGGGAGTTTTTTCATTGTGTTTTTAATCCTGAAAGGGCTATAAAAAGCGAACAACTTGCTGTTTTCTCGTTCGCAAAACATCGGAAATTCAATTTTAGCCGCCATTTTGTTTTTCTCTACTAGCAGGATATGAGCTAATATCCTGCTAGTAGAGAACCAATCAGATTGCAGAATACCTCATATCCAGACCTTGTGTATATCATTATAGCTCAAAGGAGCATCCTAAAAATTAGTAAAATTGCAAAGTTTGGTTGCGAAATGTTGTAAAATACGCTGAATCTGCACTTTCGCCTTTCGGTTCAAAAATGCCGGTTATTTTTACCGCGCGTAACACTAAAATCACTCATAATTTGCTAATTTCACAAGACTATATTTTCCGTATTTTACAACATTTCGCAACAAAACTTTGCAATTTTACTAATTTTAGGATGCTCGTTTGAGCTATAATGATATATTTCGTCTTTCTTGTCTGGGTAAAAAATTAGTCGATAGCTGAATTGTCGGTACCCATCTCCCTCCCCCTCCCAAATCAATGTTGCTTTCTAAATCTCGGCAACTATTGAAATAGCAAAATGTATCAAATCTAACAGACTGAAAGGCAGACAACATTGAAAAGGGGGGCGGGGGAATGAACGTTTGTTGAATCTGGCCCAAGACATTTGAAACTGATTGTATAGATACGAGGCCCCGATTGCGATTTATGAATAAATTAAGTCTATAGAGTTCATGTATCGCTGCCAAACCGCGATGCTGCCGGCCCGTATCCTTTTCATGGCAATCTTTATTCTCATTTCCTCCATTCCCTGATTCCCCGTTCCCCCTTTTAAAGATAGTCTCCTTATCCTGACAGCCTAACCGTAAGTCATAAACAGCGGACTATGCAGGACACAGGGACACCGGAAGCAACGGGGCAACCATTTAAAAAGGGCACTATAAATTACTCCTGAGGCTTAATACTTTCTGTCCCCTGTGGGCAGAAATGTTTACTTGTAGCAAATTGTAGCAAATATATGCCGGTTGGACAATTTTCGGCATTGACTGGAATTACATTTTTATTGGTTGCATGACGCTAAACACACCAAATTATATTGGAGAACAACTTGACAGTTTGTCAATTATTTAGGAAGGCTTTCTTTTTAATTTTTTTTCATTAACCTGAAGTGGAAACTGTCGTAACGTTTCTGAGAAGAAACGCACGATTTTCAGACGGTAGTTCTAGACGGTAGGTTAAAGGCAACCTACTGCCCCCCCCAACCGGCTAACGCCGTACTGTTTGGGCCGCTATAGAAAAAGCACGTTGTTTTTCGAGTTCACATGCATGTAGCTGAACTAACAAAGAGAAACAGCATCGCTGCGATCATAATTAAGCCTTTTCACATTTATTAACTAATGATTATGCAAGGACGGCGCTGACTGCTGACAATTAAAGGTTACATGCTTTATATATACCAGAGACGCCTCATCGTCAACATTCATCATGATGCCTCATCACAACACGATAAATATCCGGAGTGGTATCCGATGCGCATAGCAGATCTAATCGGATCTTGGGAACGATCCGCGATATTTTGAAAACCGCAGTGATATTGCGGTATATTGAAGTATAGTGTATTCCGTTAATCGTATATCATACACTGTGAAATATGAGATTCCGCGGGAAGTATAATAGCACTCCACTCAAGTGCTATATTGCGTGTTTCACGATCATAATTATCTTGCCTGTGTGTTCAAAAGAAACCACAGCGCCTTCGACAGCAGTTAAAGAATCATTCGTAACGCCTGTCAGTCATGGTCAGTTCAACAACACAGATTCCATGTCAAAGGCAAGTATACACAGATGCTTTGCAATACACAAATTCTTCATCGTTTCTGTGAATCCAGCCTAAAATGTCAATCATTCCTCACACTGTGAATTTCAAAATGTTATTGTAACACCGTTTTCGGTCACAGAATAACACTCTTGGGGGGAATCTATACAAGGCCTTGGCAACCTTGCAGTCCTTGGCAAACAAGAACATCATTTTTGTCATATTACTGAGTTTTCTATGTTTGCCCACCTTTGAGCTTCGGCAAACATATGGAAACATTGCTTCAGCAACGACATATCACTTCTGAGACTAAAAATATATGTTTAAGA